CAATTTAAATACCCGTTTTCAAACCGGCAGAAAACTCTGTGGTTTCGAAAACTTGAATCCGAGAAGAAACTGTTACTTTTTGAAGTACCGGCCAGTTACTTTTATTTTCAAGTAATTAAGTAATCTGACTGAATACCTTTTACCCGAGGGTAATTTTAATTGTAATTAATTGCTTATTTTTTCAAGTAACGTGTATAAGACAGGGTAATGGGGGTGCTATCTGGCCTTGCGACAACACCGGCAACAGATGTTCCTAAAAGCACCGATCGACAACAGCTGAACACCGAAATTCAGAGTCAGAGAGCGAGCGATGGATATCAAGCATTGCTGATTAGCTGGACGTATATATAGCATACGCCGTTACTTCCTTAAACTGCTATCGCTCAACCGTCGTAAATAAGGAAAAAAAAGACACGAAAAGTCATCGGCGAACTTTAGTTCGAGGGCTGTCGTGGGACGCTAGCATTAGCGGCATCCTGCTTCCCCGAAAGTCGCCTGTTCCCTGAGGGTAAAGCGCTAACCGACCAAATTGGCCTTACAAAGTCCTCGGGCCAAATTTCCGGTAGGAAAGCAGATTTCTCGCTTCGCGACGATCGATCCGACTTCTGCGCATTTTTATTTCGGAAACCACTTTCCCTTTTTCTTTCTTTTTTTTGTGTGTGTGTGTGACAAAGTGTACACGTCAGGTACCCTGCAGATATTCGCAATGATTAGATGGATGAATGCACGAGGGCCCTTTAATTTAGATTGGGCGGTGACTTGCGCCACCTAGCCAAATAGTGGGAAGTTTACGTAGACCGTGTTTTCCCCTCCGACGGGTTGCCGAGACCGTTGCGGGACAGCAGAAATGATCTACGAGAACTACAGTATCCTTAGCGCTAGATTAAATTATGTTTAAGCCAAGTTAATCAAACTTAATCTCTATTTTTTGTATTTTAGTCTTATTTTTATTTTAATTTTAATGACTTGATATAGACTTAATTTTTATCAATTCTAAGGGAGGTGGTGCCGCCTATCGGAGAATACGTAAAGGAGAGAAACGTAGAACTGCCGCCTGCTTGCGCCAATCCGAACGCGGAGTGAACACAGGTGACGCTATCCGACAGACAGAGGCAGCAACAGTACAAGAGCGGGGTCAAATAAAATAAACAAACTTGAAGTTGCGAATAGATACGCGGATCATAAGTTTGTCTTAGATTGTCTGCTAGAACTGGGCGGTATGCTCGCGACGTACCTGCTTCTTGCGCAAAGGTTTTGGTGACGTCAGAACTCCGGGCTCTGATTGGCTCTGATCGGAAGGATGGTGGGTAGACCTCAACGCTACAGCTGCCTTGAGGTCTACCCACTATCCTTCCAATCAGAGCTCAGCGTTCTGACGTCACCGCAGCCCCTGCACCAGAAGCAGACGAACTTGCGGTCCCCATATGTTTCTCTGTTGTCTTTTACCCAATACTGCTCCGGTAGCAGAGGTGAAATATATCGATCGGTCATAATCTTTACCCGGGAACAATTAGCATATGCGATTGGCACGATTACGCTAGAACGACCGAATTATGCAGATGTGTTCGAGGAACAAGGGGACATCACTGAGGCGTTATAACAATGGCGCGAAGGACATTTGACTAATCACATAACGGGCGCTGAAAAGGTCCGAAATTGGTTCGTTAAGATGCTCGTTGAAATGCGTTGAAGAAATGATTTAACTGGTCTCCGGGGAACGAACTTAATAGGTTCTTATAGAATGCATTAAAAAAAAGCGCCAATTGCTCACACGTGTAGTCTGCTTCCATAGCTGTTGAGCAGCTATGTGACAGGAAATGTCTAAATTTAATGTTTCTTGCTACGTTGTTCACATTTGTGTATTGATACAAACATGTGCAGGAATACAATAGAAAGATTGAGTGCCTGCCTGCGCGTGCTCGTGTGTGCGTGTGTGCAAGAGAAAGAGGGTAAAAACCAAATAATAAACTACGCTGCAGTGATCTTTAGTTGGGATCTTGCACATTGGGTGTCAGCCTTAAAGTGGGCTCTTGTATACTGCATATATATATTTGACCAGATCAACTCTGCGACATATTACCTCCAACCGGAGACAACTGAATTCAACAACCGGCCATTTTTGCTGTTGTGCAGGCCGGTCCTAGCAGCAGACCCCCGAGCAGAGGGGCCCGAAGCGCGGCGGGAGATCAGGACGCCCACCGGTACCATCCCCCGGTTCCCCCGGTGCCACCGGTTCACGCCCTCGAACCGGTCCCGGACCCGAGCAGACCGGTGCCAAACCTAGAAGACTGGTCCTGCAGCGCTTCTTCCAGCAGGTAGCTGACGACTCCAATGAAACTTCTCCTGCTCTGTGTTTTGTCGGTCCCTAACGGTCTCTAACGGTTCCGATAAAACAAGAAAGTACCGGTAACTATACTCGTTTTCTCCTCAAGAACCGTAGTCAAAAGTAGTCCAGCTCCTCGCGGAGCATTACTAATTTTCTTCTTTGTGCAGAGTATTAAGATATATGTATGTACATTTTAGACCGAATATACTTTATTTTATCGAGATGTACACGTTTCAAATGACAAAAAAATCACTTCTTCCTCCGAAAAGCAAATCGTATAAGAACTACTTCGCACGGCGTATGAATAATGCGCAGAAGTTAGCTTATTCTTTAAAAAAAAATGAATATAACATGCACTTCAAAAAAAAACTGAAAGGCGTTTACAATCCCCTGTAACGCCAAATTAGAGCGCAGCTTTTGAGGAGAAGGAAGGGAAGGTACGGAGAGGAGGCTTTGCCCCTCCTCCTTTCCTGCTTGCCTCCCATTTAGTGGAAAAATTTCCGCTAAATTTAGCGGGAATATTTTTCCGATAAATTTAACGGGAATTTCTTCCCCCTAACTTTAGCGGGGAAAATGTTTCGCTAAACTTAGCGGGGAAATTCACCCATAATGCACCGCGCGGTTACGCCGACGCCGCTCAAGCCGCAAACGGGCGTCTAAGAGCTGCGCTCTAAAACATTTGACGCGAACGATGTGGAAGATGCACTGGAGGTATTTTTAGAGCGCAGCTCTTAGGGGCCCGTTTACGGCTTGAGCGGCGTCGCCGTCGGCGTCGGCGTCGCCGTCGCCGTCGCCGTCGGCGTCGGCGTAACCGCGCGGTGCATCATGGGAAATGTCCCATAATGCACCGCGCGAGCCCCCCACCAAGGTCACGTGACCTCGTGGGGGGTCACGTGACCCCCCGAAGTCACGTGGCCCCCCTCCTCGAGGTCACGTGACCCCCGCCGATGTCGCGTGACCCCCCGATGACGTCATCGTCACTGATGACGTCACCGGCATCCACATCGTCATCGTCATCATCACTGATGACGTCACCGGCATCCACATCGTCATCGTCATCATCACTGATGACGTCACCGGCATCCACATCGTCATCGTCATCATCACTGATGACGTCACCGGCATCCACATCGTCATCGTCATCATCACTGATGACGTCACCGGAATCCGCATTGTCATCGTCATCATCACTGATGACGTCATCAGTGACGTCACTGATGTCGTCACCGGCATCCGCATCGTCATCGTCATCATCACTGATGACGTCATCAGCGACGTCACTGATGACGTCACCTACATTCGCATCGTCATCGTCATCATCACTGGTGAAGTCATCAGTGACGTCACTAATGACGTCATCGGTACCCGCATCGTCATCGTCACTGATGACGTCATCAGTGACGTCAGTGATGACATCATCGGCATTGGGGGTCACGTGACCCCCAAGGTAACGTGACCCCCCTGGTTAGTTTAACCCCCCCCCCCCCCCAGTGCCCTTCCTTCCTCCTCCTCAAGAGCTGCGCTCTAATTCGGCGTTACAGGGAGTTGTAAGCGGCTTTCATTTTATGCTTAATTGTATGCTTTAGTTTAGAGTCTAAACCATGTAAGACTGACGCACTGACAGACCGACGTCTATGGTTGCCCCACAGCGGACCTTTTTCCGAACAAGATTTATGTGCACGCCCTCCTAACGCAGCGGCGAAAGCTGCTGCGAAAGGAGGGCCTGCGGTTGGTGTCCGAAAGGGAAAGCGCGGAGGACGCCGGAGATGTAGCGCCACTTCCCTTTCGGACGGCGACCGCTCTTCGGGTTTTCGCCGCTTGGTGTCATTCGTGGGTGAAAAGGGTCCATTCAGACAAAAGATAAACGAATCGAGCCTGTTGATTGCTTAGTGAGATACATTCTTGAATTTCCATGATCGGCTCTTTTTGTACCTCAGAAGGAAGGCATGTTACAGGAGGTACAGTTAGCCGCAGATACGGCATTGTGATCAAGGAAGATTCTTGATTCGCAAGAACAACATGAATTGCTGCTGTATCACACCCAATTCATGTTTTGTGCCACCATGTCTCAAAAATACTCTTCCAGATGAAGCCTTTTGGCAGCTTGGTGCTGGCGCTCAGATGCACGGTTTGCTGGCATCGGCCATACGTGCGTGGAAAGCCCAACATCCAGACGGCGCCACGAGCTTCCTGACCTATTTGTTGTCGCGCTGCGCTTGAGCAAAGACCGAAACTACTTTCGCCGCTTCCGGGACCTATGAATCACAAATGCATCGTGTATCAAATGTGATACATGAAATATTCGTTTTTTAATTCAAGAATTTAATACATTTTTTTTTTATATTTACAATTACGTTTTATAGTAGCAAACAGTACAAAATAATTTCATATAAACGGAGTTCGCAGTGCATTGAGGTGCAGCGCCCACTAGAGGACTGATGAGGGGGTATACACCTTTTTAATACTTATCACCCCAGGAAAATTTCAAAGTAACTGATATGTGCATGCATCTGCGAAGCCTGATGTTCCCCCAAAAGAGAGATAGTGCACATTCTCAAAACGACTTCCCCAAAACAAGATCGCAGCACGCAGGAGGCGATAATTGGAAAAACCCTTGGAAAGGCCCGCCGAGAAGATGGCGCCGTCCCCGACTCCCTTCCCTCTCTCCACCAGCATGTGGGAGATCAACTCGGACGAGCGGAGGTACTCGGTGCCGCCGTCCACGCTGTCCGAGCCGGCCACGGCGGCGGCCAAGGGCTACAAGACGAGCGAGGACCTGCACGCCTGGAGCATCTACCGGCAGAACCTCAACTCGGACTTCACGGACTCGGCGCTGGGCACGTCCGAGAAGTCGCAGCCGCCCTTCGGCAACTTCCAGCTCAGGGAGTCCACCGTCCACACCATCCTCAACCACCCCAAGTACGGCCCCAAGGAGCGCAGCTCGGAGCTCGGTGCAAACGTGCACACCTACCTCAGGTCAGTCTCCGACGTCACGCCGCTGCTGTCGCCACTGCGCATGCGCAAACGCCTCACGCAAATCGGGTTTCTGTGCAAGAAGCAGACGGTCTTGCGCCAAACCGTCTGCGCGCCTATACGGCGCGCAGATGGCGTGCTAGGCGCCATCTTTGAGGGCGCTGTTTAGACCGCATGCTGAAAACGAGCCCAAATTAATAAACTGCTAACACCGCAGTCTTGATGGTGCGAAATGCACGTTGCAAAAGAACTGTGGAAGCTGGCCCTCAGCACGTGCTGAGCATTCGCGCACACAGCTATGGCCGCCAGTGAATACTCTCCATGGCGTGTCACGGACTCCGTGACGCCGCACGTCCTCACCTCTGCTCCCAGGTTCGGTCTCCCTCGGGTCCTCCCGCCCCACCCGAGCTCGTGCCTGGGCGCTAGCGAGCGGAGCCACGCCACGCACCCGAACCCGACCCACCCGAGGGAGAACTCGAGCGGCTACGACTCGAGCGACGACGACCACGCGCTGAACGGCCAGCGTCGGGCGCGCAGCGACCCAGACTTTCGGAGCCACAACCTGGTCACAACCGAGCCCTCAGGTGGGGTCGGAAACAGGGACGTCATTCTGACGTTATAACAAATACTTTACGTCATTTATCTTTAGAGTTTCGAATGAATGGAGTCATCAACATGCATCACTTACATTGGTTGTATGGGGAGCATGGTATTTCCCTTTCATTCTCTCTACTTGTTTAATATACTCAGTTTCATTTTAAGGCCCACCGACCGACGCTATGGTCTGGCGAAGACAATCAAGCAGCCCTAAAATCGTATACATTTAGACGCTCGTTTTCTTCGCGGGTTCGCTATCACGGCTAAACCGATCACGCATAAAAAGTAAACCGCAGGATCGCGGACCATTCACTGTGCATGACTGCTTTAGTGGGCGTTTACAGACGCACAAAGGGGCATGAGCACGGTGACGATGCAATTTTGGCGCCGCTTGATTTTCTCCGCCTGATGGTCGGTTGTGATTGGACTTAAAGTGAAACGGAGCACAGAAATTTTTAAATGCCGCGGCCAATAATGTTTATTTGTTTTCTTCAATTCAATTAACCCAAGTTGCAGGTGAAACAGCCTCTGTACACGTCTCCAGCGTTCATCACCCGGCCAAAGAAATGCTTATTCCCTGGGCGTTGCACCTATGCGCGGCATTTCATTTTCCGCGGAAGAGAGAGAGAGAAAGAAAGAGCTCGTGCGCATGTTCAAAACGTGTTGCACAGCCCAATAGATAGCAGGCGGTCGGAAGGCGAATACTCGAATGGTCTATAGACTATGATTTACTCGTTCGGCTCCTCTTGACCCCAGGCGTGGCGTCGGCCATCGCGGCGTACGAGCAGCACCGCAAGCAGAACAGGCTCAAGGCCAGCAGCGAAGCGGACCTGGTGGCCGGCGAGAGGCGGTGGGACATCCCGAGGCCTAACACGGCCTCCACCACCACGGCCGCACTGCATAAAGTAAGTTTATTTCAGAGCTCAGATGGATGGGTTTGGCCGTTGACTTGGGCTATAGACAAACAAACTAGCTCGATAGATGGATGGATCGTAGTGTCTAAAGCAGGGGTCTCCAAACACCAGTCCGCGGGCCAGATCCGGACCCGCGGAGACGTTTTGGCCGGCCCGGGGATGGCTGTGGTTTTTACATTGACACCCGACCCGTGGCCCGCTGCTGCCAGCGCGAAAAATAAACTCTCGTAAAAAAATCGGCGCCACGACACACGCCAAAAGCGCGTACGAAGATATCAGAAAGAATGAGAAAGCTGTAGTTTTGAGCAAACATTCAAATTTTCTAGTAGTGGTTTTGAATAATACGCTACTCGATATCCGTTTCGAGATGAACTCTGATATTCGTATTTTTCAAAGTGTTAACTGCGGCGGGTTAGTCCCGTTAGCGAGCTTCTTACCGAGCACCGCTGCAGTGCGGAGAAGCAACGCCGGCGGAGCTCGCTTCCACGGGTGTTGCTTCGCCGCAGTGCTCCGGTGCTTGGTAAGAAGCGCGCTCAACGGAGCTAACCCGCCGCGAGCAAAGCTTCGAAAAGTACAAATATTCCAATAACGTTCTTAACAGGAAAACCAACTTTCAAAACGGGATAGTGCACGCGCGCACGTAGTGTGTGTAGAAAGAAACGGAAAATTTGTGAATGTTAAAATCTACACTGCAGTGAAATTCCCAAAATTAAACTGTGGCTATTATGCAAGAGTTGATGTTAGCTTGAGATGTCCGACAACCTACGTTCATCATTCATTATTTTATTTCTTTTTTATTTTCTCAAATTCTACATTCATATAAAGAATATTTGCACATAGCAAGAAGATTTACCAATCTCTTCGATTAGGTAAAGCTAGGCATCTCTATGGGTTTAGTTTTATGTCAAATGCACCGTTTATTTGCCATTTTCATGTAGGCAATCGACTTTCTGAGGTCACAGTCAGTCCATAGATATAGCTAGGTTAAAATTAACTTACCTTAAATGTGGTCAAGCGGAAGCTTCGGAACAACCTTTACGTGTTCAGATGGGCTTTCCTTTAGGCATGCTGCAGTAGTGAAAAACTTGGAGAAACTCTTCGATATTGGATTCGAAAATATTCGGCCCAAACCACTATTTGTTTCGAATTCGCTTCGAAACTAAAACCCACTATTCTCACATGCCTAGAAAACTGCATCAAACGTCGGTTCTCTATCTATATTATTTATTGTACATTGCAATCACCAAAATTGCTATTCGTAGTTCCCTGCTTCATATCTGCGTAACCATGAAAACAGTCCTTTGCCTTCTCGTGTATATCGTGCATGATCTAATCTGATCTATCATTTTCATTAGTCTACTGCTCTGTGTAAATGTGACAAAATTCATATGCGCTTTGATTTATGTTTGGCGAGTTCTTGGGGTCGCAATTATAATGTCACAAATATTAAAATATTGCACGTACGTTTTTTTTGTTTTTTTTCACCTCACATTTCTTTTTGGGCTTTTGCTGTAGTTTACATTTCCGTATATAAATGCTTATTAAGGATTATTTATTTAGTATTTCCACGTTTGTATTATCTTATCTAATTTCTTGCTTTTGAGACTGCAACATGTCCACAATCCGGCTCCTTAGCCAAAGAGTTTGGGGACCCCTGTTCTAAACGATTCTGATCAGGCGGTAGTTTGCACCATCTAGCCTAGAACCATCTGCAGCATTTTCCTCTAAATTTAGTTATAAATTCCGTCAACAAACAATGATCGTAGACATGTCGAATACGCCTTGTTGAGAAACATTTTGTTTTTACAAGTGAGCGTCAGAGTTCGGCGAGTTAACCGTCTCGTGAACAAGCACGCTGTTGAAGATCTTTCCGACGGCAAAAACTGTGCTTTTGTTCCGTCGGCAAAGTGGTGGTCGCTTGTTTGTCTGGTGTAAACTAGGCCATAACAAAATTTGTCGATGGATCGCGGCATGACATCCTTAGTGTCTTTCGGGTCTTCGGTGCAGGACTTTCGAGTTTTTTCAATTATGGAGTCATCTGGTTTTGCGCAAAAATGGCTACGAACAAACATCAACAAACGCGGCTTCTGATGCTTCGGAGCCCATGAATTTATCCCGCCTTGTGTCAGCTTATTTCAAAGACGACTCGGCGTCGATGTCTGCAGGGTCCCCCGAGCCGTGCCGAGTCCAGGATGGCGGGCGATCGTCGGAGCGTGGCGGGTTCCCACATGTCGCAGGGGTCCAGGGCTACGTCCAACAAGCACGTGATCGCCAGGAGCTCGCTCTTCCCCAGGGACTCGCTCTACTCCAGTCTTCCCGGCGGAGAGGCCGACATATCTCTGGTCAAGCACCCGCATTTACAGGTGCGTGTGGAAGTATTCCGTAGTGTATGTATAGAAAAATGATTTTCTATTTATTTTCTTTTTTTTACAGATACTAGTATGGTTTTGCATACCGTTGTTGTGATACCATAACCCTTACCGCAGCTTCGAGGTGCCTACTGTGCATGCGTATTTGGGGCGTCGGAGTTGCAGTAATGAAACGCATGAGCAGTAAGGGGCCTAGAGGCTGTGGAACGTTCTGCAGTCCGAATCATGTGGCCAGTATGCATTGCGGATTGCATCGCCGAAGGTCTTGCAACAACGATTGCGTCCTGTGCAGGTGCGAGACTTGACGTTCGAGCTGGATCGGTCCAGTGTCGGACAGCGGCTTTGCGGGGGTCCACGTACCAAGCTACTCCTCTTGGAGGGTCTTTCCTTCGAAGTCAGGGGCGGAGAAATCCTCGCCATCGTCGCGACATCCGGTAAGAAAACGTCTTATCACCGAGCAGAGCAAAGAAAACTTCATAGAGAGCTTTCTTCAAACAAAGAAAAAGTATCGCGTTCCTAATCTATTCGCACCGCAGGAAGGTAAAAACTGCAAACGAAGGCGGCACTTATGGTAGGTGGAAGGACAAAAGTTTCCACCCACCGCTACACCTAACAAAAAAAAAAGTGCTTTGATAAGATTTTTTAAAGAAGAATGGGGCTGTTTAATATCAGCATAATCATCGTCATCATCATTTATTAAACCTTGAAGGCCCTTACGGGCATTACACAAAAGGGGGCGGTGGGGGGTGGGGGGGGGGGGGTGGGGGGGGCTACAGGCTGGAGAACGTTATGTGTACATTCCTACACATATTTATAAGTCCCAGCGTGAACGTCGTCTTCTTTTGGACATCGGAAAGGAAGCTCATACGTTTCATGTTTTTCACCCAGATCATACCTGCCCACGTTTTGGCGAAAGCAGAAGCGGATAGCTTTGTCCCGTTCACCGTTCACAGGAACGTGCAGCAGCATCCTTTCCTCCTATTTTCTGCAAAGGCGCAATCCCCCATAGCTCTCTCTTTTGGTGCAAGTCAGGTTATAAGTTCGTAAGCTCTGCGCACCTTCACCCCCAGATCAACCCACGTTCAAACGGGCTTTTAGCCTCCTGCAACGCCCGTCGGCCAAAACGTGGCGGCTGGACGGCGCGCATGGATGAATGGATGCTAACGGCTCTACCCTTTATAACGGGTGGTAGGTTGCGCCACCTAGCCTAGAAATTAAGAACCAAAGGATATGATTTCTTTCCTTCGACAACTTGCTTGCTCTCTGCAATTTCGTAACTATCACCAGGCGGTGTAAGATAGCACCAGGATGACCTATGAAGGATCGGGCAAAAAAACTAAAAACATCACTCCTCCCGACCTCTTCCTCCCGACCGCCGCCACTAATCTTTATGACGATGGTCGCCGATGTCCTTTCGGTCATCGTCGAAGAAGAAAAGGCCTGCGCGTGACGTCATCGTTAGTGACTCTAAACGCTGAAGCTCGGCGAGAGACGCTGCAAAGCGGCAGATGCGGCTGTCTTGGCGACGCCGCGAGCTAGCGTCGTGCTCGTCGTGAGACACTGCAAGACACGCTGGTGGCGATGCTGACGGAAGCTAGGCGGTGCTTCGTGGGTCCACTAGCGATGAGAGTGAAAGACCCAGGTTTTGTCTTCTAAGTGATATAGTCTCGGTACGCTTGCAGAGCAAGAGGGCACGGCTCTCCTGGACATCCTGGCCAACCGGCACGCCAAGTGGGGTAGCCGGCTGAGGGGGGACCTCCTGTTCAACGGGCTGTTCATGCCGCCGGCGAGGCTGGAGCACTGCGTCGCCTACGTGGCGCGAAACTGGAGACTGTGGCCCGACATGAGCGTGCGGCAGTGGATGCTCTTCACTTCCCTGCTCCAGGAGCCCGGAGGTCCCGGGAGAGACACCAAGGCTAGGGTGAGTAATCTCCGCCGACGTTACAATATGCTGCTGGACTGAAAGAGACACCAAGGCTAGGGTGAGGAATCTCTACCGACGTAACGTTATGCTGGTCATTCAGATAACCTGGAAAAGATAACAAGACTAGGGTGAGCAATCTGTGCCGAGGTTATGCTAGTCATCATAATGCATGGTGAGTCACCTTTGAATTAGTCAACATTGTTGTGCAGATCAACGCGCTGTTGGAGGATCTTGGCTTGGGACAGCTCAAACACACTCGGATCCGGGACCTTACTGAGTCGGAGGCGAGGCGACTGAGCGTTGGCTCACAACTCCTTCTTGACACAGGTTTGTAACTCCTGGACGTTCTGGTTCTCTGGCTTCGTCAAGCAGTAATGCGGGGGCAAAATTAGGCACTTTATTTTGTCATTCCATTACTTGTCTCACCCCAATTATGCTTTCACGGGGGGGAAGGGGGGGAGGAGTTGTTTTCTTTTTTGTCCAGGGGGACTATCTTATTCTATGGTATGTTGAATGTGAACTTCGAACGTTTTGTTTATTTTCATTCCTTGAGTCCGGAAGGTTCTTGGGGAGAGAAGGCAGTTTAGTGCATGATTCATGGAGTACGAATTTCAGGCTTTATGGCTTATATATCAAACATCCTGTTCGCTTCTGAGGTTGAAAGGGCCGGTCCCAAAATATGTTAGCAAAGTCTTCAGTTCATCAAATAAACATTGAAGTAGTTCGTGAACAGAGCGGCTATGTCCATGATTGTCAAGTTATTTCGCAAATTCGGGTCGTTGATTTTAGGCACCTTGATCCAGAATTTTCCTAGTGCCTTTCATATGGCTGAAACAAGCTCACACGTCACCACAAAAACGATTCTCTAGATTTTCAATGCTCGCGATGAAACACAATGCTATAAAAACGTTTACTGCAAGACCATTTTGGGTATGAACGTAGCACAGGGATGAAAGTTAAATTATCCTTTTCAAGCGAACCTCCAAAAAAGCTTGCAGAAAAAGTAAAAAAAAAAAAAAAATACTGCCTAAACGACATGCTGTAAGCCGAACTCAGTTATATATTGAAATCGACGGGAAACTGAAATGTTTTTTTATATTCAGAATTCGGTCTTTTTGGACTCTGCGAAGAGTCTTGTTTTTTGATGCATACAACACGTCATGCAGCGTATAGTATAAGCTGAACATGAGGAAAAATCGCGCGCAAAGACACAATAACAAAAGAGGAAGGAACAGAGAACACACACAGGCGCGTAGTCACTCACAACTCTGATATAAAAAGCGAAGAAAGAAAAGTTAAAGGAAGGCCCATGACAGAGGACACCGGCACCAGGCGGAATATATTTCAGTCGCAACCAAATGACCGCAAAGAAAGCAACTTATTTTTCAATCAAAGTCACCGACGGTCGACTAACGCAGCGATCGGCCAAACCCATGGTATAAATGCCTCAAGCACCTCCTGTGTTTGTTTTTCTTTGAACCGCCCAATAATTGAGGTATATTCTAAAGGCGGTGAACACGTACAGCTCTTACAATTTACCAAACGGTGGCCTCGAATAATTGATGCCGAAGAAAGATTATGCTCTCGTAGCCGGTCATACAGACACCGTCCAGCTTGTCTGACATAGCATCGCCCACCGTGTACACAACGTCCGACGAAACGTTTTCACCATCTTCAAAAAAAAAAAAAAATATTGGGCGGTTCAATGAAAATAAAAAACTCGAGGTGCTCGAGGCATGTACCATCTTGGGTTTGGCCGATTGCTAAGTTAGTTGGCCGTCGGTGGGTTTGATTGAAAAATAACTAGTTTTTTTTTTTTTTTTTTTTTGCGGTCATTTGGTTGCGATAAAGCCCCTCTATCCTGGGAAAAGTGGCGTCATTCATTGTTGTGGAAATGCTCGAGACACGTGCCGCGCGCCACTTCTGAGAAGAACATGGCGTCTGAAATCTAGCTCAGCGCTGCACTGTGCCGCCGTGATCTCCCCAAGGGCTGCACGTTGCACGTGCCTCGTGCATCGACGCACCTTGCGCTACTTTCGAAACATGAAGGGGCTTTAGGCTGCGACTGAACTGTATTCCCCCTGGTGCCGGTGTCCCCTGTCATGAACCTTGCTTCATTTTTCTTCTTGTTCTGTGTACCTTCCTTTTTCGTCCTTGTCTCTCTGCACTCGATTTCTTTTTATCACGTTCAACGTTTAACAACTCGCCCAGCTCACCACCTTACTATAGCGTAAGCTAATTGAATAGCCGCTGTATTTCTCGTTGAATTTTTGGTGCAAAGTACATACAGTAACGTCGCATTTGTGTTCAATACAATACCCGACGCTCTAGCGCGCACATTTGAGCGGGCCCGGAGGCGATGTTCTTTCTATGTATATTTTTTGCGCTGCAAGAATCCGGTAGAGAGGAGTCGCAGATAGGCGGTGTGCGTAGCTCGCTGCTGGCACAAAGGTGCAGAACTTATCTTTGTAAACGCCGCAAAGACAAATAAAACTAGAGCAAAGTTTCCGTTGCAACTAAACTGTCAGTAGTGCGAAGAGGACGTGACACAATTAGGACGGACAAAGAACCGCCGTTGTTTCTCGCTTCTTTTTAATTGAAAGGTTGCAAATCAAGTCATTACCGATTCAGGGTAGCAACGTTGGCGGTATAATTGATCGCTCGTCAAAACCCCCTCAGAATAAGATGTAAAAAATGCGCCGTTCTATAGTGTTCGCACCGACTGCACGTCGCGCTATATCCGCCTGAACAACTTCTTTACAATCTTGTTCGAGTGTCGAAAAAGTATGCGTACGACAAGGGTATCGACTTAACGCGCGCAAATTGCGTCAACAGTCGCAACAGCTTGGTAACGGCGCTCGGCTCTCGCCGTTTCTACTATAGCTGCTGCCTCCGTTTAAAACGGCGCAGTTTGCGGGCGCTCTTCGTCTGCCAAAGCCTCGATGGCAGCAATATATACTATCTCTGGTTGCGAAAAAAAATTCGGACTCGAAGGGTCGACACTACGGCGGCACGAGGTCTCCTTTCCGCCATGCTTGTTGACCGCGTCCCAAAACGTGGTCCCTCGATTTCCGCCTCGTGACGTCATAACTGACGCAGCGCTCGCGTCCAATCCGTGCCCGGCCACGTTTGCCTCTTCAGATGACGTCAGGAATTCAGCCGTCCGGCCTTGTTGTAGGTGTTTGTAGAGTCAACACCACATGGAAGACGAGGCCTAGCGCCGTTCCCTACGCAAACGTCTTCAGATGTGGATCCCCACGCATTGCCGCCTATGCGGAGCGCACGTACGTCTGCTTCTTGCATAGAAGGTCGCATTGATGTCGGAACGCCGAGCTCCTATTGGCTGATGTTGAAAAAAATAGTGGGCAGACCTCGAGGCATTTATAGCGTTGAGGTCTACCCACTATCCTTTCAATGAAAGCCAATCGGAGCTCGGCGTCGGTCTGACGTCACCACAATTTTTCCGCAAGAAGCAGACGACTTGCTCTCCTAGCTTGCGTCAGCGTCGCCGACAACGCACCCACTTTCAGAACGCTTGGACGACCGTTTCGTGTTCACATCAGATCTTCACGGAGACAAACGATGCTGCCGGTTTTTTGAAGTGATATGCTCGCTGCGGGAAACTGTGAAGTCCGAACTCCGTTCTCCTGCACAGGGAGCTTTACAGTATATATCGCTCCGGTATAACTCCGATAACGATACCAGATGCTCCGCCGACACCTTTGTGCATGCGTCATATCGTTATCGGGTGTCCTTATCGGGGTTATCGAAGCGGTCTACTAAAACTCCCTGGTAGGGAGCTTTTAGTAGATCCTTCCGATACCTTCGATAACGGACGGTGATACGACGCATGCGCAAAGTTGTTGGCGGAGTATATCGGGTATCGTTACCAGAGTTATATCGGAACGGTCCTCTAAAGCTAGGGAGTTTTAGGGAACCATTTTCGCACATACGATACGGACGATGGACCGTCCGGAACGAAGTGCGCATGCGTGAGTCTTCTGCGGTTGCGCATGCGCAGTGCGTACCGGAGGGCCCATCCTATTTACCGTATCAGATGTGCAAATACGGTTCCCTAAAAGTCCCTAATAGTCTCCGACAACAGGACGGTTTACCAAAATTGGTGGATTAAAAACATTGGGCAAGTTACAGTTTCGTGATTCTAATCCAGTAATGGACAGTACGAAATGCCCGTTTTCAACCTGGCAGAAAAATCAGTCGTTTTGAAAATCCGAAGCCGTAAAAAATAACGGTTACTTTTTCCAGTAACGGCCAATTACTTTTCTTCTCAAGTAATAAAGTAATGTATTGGAATACTTCTTAGCCAGGAGTAATTGTTTTGTAATCAATTACTTCTTTTTCGTGTAATGTGTACGAGACTGCCTCTAACAAAAAGAGGCTCGTGGCACGAACCGAAAGCAAATACGAAACCAAACCGAACTGACCTATAAGGACCGAACAATAACGAACAACTACGCGAACTTTTTCATACGCTCTCCTCTGCGAGCGCTCATTTTTCTCTCGCTTTTCGCGATGTCAACAACACGTGCGACGCGACGTAGTTGAACCCGTCGCTTTCGGAGACGCGTAAATAGCTTGGTTTTATCTTGCTTTCTCTTTCAATTTTTCCTAAATACCCGCTGCTTTATATTTTTAGCCCTTTTCACCCAAATGCTCTGAAAAAAAAAAGTTTTGTTAAATTTACAGCCGCGCTGCAGATTTCTTCATTCAAATGTGCTAAATCGCGTTGAAAACGTTCAATGACAGGTCCTTATATCCGATATTTCGCTATTTTCCGGTTCGTTATAAGTGGGAATTACTTATTTTCTCGCGCTGATGCGCTACTGCGCCACATTAAGTGTTTGGCGTTTTATGAATTGAACAAAATGCACGGTTGTTGACCTGGGCTGAACTGTTAATTTGTTTCGGCGTGCAGATGTCGTCCTTCTGGACCAGCCGGTGTCCGGCATGGACATCCTGGACAGCTTCTTCCTCATCGACTACCTGCGACAGTGGGCCGCCAGAGGGCGCATTGTCATCATGACCATCCACCCGCCCACCTACGAGATCTTCACGATGATGTCCAGAGGTTTGTATTCAATAAAAAAAAAGCAATATATATTCTAAAAAAAATAACAGCCAATCATAGCAAACAGGCTGAAACGACATGCGCACTGTCCCTGGGCTCATAGATCTTTTCCACAAATAATCCTACTCTGTTTTTTTTTTTTTTTTTTTTTTTTTGCTGGAATTTTTTTTTTTTTTTTGTGTTTGCCCTGATTGGTTGTATCTGCGCACTGCAGGAAAGTCAACTCAAATACTTTTTTTTTCGAGTGTACTGCGCGAAATTCGGGCGTTGGATGAACTTGCTGTTTTGGACGTTGCAGTTGCCATCATCTCGACGGGTAGGATGGTCTACCACGGCAAGAGGCGGGACCTGCTCCCTTACTTCTCGTACATCGATTTTCCCTGCCCGGCGTACAAGAACCCGTCCGATTACTACTGTGAGTTGAAGCGATAAAGCGGGAATATATGTGGCTTTATTTTTTATGCATTTCATTTGCCCCGAACTCAGAGAGATAATAAGATTGTTCGTTTGTTTTTTACATTGGACAGCCAGTGCTCAAAATCAACACTGCACGTTCATACTACGAAGAACAGGAATCATATTTTTGTGCAAAAGCAAAACCTCCCCCCCCCCCCTCCCCCCTTCCCGGAACCGAATGATCCCGCTCGCTACATAGAGTAAAATGATATATTTTGATCAGGGATAATCCGCTTAGTCGGTTTTGTCGGAGATTGAACACGAGGGCGTTGTAAACTTCAAAATTAGCGGGAAAAAATAATAGATACCTGCAGCCAATCGTCGTTTCGGGACCCCACGACGTCGAACAAGGGTCGTCATGTCCTCGTGTTGTCATGACGATGCGTCTGCTGGTATAGTTGTAGATGAGATTTCACGCGCTAAGTCCTGTCACGACTGCCTGAATATTCATGACAGCCGCGATTTAGTTTGCCTCATTATATAGATCGAAAATAACCTTCGAAAGACCAACATTGCTTGTATAAAAACTGGCGGTTAAATCGGGTGTTTTTGTGCGCGGAGAAGGTTCGCGACACCCTATTTCAAGCAACCCGGTCTTTAGCTGGCCGCGTACGTGGGCGTGTCGGTGTGTAATTAAAACCAATAAAACAGCGGAAAAAATATACAAGGAGAAATAAAAGACACGTAGAAAACACAGCGCTTCTAAACAGTGTCTTCCACTTTTCACGGTATCCTTTTTTAGCGCAGTTTTATTTATTCTAATCGAGCCACCCTCGTTGCTTTCATGGCCCGGGACGGCTTTCTACGAGTAAGTAGGGTTGTGCGAATATTCGACATCTCGAATAGTAGTTTCGAATAATAAACTATTCGATATTCGCTTCGAGAAGAACTGCACTATTCGCGTTTTTCGAAGTGTTGATTGCGGTGGATTAGCCCCGTTGAGGGCGCTTCTTTCTGAGCTACGGCGCACAGCAAAGAAGCAGTACCCGGAGAAGCGAGCTCCGCGGGTGTTGCTTTTCTGCCTTACATCGGTGCTCGGTAAGAAGCGCACTCAACGGGATAACCCGCCGCGATAAACATTTGGAGAAGTATGAATATCACAATTGCGCGCTTGGAAGAAAAGCATGCATTCAAAGCGGGATGGTGCACGCGTGCCGGCTGTATTTGGGAATAAATTAAAAATTTGTGAATGTGTATATCGACATTGTAGTAAAAGTTCCAAAATTAAACTGACTTATGCTAGAGTTGTTGTTAGGGTTATGCTAGGCAAAGATGCCCTTGCAACCTGTGTTCAACATGCGCGATTATTCCTTTTTTAACTCGAGATTAAAGAAGGAATATTTTATATAGCAATATTTGTAATTTCACTGAATTGGGTATAGTTGGCCATCCCTATAGGACTCATTTTATGTCAAATTCGTCGTTTACTTGCCATCCCAAGACATCAAACCTTATGAAGACACAGTTCAAAAATATAATCTTAGCTTACAAATGAACAAGTAAAACAACCTTCACAAGTTTAGCTGGGTTTTCGTCTAAGCATTAGGCAATGGTAGTGAAAGGCGTGAAAAAAACTATTCGATATTCGAATCGAAAATATGCGGCCAAAACCAGTATTCGCTTCGAATTCGCAACGAACTCAAAATCCACTATTCGCACAAGACTGCTTATAAGCCGCGGTGCCACTGCTGAGGCGTTGTGGAAAAGACGTGGTGTTCTCTGCATCGCGCGCCTCAAGCACGTTTACTTCATACATATGTGTGCTTCGAAGCTGTTGACATACAGTTTCTGTATTATGACCAATGTGGCCAGACCGTCCTACGAGAAATATGGATGGATGAATGCAAATGGCTATACCCGTTGTGACGAGCGGTAGCTTGCGCCACCTAGCCTACCCTAAGAAGAAACACGCCTCAAAAAGTGTCTGCAAAATGTCTAGTACGGTGTACGAGCAATGCAACCGCGGCTTTAACGGTTCGTTGCCCACGCGGAGTCATTGAGCGGCGGTCCGTTCTTGTCCTGGCCAGTGGACCTGGTGACGCTGGATAACCTGTCACCCGAGGCGATGCTGGAGTCGAGCCAAAGGGTCGAGAACCTGGTGGAAGTGTTCCGACGACGCCAGGGCGCCCTCTCGGACCCGGGCCCTCCGGGCACCGCACCCGCCGACGTCTTCAGGGCAGGATTCTTTGGCCAGATGCTGGCGCTTTGGATGTGAGAACAACACCTTCCTCTCCCCCCACCTGTAGAAGGCAACCTGGAGGAAGATGTAGGCCTCTGTCTTTAGGCGCGGTCTGAACCAGATCGGGCTGCGGGTCCCCGTGGCCGCAAAGTTCTTACGTGCCGTGTGACGTCACTGGTGACGTCACTGGTGACGTTCTGCGGCTTCCGCCGCCCGCATTTGGAGTTGAATATATTTCAGCTTTCGGGGAACACGGAATGGCCCGGCTCTCTTCTCCTTTCGCGTCCGGGCCCCACGCGGCTAGCTCAGCTAGCTACCGTGGAACTGCGCTTACCGCAACGGTTAGCAGAAGTCGCAAAGACTGTGGTTTCCGGGATCCGCAACCCGCGGTCCGGTTTACGAGTTGAACCGGCCTTTACACCTCGAATATTGTTCTTAGTGAATGCACGCGTCTATGCTAAGCGCAAGTTCGTCTGCTTCTTTTGCGGGGGCTGTGGTGACGTCAGAAAACTGAGCTTTTACTGGCTCTGATGGAAGGATGGTGGGTTGACCTCGAAGCAAGCTGCCTTGAGGTCTACCATTATCCTTCAGTCAGAGCCAATCGGAGCTCGGCGTTCTTGCGTCACCACAGCCCATGCAAAAGAAGCAGACGAACTTGCGCTCCGTAGAGCTTGCGTCCGCGTCGCCACAGCCGCGTCCCTCACGCGTTGGTAGGCGTCTCATTACGAACGCAACTATGCCAAGAGACCGGCGTTCGCCGCTTTGCCGCCTACTCTCGTCAAATTTTAGATTGTCTGCTGCTTGGAGCGCGTCGAGGAATTATAAATGATGATGTAGCGCTATTCTATCCGAAACAGGAAAAAACAGGATTGTTATATGATTTTTTTTTTTCAATGAACGTACCAGAACTTTAAAAAAAATAATAATAAACGTTCGCAAATTTTCATATAACCGCGCGCTCGTTGGCAAGCCGTGCAAGCGCGTGTGCGTGGTCTAGTCCGTAGCGTCACGTGTCACGTGACGTCATACGTGGCTGTGACGTCATACGTGGCTGTGACGTCATGACCCTATCGACCCGCTAAATTTTGCGGGAAAATTTCGCACTAAATTTGGGGGGGGGGGGGGGATTTTTTGCTAAATTTGGTGGACACATTTTCCGCTAAATTTGGCGAGAAAATATTCTCGCCAAATTTAGTGGGTAAATCCCATAATGCAACGCGCGTAGCGACGTGTGACACACGTGGCTGCGCGCGTTGCCTTATGGGATATTTCGGTCCCACCGACTCCGACGCCGGATTTTCTTCGACACGAGCTCGCACAGGCTATAGTGTTAAAATATATAAGTCTCATAGAAGTCACCATCCTATATGTTCTTGTATGTATAATAAACACATTGCAATTTTTTATTATTATTATTATTATTGTTGTTGTTGCAGTTTAGGTAACGTATTCACTCAGAATCTATCACAGCTGCCATAAACACGCGACAGCCTCTTTCTCACTTTTTTTTTTTCACAAAGTTGAAGGGAGTTTTTTTAGACTTCTAGTGTATGGGAAATATGCTCGTGTGCGGCTACCTGCTTGGACGATCATATTCAATGTCCGAAACTAACTTTAATCAACAAAATGCTTAAAATATGATGTAGTCTTTCCACGCAGTTTACACAGTAACTCCCATGTGCACCGTTTTTCGCGAATAGTAACAATTCACACTCATAACGAAGCACAGTTTACGACAATAAAATGGTGTCTTCCAGTTCATTGTCTTATTATATACACCGTCGTACACTCCCTAAAACTTGCACCGTCGCTTCAGTGCTTTCGCTACCCCTAAACTGCAGGAACAGTCGTAGCATAGCCCGCTGCAGTTGATCTATAGACCCTCAATGTATCGGTCACACTTTGAACGACTGCACAACACTGTACTGTAGCCCAATATGTCTATAGACTCTCTTCAAAAATGTGCTCCATCTTGTGGCTGTTGTGTTATTTATCCGAGTCGGTCATTGTTTGGGCTCGCGCATTCTGAGCATGTATTGGACACAAGGGTTGTGTCTGCGTTCAGCGAGCACTCGCATCCAATCATGCATCATGAGATGGCAAGCAGCAATGTTGCTTGATGGCGATTTATAAAAGGTCAATGGCTGACTGTCTGTCGGCGTCTGGACGCCACCTGTCCTTGCCTTCCAGTCGCGCCCTCATCTACACTCTGCCATACAACGTGATGCACTTCTTCCGGCGTCTCTTCCTGGCGGCCTTCATCTCCGTCCTGCTGGGCGCCATCTTCTGGAACGTGCGGGCGGGCATCGAGCAGGAGCACGTCTTGGACAGGCTGGGCTTCCACTACGCCCTGCTGGGACTCTGCCTCTGGCCCCTGCTGCTCGGAGACATCACGGACGGTGTGATGCCTCTGTTCTCGGGGACGTCATGCGCGCTATGAACGTTTACTCCCTTAATGGTGTAAAAAAGGCTTTTTACACCCTTTCAGCTGCCTTGTTTCGAGTGATAGGCCCCTTTATACAGATTCAGTGTTACCAGTCAAACTCCAGGAGAAAACCGTCACGAGGAACTGACGTGAGGAAACATCATGAAAACCCGTCACGAAAAAACCGTCACGTACAATTTCTTCGCTGAATTTATTGTCATAGTGATGTCAACTTAGCGGGGAAATTGACGTCACGTGACCACGATGTGTGACCTCGAGTCGTGACGTCATTTTTCGCCTTAAATCGAGTGGGGAATTCATGTCACGTGACCTTTTCATGTGACCAAGCCGTATGACGTCACTTTCCCCGCTCACTTTAGCGAAGAACGTTATGTCACGGGGCGTTAAGTTCATCGCTAAGTTTAGCGGGAAATTGACATGATGCGTCATGTTGTCTCAAGTCACTCGACGTCAATTACTGCGAGATGATAGTTTGCGCTTGACACGCTCTGGTGCTCTTTTGTCAGCATGGACAAGCAATTCTTTTATCGTAAAATAGGGTGCACATGAAAACCCTTCATTTTCGAAGGATGCAAAAAAGGGTGTTGAAAAGGATGTTACAGTAAGTTGAGACGAACACACCTTTTTAAAGGGTGTTCCCCGTTTAAAAATACTTTTAGCGGATATTATTTGTTATGTCGACTGAAAAAAAAAAAACATACTTTTCATTACAGTCTGGAAGGAGAAGCCATTTGTGGTGAGAGACATCAATGAGCAGCTCTACACGGGCCTGGCCTACGTGGTCTCCAAGGTAATACTTCCGCAATATAACGCGATATAGACTCAGTGTTTTATTTTTACATTCATGTGCGAACGCCACACTGGCAGCCGCTCTTAGCTTCACATTTCTTAATAACTATTCGTGTAGCGAACTCTGTCAGGGACAAACGCGTCCCTGGGGTACTTTGATCTGAGGTTTGCCGTTGGTAATCCTGCTGTGCAGTGTCCATGGTAAAAATTACATTTATAGGATGAAAGATTAAAGAATGAGGAATTAGTGTGCCTTGAAATGTGTCTGGAGTCTCCGCTCTCAATAGACGGTTTAAACACCTTATTATGGCCGTTAACTTGGAGTCTCTAATGTACGTCAGTGGTGATTATAGTCGGTTATGGGTTAAATTTCTGCACCAGCAGCTCGCGCTCATTGCTTTTCACAAAGCTTGGGCTGCACGTAAGACGAAGTGTTATCAAAGGCAGAAAGATCTCGCGGGAGACAGAACATTTAGATACCAGAAACGTTAACGTAGAACATTTTCCCCTTGTTCTTTTTGAAGATCTATGAAGCGAAGCTCCTCCACGCACTTCTTACAATTGCAACATTATTTACTTTTGTTTTCTTACTCCCGCAGCTCACGTACAGCTTACCGACGGCGGCGGCCATCTTCGCCGCTTACGTCTTCCCGGCGTTCTCCATGACGGGCCTGCCGCGACAAGAAGAGACCCGCAACTTCGGTCCTTACATGGGCTACACGATCCTCTACCTACTCACGGCGCGCGCCGTGGCCCTCACGTCCGCGTGGACCTTCCCGACGCGGCACCGCGCGGCCGTCTTCACCGGCCTCATCCTGCTTATCTTCAGCATGAGCGGCGGCTACGCCGTCCACCTCATGGACCTGTCCGTGGTCACCGCCTGGCTCCAGTGGGTGTCTCCGATGCGATGGACCCTCGAGCAGCTAACCCTCGTCGAGTTCGCGGGAGGCCCAGTTCCTCTCTACGACTGCTCGCGGAGTCCCATTGTACTCCAGGAGAACGGCATCCAGGTTCGGACCCTCTGCGGCCTGGTGACGGACAACCACGCCCTGGCGCTTTTTGGGCTCAACCAGCAGTGGCCGGCGGCGCAACCCGTGCTTGTGGTGCTCGCCGTTCATGCCGTGTTCGTTCTTGCCGGTGTCATCTTCGTGGCACTCAAGTTCAAGGGTCCGGAGGCGATTGTCGACAAGACACGCTGAAGAGGTTCCCGTGACCTGCTTGTCGAGGATAACCGCCGTTGGCTTTGCTTGACTGACACTCGTAGGGCTGCTCTGGACCTTAAGCGCTCTCAAAAGTCAAACCACACTCACTACCAGCTTCAGAACGCCGTTCAAATGATGTCAATCCGTTATGCTGTGCGCATTGTGATGTCCAAATAACGACAGATCTAAGGGCGTGCAGTCCACATAATCGCGCATCGTAAGTAGCATACGTGACTAAAAACATGGCAGAATAAGTGAATATTTTCATCATCATCACTTCTTTTAATCCATCCACGGCGGAAGCGAACCATACACCCGGATATAGACCAGCGTCCTCACTCCCGAACAGCACAAGAAAAACATCGCCTTGATGGTGTGTAACTTGCTCACTTGATCGACTGCTTTCGGGGTCCATCCAGTTCGGTTGCTACCGCCAACAGATTCTCAAGTTTCAAAACTGGATGACAATTGGATAGCTTAGCGGTTGTCGCTGCCTGGTTTGGCACCGAGCTTATAAACTCTTTGGCGCCATCTGCAAGGGTCTGATGACACTTGATCGCATCATCCATGTCCACTGAGATTGCCAGCGCCCGCAGGGTGCACTCAACGAAGTGTGTGTAGATGAGTACAACTTGCTACTACTTCCCGCAATTGTGACCATATATACGTTTTTCCACTCTTATCAATCCAAAAGGCACGCAGTGCAGATCTATAATGTTGCAGAATTACTTAGAAGCCAAAAAAAAATCCTAGTTCGCTTGTCTTTTTCGTTTAATTTACTCAGTTTCGGGTGTCCGTCAGGTACCTCATATTGAGTTCCCTGAAAACTTAAGGGGTGGGAGAAACGCCGCGCGCGGTTTATTGCTGTCGTCGAACTTGCAAGGCTCAAGGTAAGGCAAGCATCTCCACGGAGCCACAACACAGAGCAAACCATCATCGACGATATTCAACAATGACCTTGAACTGTTGTTTCAGTTGGTGTGACCTGATGGTCAGTAACATGTGTGATCATCTTCGAAATATATCGTCGGAGAAAAGAACACCCCTTTGAATTATCAGACATCAACTACATGCTGAACTTTGTAGGAAATTCTGGTACCAGTTTTTATTTTTATTTCTCTCTAACAAAGAAAAAATACCTAAATTTAACCACTTGTGTCATTCACGTATTTCGGAATGTTGATATGTCCCACGTTCGATTCCCCATAACAAAAGTTCCCGAGAATTCCTTGTCTGTCGGAAGATTCAAGGTTACTTCTCTTGGTTGATGTTCTCTATACTGCCAGAAAGTGTGATCTTTCTTCTTGTCGTCCATGTGCAATCGCAGCTAATGAAAGACTAAAGCACTCAAGCGATTCATCTGGTAACAAACTACAAGCTAATGTTTACTTGTCACTAAGAATACTCTTTTGTGTCTCGGACTTCGTGTCCTCAGAGGACCCAGAATCTTCGTTGATTCTGCATGTGGGGAAATGATGTCCCAGAGAGCGGTCTCGAAGCTCTCTTGAGAAGGCATGCTTCCTAGACAAAAACAAAAAGACGAAAGCTTAAAAAAAAAAAAAAGGTTGTTTCGGTCAATGTGAATGTCTCCTGTTTTGTTACCCGGCACGGATTGAGTCTACTGCACGTGAGACCTGCCTGTGCCATACAACTGTCTGCGGCGGAATCGTACAATTTTCTTGGTGTACTAGTACCCTGATATTTTCCGTAGGGGTGTATATATCTAGAACTGAAATTACTTTTGTGGTGTAACGTGTGACGTAACAAGACTGTTTCTGTAAATAAACATGTTTTATTTTTTGCCTAAACATGTTTCTCACTCCTCGTGATGTACCGAAAGTCTACGTACGTATACAATGAGAGCAAGGCTTATCAACTGGAAAATGAACAAGTAGAAAGGCTAAAGAAACGAAGGAGGCGTAAAATTGCTAGCGTCATTCACTGCCCATTTAGTACACTAGACTGTTGTGCAACCACGTTCATGACTTTTGGGATACTTTTTTTTATTACTGCGCAGTGAAATGTTTTAGTAGTAGCACATCAAAGCTCAGGTCGGCAAAAAGAAAAAGAGTAGAATTCTCTTACTCGGGTTAAGTATGGACTTCTCTACTGACTGCGTCTAGTAAGTGACTTGTTCAAAAGGGTCGAATATGAGTGAAGAAGCCCTGATAATGTTGATCCGTGGGATAGTTGGCAATTCATGCTTGGATGGAACAGCGCAGATATACAGTCAGACTCACAGGCCTGTGAGTGTGACTGTGTATCCGTGCTGTTTCATCCAAGAGGAAGCCCTAGCTAGGTCTGTGTGGCCGCCATTTTGAAGGCACGTAAAATGCCGTATGAACACTCGGTCATGCATGGTGAAGAGATAAATACTGAAAAATATCCGATGAACGGCAACTAATACCGCAAATCATGGACGCGGCAACTTCACGTTTTACGTACGAACTTCTATGAAAAGGGAACCGGTACTGCAGATCGCGGACGGGAGGAGTTTCGCGTTTCACGGTGCGATAAGCGCGAATTCTCAAGTCAAGGGATCCGATATCGCGCTTGCAGATCGCGAACACGGCAAACACGGCTTCCATTGTGCGATAAACACACGGGAACCTGCTGTGAACTTGCATGTCGCACGCACCGGTACCCGAGATCGCGCGATGGACATTGGACATCCCGCCGGGATGTCCGATTGGAGTTTATTGAGGGTGAGCAATGTTTCGGAATTTCCAGCCTGTGTAGCCAGAAAAACGGGATGGGCGATCTCTCGGGGGTGGGCGTTCATAAGGGAAGTTACGTATCAGCGTCTTCGATATACACTGTGAGATCTGTAAGCCGTTCCTGCCGCTCTTATCCTGTGTGGCTGAAGCGCACAGTCTGCTAGCCGGGCTCTACCTGACTGCTCTACGATGTCGCAGGTGACAATTTGTTCAATGTCTGAAGGGCAATGGACAACACTCATTAATTCGTCGATGGCGAAGTTGTCGAATCTCGTCCTAGATCAATTTGCAGAAAGGGAAACCAGTCAAAAAGGGTAAAAAAAAAAAATCCTATAGGTCGCGTGCGCTACCCCGCTCTCCCTGAAGAGAGAGAGCAAGGGCAGCGGCTGTTGCTCGCCTTTCCTCGCTCGCTCGCCATCGTATCCTTCGTCGCCTCCGTCGTCTGCTACAACGGTTCTTTATCTACCGTTCCCGCCATTCCTTTCGGCACCGCGGACAGCGCTGCACGTTTTGCAATAGGTCTATTTGTCGAATGAGAAAAATGAAGGTATTCTTACACGAACAGGTCGCAGTCGTTTTAGTATACGATGACTGAGCAATGGGCGAGCTGAGGATCATATTCAAACTGATTCAGCCAGCCCGTGCCACGCGTGTTTATGGATGATGATATTGGTGATGAATGCATGAATGAGCATGCTTATTTTTTATGTAACATCTTTCGCCCCCCTTGTAGAGGATGACATTTTGGAGTCAGTGGGGTGTCATTAAGCGTGGATGGGTGGATGGGTGATACGGCTTGAGTCGGCTGACGTGAACCAGGGCTGGACAGTATCGCGATACAAATATATCGCGATAGAATTTTAGAGATACTTTCGAGTATCTTATCTCTCTATCAAGATACATTTGAAAAATGTATTTGTATCTCAGTTGTGGAATACCTTCACAGTGTATCGCTTGTATCTCGATACTCTGCCAGACTTAGTTATCTCGTTATATGTGTTGACGTTTTTACGATGAATTTAAAAGATAAAACATCCGCTCGGTGCAAGGTGCTTCAAAATTTATGACATGAACCCGCCCAATAATACATCACAGTCGTCCACGTTAAAATAAAAAAAGAAAGAACTGTGCTTTGAAGAAGGTTACTTTCATGAATAACAGAATAAGCTCCCGCCAAAGCCCTCCACTCTTACCAATTTAGCAGGGCGAGGCTGTAAAGGAGTTAAGTGGAGAAAAGGCACGGCTCTGTTTTCCAATGTCCTCATACTATGGGTGACTGAGATGCTTATGAGACGACAATATGAGGTGCGCCTTCTCGGCAAAGAAAGGGTTCGTTTTGTGAAGGCGCCTTGTGTCAAGCATGGCACGCAGTGTGGTTCACCGTGGGTGACATGTCTTTTTTTTTTTCTATTATTGTTTTTTGCGCCATTTTTGATAAATTAAAAGTTGGATATAGGGGTAAGTGCACAAAAAGACACAAAAAGAGGAGCGCAAGCCTAAATTAACAATTTGCATTCGCCACGCCCTCTTCACGTAGTAACGTTCGGGAACATATATCTTTCTAGAAGTATTTATATCTGGATTCCGGAATACTTTTTCGCTGTTTTTGCAGAAGTATCTCAGGGATATCCCTTTGCATAAAAGACAAATGTATCTCAGTATCTGTTTTTTGGCCCTTAAAATACATGTATCTCAGTTTTTGTATTCTCGAATACTTTTTGGACTATCTCTGCCCAGCCCTGACGTGAACTGTTTGGCAGCCACGGTGACGGTGGTGCACAGGACTGGCGAGTGGCCCTATTATGTAATTCACTGGGGATGTTTGGGATATCTCCTGATACGGTCCGTGGTGTTTGCACAGAAGCTCTTCGGAGAGGCCCACTTCGCATTGGCGAATCCAAAGCCGCGCTAATAGCGCGTTCACACTGGAATCGGATCCGCGTTCGCGAAGCGGATCCGCGCGTTCTCAACCGCAAAGCGGCTAGGATCGAGCGGTTGGAGCGCTTTTTTGCCAACCGCTTCGGGACCGATTTCTCCCAACCGCTTTCACGAACCGCAAAGCGGCAACCAATCACAACGCGACGCTGACGTGACGTCAGTGACTTTCGAAACAAGATGGCACCTGTCGCTGGTGAGGCGTCCAAGGCGCTGTAGTCCTAGCGCTGTAGTCTTAGCTTTCGACAAATCAACTGAGAAACTTGATGTTCACGTCCGTCACTTGAATCCGCCGCGAAAAGAATTGACTCGTAATTTTAACGGGCTTTGCACCGGTGATTTAGTTCGGGTAAGAGTTTGTTTATTATTCCGGGTGCCAGAGCCCAAACTCGCTGCCTCGTTAATCTCTGCCTGTAGGTCGGAACCCGGCCCTTATCGACCGAAATGTCAGCTTTTTTACCCGCTAAGATAGTCGCATGGACTATTGAAAGTTCTAGAATAGCGTGATCGCAGGCTACCGTACGACACCTTGCGGTGCACCTTTAAAGCATAATTTTCTGCGCGCGCCAGGAGCTTTAATAGCGAGAAAACGCGCGCGGCGCGCCGATCGCGTTGAAAACGGGTTCCGCAAGACTCGATCTTCGGCGAGCAAAAGCGTCCCTCGTCCGCTCGATTGCCTCGAGAATCCTCGAGATCTTGCGGGAAATCATGCGTTCGCTCGAATGCTTCAAGAGTGGGCGAGGCCTCCTGTGCTGTCACGTGACATTCGCGGAGGCAGAACTCTATCTGGTGTGGTCTTCAGGATGCGGGACGCGTCTTCCCGCGATCGGCGTGCCACGCGCGTTTTCTCGCTAGTGTGGGCGGCCCTTTACCGTGCTCACGGTAGCCTTTGGTAACGCTGCGCTAAAACTGCCTATAAACGTCATCGGCGTGTTTAGGGGTTTTATTTATTGCGTCGCGAACGGCTGGCAGTGAAGTTTCGTTTGACCTTTGAGAGATAGGGCAAATACAAAATAAAAAAAAGGAAAACGTAGCCCCCCCCCCCTTTCCCCCCCCTTCCCCCCCCCCCCCCCCCCCCCCCCCCGGCGAGGGAGTCGCCAATTTACCTCTGGTCAACCTTGTTGGGGTTCTTTCCAAAACCCAGACCCGCTGAGAGACAGGGTTGAGACTTTGGGCCGAAGCCACGCGGGACGGAATCCCAATTTTCCTCTGTTCTTTCTGTCTCCAGTTGTGCTAGTTGCTTCACCAATATGAGTTTTCCCTAGTCTCCCTCTCCGCGAATGCTCTAACCTCCTTTTTGTTATCTCAACTTTTTTTATAATCCACCCTTCCATATTCTCCACAGAAGCCCAGGGCACGTCTGTTCCCCCTCAGGGAGGGCAGGTTTAAGCCTCTCCCTCTTCAAAACTAGGTGTTCTATAGTTTCGCTCTCCACTCTACATATGCAACAAGCTGTATCTATGTCTTCGAGTTTTGCCCTATAAGTCTTCGCTCTGGCCTCAAACAGTAAAGAGCTCCCCCGAGAATTATCACACAACGTTTCTTACCTCATTTCTTGTTTTGACAACCTATATAGTTAAAGCTGATGTATTCTGTATACTTTCTTCCCACATCTCTCTCGCTCTCTTTTTCTCTCTCTGCATCTACTGACTTCATTTCACTGCCCGCTTGTAAAAAAAATATTTCCGAGCTTTCGAGTCTGTTTCATCTAATTCGTGTTCAAGCATTTCATGTATAGGAACTTATATACCTTAGATGCCCACCTCATATGCCCCACATCAGTTAGCCCTTGGTCCAACTTTACTTTATTTTTTGCCTTTCTGCTCTCAAAGGATGCCTAACCCCTATCCCCCCGTACCCCTTCATTTAGTGTGTTACCATGCGCCCCTAAAGCTAACCTGCCCACACTCCTTTGCCTTACCTCTAAGCTTGACCGTACTTCAGATTTCATACACAAAACTGCATTACCGAAGTCTACCCATGGTACCATTGCTCCTTTCCATGCCCCCCTCACAACTTAGTATTTATTAAAGTTCCATATGTAGTGCTCTGTGTTTCATAATAGCCGAATTTCTTTTCCCCTTGTTTATTACAATATCTTTATGTTTATTCAGATATTTTCTTCCTTCATATAACCATACTCCCAGATATTTGTACTTTTCTACATGTTCTGTGACAGTGGCCATGCATCTTCAGGGTTTCTCCCTTCGCGTCGTTATGAAGTAGTATCCCAGACTTGTCCCTACTGAGGTTCAGGACTAAAGTATCCCTTTCCCCGCCACAAAAGCTAATTACAGTCCCGGCATTGTCTCTCGACTCTCTGCAACAATTACAATGTCATCTGCATACATCAGCCCATGGTAAAACTTGATTTACTGTTTTCCTTCCCTCCATTTAAGCCAGATCAAATCCTAAATTGCATTGCTCTAATTTTTTTCCCCATTTCACTGAGGTATATCAAAGGGCAGGGGAGACAATGGGCAGCCCTGCCTAAGTCCTCTTTTTATTGCTGCTGGTTTTGATGTTTCGGCTTCCCAAGTTATAACTACCCTGATATCTGCATATATATGTTCTATACTTCATCAAATTTTCATTTAGTTCATATGTTTTCCGTCAATCCCAGAGTTTTGCCTGTCAAAAATATCATCTGCTGCAATTTGACGCCGGCTCTCGGCGCCGTATGCTCGTTCGTTGGCGGCAGTTGGCGTTGCGACCGCTTGCGCCATCTCTAGTCTTCCGTGCCAAACGGCGCCCGGTGGCTTCGCTGCGTTTTTCCCATAGGAGTTAAACCTTCTTCTTCTTTTTTTTTTTTTTTTTTTACTTTTTCCTCGGGTAAGCTTGTTCTTTGCAAATTTTATAGAAAGAATGCACCACCAATGGGCAAAGCTGCACAAAATTGTAGAATGATAGGTTAATAAACCGATTTTTGCGGTCGATTTAAAGAGCTTGGCCGCTATTGGAAACACCCACTAGAGTGTTATACCCCTGTTACACGGGCACACTTAACCGCGGTTAGGCTAAGCCGCAGTTAGCGCACAATACTTGCCGACAACATTCTGCGGCTATGCAGTCAAAGCTATGGGCGAACGTGCACTTGAGCATCTTGAGCATCTATCAAAGCAGTGCACGCGCGCTCTTCACTTCTTCTGAAATAGCTGTCAGAGAGTATAGTGCGGTAACTGTGGTGCCGCGCAAAAGCAGTTAAGCTGAGTTAACCGCAGTTAAGTGTGCCCGTGTAACAGGGGTATTAGTGAGCTAGGGCGAGACTGACTAGGCAAGGTCATTCTGGCCTCCTTATCCTCTTTTGCACTTAAAATAAAAGACTCGAATCTTCTAGAGCCACGGATATGCGTTCCTCTTTAGTCTTACTTATTATTATTATTATTATTTTTTAGTTTGATGATTACAGGGCAGGTTTGAAACACACCCATATTGCGAGCCTGAACATCGAGGCTTGGGGTCTCGAATTGATCATGTTAGAGTCAAATAATTGGTCTTTCATCATAATGCACGTACATCAAAATCAGAAAGAGGGCCCGACGCCGGTTTGATGTCATGTTCTAATCAGATGTTTTTCTCACGGTATTTTTAGCAGATCTCCACACGTGTGATGATTTTCGTCAGACAGCTAGCATCCCAGATCGCACGCAAATGCAATTCGTTTTCATAAACCTGATCAGTTTTCTTAGGCCTGCCATGTTCCAAATAAATACAAAATCAAAGTCGTATCATTGTTCAAATGATTCAAACCGTTGCAGACAGTATACTTCAGTCATTCCGTGTAGGTTTGTCATGCGTTTGTCCTCAGCAACAGACATCTCGACACGTCTCGAGGACTGGCGCCGAAAATATTTCACAAACAGCCGATTCTCGGCAGACGTCTGTCGTGATAAGTGTAAAATCTAGGCTTCATTTATCTAACACTTTTAGACATTTAAATTCCACGTCCGATTTTTGACCGATTGTTCTTTCGGAGCGGAATCCGGTTCCATGCATTCGTCCATTACAATGCCCCTAGCAACGGTTTGTTTGGAGCGGCGGCGTCACACTTATGGGGTCAATTGGCATAGTTTGGTTTGGCGGCCAGTACCAAATTGTAGCTGTGGACAAACGTTTTTATATCTTTTTATAAAGCGGAGAAAAAATGATCTAAGCAATGCAGTCTTTCTTGCCGGGATGCGCATGAGGACATGAGGAGCGCATTTCCTGCGCTCCTCGTGCGTTTTTTTTTTTTTTTTTTTTTTTTGTGTTTGGGAGCGTTTAAAGCACGAGACATCACGACCTGTCTTGAGGACTGCACTTCGGCGCGTCGGTGGGTTGTTGAGATACGTCCTAAAGCAAAACCGAAACTTTGTAAAACGTGAAACCGAAACTGCCTTCAAGGCAATCTATCTGTTTTCTGAATCCATCCTCGTAGCCAGATTTCCTCCTTGGCCACAATGGACAAACCACGTGACAAGCGCGTCCAATCAGAGCCCACAAGGATCAACGCGCCGCCATTGGCTACGATTTGACAACAGTTGCAAAAGGAAACAACTGTGTTTTTTCTCCGAGCGGTACGTTCCGTTGCATGAATACCTACGACGCAACTTGACATTTGCCGCAATTTAAAGGTAAGAGCTCCTGTGTTCAGCTACATGCCTAGGCTAACCTCAGTGCATGAAATCAATCGTGTACAAACCCTAGAGCCGAGTCGTCCAGCGAGCGCCATGTCGCGTTGTTTATAATTGTCAGCTGTGCGTGCGATTCGACCACTGTTACCTCGTTCTACGTCAAGCTGACCTAAATTGTCGCACTAAATATGCCCATTCGATAGTGAGCCTGCTGACTTCTGACTGACATTGAGAGAATAAGATTTTTGGATGCCTCGGATACGTTTTTTTCCTGTGATTCTGCCTCGTTAGGGTAAGTTCTAAACCTTGTCTGCTTTGACGGCTTAAACCTCGTTTCTATCGGTTTACGATCAGATCACTGTGCTTCGCCGCGTTTGAGGTGTAGTGGAACGTTTTGCGACTAGTTTCGCCCGCAGCGATATTTGACAGTTCGTTATCTTAGTTTTGAGGTGAACGAGTGAGCGAAATGCAGAGGTTGGTAAGCGAGTAGGCATAGCGTCGCCGCTGCTCTCTCGTGAGTGCCGGTCCTTGCAATGTTTGTAAACTTTGAGCCGGTTTGCGCATTCTCTTCGCATGACTGGTTTTCGAAGGACGGCGCACTGCCTCTTGGTGTGGAAAGCCCTCTGAGATTGCCGTGTAAGGCGTTTAGAACCTTGGAAACGAGAAAGGTAAAAAAAAAAAAAAATACTCGAGAGAAGAGTTCTTGACGTAAACATGCACTGCTTTTCTCGTTATTGTGTGTTTGCTGTTTTTAGGAGCGTGGGTTGCGACCGATCTCGTATTTGGCTCAAGTTTGAAGCTAGTCGTAGATATCTGCGGAGTTGTCAGAATCTGGCGTCCGCCTGCTTGGTTTACCTTCGCTCTCGGTGGTTACTTAAAACGGAAAATTTTAGGACGGACGGAGTGGATGAGAAAGCGGGATGACGTGACTGGTCCATTGTTAGCATGAGGAAAGAAAAACACGGAATGTGAAATTTCACTCGTCTCTGTCTCGTTTTCATGCTTTCATTATTGTTGCTGTTCTCCAGCAAACTTGTCTGCGTCTGTGGAGGGGGTTTTCACACGAAATTGCTCCAGGCAGTTTACTTTCTGCGACTTTTTACCTCAAAGAATGTCGAGCTTTGTGGTGTAAAGGGAACGTTGAGTCATCTCTTTCTTCGCATGCACCCAACACCACACGGCAACAGAAGGCGGAAAAAACTGCGCGTGCAAAACCACTTTGTTGTGTGTAATTCTACACCAATCCACTAGTTCTTTGCTGGCCTCAACAAAAACAGTGCTATAAAAAGGAGATGTAGAAAGACAGAGTTGGAAGTGAGCACATTGGTGGCAGTGGGACATTGCTGAAAGTATAAACGCAGGGATGGACGAAACCACAGATCTTTCGGGTTGTTTTGTTTGTTCTTCTGCTTATGCTTTCAGCAACGTCTACACTTTGTTTTATTGCAAGTCAGAGTGCAGCGAGCATTACCAGCTGATGAGGACCATCATCTATGAGCGTCAAAAGTGCAGTGTCACGGCGTTCGTAGGCTTTCTGTCTGTGGGCTGTTATTCGCGAAATCATTAGAGCCCAGTGAATGAGCCGTGACCTTGTACCCTTAGTATGTGTGTCCAAGTTTGTGTATTCCTAGATTTTTAACGCACCCCGACAATTAAGACTGGTTCATGCACTCGCCTTTGCTGTGACTGAATTTGTTATGCTGTCTTGTCTCTTGTGATTCTTACAAGAGGACACACTGCCCCGCCGTCTATCGGCAGACCCGGAACACTTGCACTTTGCATACTATAATATTTAACCTGTTTTTTTTTTTTTTTTGCACATAATTCTTTTACTTTGGGCTTCGAAAACCTTATTTTTTTTTATAATGTTATAGAGGACCATTTCTTGTAGGTAGTATGCACATTTGATTTCTCAAATAGTGCTAAGCCTTCGCTCTGTAGTCAGATACAACGTAAGAAAGACAGTGCGAATGGAAAAGGGCGTGCACGAGAAAAGCCGTTGTAAAAGGGAAGTTGCTCCTCTTTATTTCAGCTTTCCTAGTTTCTGCCCTTTTCGCCCTTGCACTATCTTTCTTGTGTTTTATCTGACTATACATGTTTGCAAGAACGGCTTCAGCGCGCTGCCACCTTACTTGGCTGGGGTGCGCTTGGACGCATCACAATTCGATTACGAAGCCTTGCTAAGGCGTTGTAATCGAATTATGGCCGCGCCCAAGAGCGCACCCCACTAAGCAAGATGGTGGCGCCCTGAGACCGGGCTTGCAGACATGTATAGTTAAATGCGGTTCCATGGTTACCTTACATGTGGCCCCAGCATACCATTGCATTTTTTTGTCGTAAGCGATCACCAGGGACCACGAAGCCGCACGGCCTGCTCAGGTACAACCAGACGCAAGCGCGTGAACTAGCCTCTAGAGTGAAACAAAGAATAGGCAAGTCTTTTTTGCTTCGAGGAATCTACTGGGTGTTTTTGCAAATACTTTCAAAAGTATCTACAAGTGAGGTGGTTAAGAAAAGAAGAAGAAAAAAAAAAAAAAGGAACTCTTTCCGGGAACAAACTGCCAGCCACAGTGGACGCTCGGGATTGCAAAAAAAACCTACTAATCATTGAAACGTTCGCCTAGAATTTACTAATTAACTTTCTAGGCGGTGAAAACAAACATACGGTTCCAGTAAGAAACTTGCCTAGGCTTCCTGTAAACCCCTATATCAGTCGATTTTAAGAGGACTCTAAGCATGTGGGAATGCGCTAAAGTTCCCACTCGTGCTGCAAGCTGGAGGTGCGAGAATGCGAATGATTTTCTTATCATCCGGGCTTTCCCCACGCTTTGAGTCTTCTTAAAATTAACTGATTTAGGTGTTTTCGATGATGCTCGGCAAGTTTCTAATTGGAACCTTAAGTTTATTTTCACAACTTAAAAAGGGTAATTAAAATATTTACGTAATTATTTCACTAATTAGTCTGTTTTTTTGTTTTTTGAAATACCCAACGTTTGCCGTGGTCGGCAGTTTTTTTCTGAAAAGAGTTTAGTTGTTCCTCGAAACCGCCCTATTTGTAGAAAATTTTTGAAAGCATTCATAAAAACACTTGGCATAGACGTTTTCATCTCAGTGGTTACCCGACCAGTGGATAGGGGGCGCTGGTGCACTTGCAGCCATGGGGTGGCTTCAATTTGACTGGTTTCGGTTTCAGTACGCTCGTGGCCGTGTTTATGTTCTAAGTCTTTTCGCCTAATTTTGTGATACAAATGTGTCCGTTATAGCACACAACCAATAAAACAGTGCCATTGGGCCACCTTGAGAACCACAAAAGTGGTTTCGAGTCATAATGACAAACTTTTTTTACAAACATTTTACAATGCATCTGGCCATGTTCGCCGTTAATTTCGGTCAGGTTCGTCAGCGAAACAATATATGATGCTCTGGGGTCAGTGGGTATGTGTACGGCAGTACTACCCACTGGCCCTAGTTTCCATAAAAATAGACTAATGTGTAAATGTGTAGTAAAAATGCAGGTTCTCAACCTGATTATGAACATGCTGAATCGTGAAAAACACATGAAGTCGAAAATTAATTGCTCACTTTCTGATTTTCACAGACACCAACTTTTTGTGAACTTTAGGGACTGCAATGTATTTTATAGTAATGTAGCTATTCTAAAAAAAGTACTAAGTGGTATTGTCTCGGACTTTTCTTTGAAGAAGTATTTCGATACTCCATCCTAGGTAAGGTGAAAAATTTCTTTCACTATTAGCCCTGATAAAAGTACTCATTAAAAAGAGTGTTTCACAATGTTTTCCTTAGGGTATAAACTATTTCCTTACTGAGATTTGTTCACGACATACTCAGCACATGAGATAAGTGACAGGCCCATCAAGTGAAGCCTGAAATTTTGTCTTTGCATGAACTTTGCCAAACGCGTTAAAGGGCTTCTGAGAAGTGACCTCTGGTATGTTTAGCTGATGTCGAATGCTGGGCACTGCTTCATGAGCCTGTGTAGAGAGATCTTCATTGAAACTGATGCGATCTGGCATTAAATAATGCTGAACTTGGGTGATTTCCATGTAGATGGATTCTTTTCGTCATCACATAATGCGAGCCCTAGGCACTCTTAAGCTGCCTGTTACATATGTTCTCACCAGGGTAGTCTCGATCCAGTGAAAACACCTGAAAGTAAACATCTTCGACAGAAATCTGTCTGGTTTGGGGAACAATTCGAAAAAAAGAAAACTCAAACCAAAAGTTTAGAAACAACAGTTCCCAACGTTTCGGGGTCGACTTGACTCCTTCTTCAGGGGTGACTAAAAATGGAATGGGACAGCGCGAGCTTCGACCTCTCCTTCTTCTTCTACCGAGGTGATGTTTTCTGAACGTGACGCAGGCCATGAACGTAAATAGATGGTAAGGCCCCGAGGGACCTGTTAATGTTCCCCGGTGTATTCTGGATGTGCCACGACTCCAAGAACAGGCGTCTTCGAATATGTGGCTCCGTGTCTATCACGTGTGCTTTTCCGAAGTCGATCCGATGATCAAACACCTTATAGTGGATTGCCTTGACTCAATCGGCTGGGTAGTGATAGCACACAGAAGCAGACAGCGTCCCGGTAGAACTTTTGCTAAAACTTACCAAGCACCAAGGCACATGCTACGAGTGTAGTTACAGACGCTGCACGGGCTGGCGTCTGCAGTAGTAACTGTTCAAAAGCAAAAGCCTAAAACAAATATTGCCTTGCACGCACATTCTTCAAAGCCTTAATATGATTATTTACTTCAAATCTTTTATACGGGGAAGGCCAGTGCGCTTGGAGCGTAGAATTACACTTTCAGCACTCTCCTCAATGCTTGGGTAATTTAGTAATAGGTCTATTTTCACTGGAGCCAAATTACACTGTTTTCAATTTATTACGGTGTTACATACAGTTCGTACATGCTGGCCAACCATGCTGCCGGTGTACCGCCCGCCTTTCACCAGCTCACTACTTCCTCATGGCTTCTAGGACTGAACTTCGTCATCGTCTTTCGAACTTGAAAAAGAATTTAACGAGGCTTGTCTTCTCTTCAGACAGCCAAACATTTAGATATTTTCCAAACGAGAGTTAATTTAGTTTTACCTTACCCAACATCTGTACCACGAGCAACAAAAAGTGCTTTTTAAGGTCAAATGTATGCCTCGCTGCGTCGAGAAAACCTGGTAGCACGTATTCTTGGGTTTTCCACGAAAGCCACTTACATCCGCTACGACCAGTAGGTGACACCAGCTACCACCCTTAATAAAACACGGAGCTGTCGCTCATTAAGCCCTTGTCAAACTTAGCTACATACTTGTAGGTACCTGATAGGGAAGGGCTGTTAACTTCTTACCCCTGTTAAAGTTAACTGGCTTCGAGCAAACGGGCCTTGAAGTGTACATTACCATAATCCCGAGCATCAGATAATATGTGAGCTAAACATCGTTACCTATCTTATATATCCTATATAATCAAAATCGACTATTTTAAATTTGTTATGAAGGCAAAGCACGATGCTTTCAGAAGACACTCGTAGCTTCGTGTGCTTAGTATTTTTGTTACATTCCTTAAGATCCTTAATGCGCGATTATAAATTTACATTGCGCTATACTTATTTCCAATATTCCGCGACTATTACTGATCAAAATTTGGTTGTCATAAATAATTGGGCTCAATGTGCTCCAGGGCTGACGTTGATTTCTGTACTTCCTCCCTTCTCACATGTATCCGCTAGACGGACGGTGAAAATAGTTAAGATGTGTTGCAAAATGAACTGCAGGTGTCGTCGTGTACATAATGATGGGAGAAAAAATGGGAGACATTGGCTGCCGCCATAGGGGCGCACATGTCTCCTATTTAAACTATCCTTTGAACTTGACTGATTAGTGTTCATTTGCTTGAGAGTTTACAGTTGTCACATAAACTCCTCTTCTCTTCTAGGCGTGCATCAATGGCGATGTCAGCACGGCCGCGAGGGGGCGGGGGCGGGCGCGGAGGTCGCTACCATCGCAATAGCGGCCATGGCGGAGGCCAGAATGGTGGTCCGCAGAAGCGAGTGGTCCGCAGCCGAGAACACTGCACGCGGCTCCTGGGCAACCTGAGTGAGCTGCGCGACAAGGGCAAGTTCTGCGACGTAGAGCTGCTGCTCGAGGGCAAGACATTTGGCGGGCATCGGGCCGTGTTGGCCGCGAGTTCTCCCTACTTCGAGGCCCTGTTCAGCTCGGGGCTCGAGGAGAGCCAACAGAAGTCAGTGGAGATCCACGGCATCGCGCCGTCCATCTTCGAGCAGCTCATAGTCTTCATCTACAAAGGTGCGTTTTGTGTTGCTCGAGATTTGCGCACACCTGATTCGGCACGTGGCGTCACCCCGAGCCGGCTGCCTCAGCAGGTTTGAGGTGGTGTCCGCGATTCGACGGAGGCTCGTTGCGGAGAAGGCAGTGACCGAAATTTTGCTCTAGTGTAGAAAGGTCCCCAGGTAGTTTAAATGAATCTTCAGTCCTCCTCTGGGACTTTGCCAGGTGCCCTTTGTCAGTTTGGCTCGTAAAACCCACAAATTCAATTTAACACTGATTCTGGTCGGACAATTCCCTACGACACTGGAGTACCGGAGAGTTGGATCCAACCTCTCTTGTTCGCATTTCAGGGGAGATCCAGATCAACCAGGAGAACTGCCAGGACGTGCTGTCGGCGTCCAACATGCTGGGTCTCTCGGACGTCGTTCAAGCCTGCTGCGACTTCCTTCAAAAGGAACTGCACCCTTCCAACTGCGTGGGTGAGTCAGCATACTCGGACGTCTCATTCATTTGACTGCGTGACTATGGATTCTACAGTTGCCGACAGGAGTAGAAGGGCAGGGAGGCCTTTCGGTTGTCCTGCCTCCAGCGCGAGCGTCCCACCTCGTAAAACGTTTCGGCGTCTCGACAACTTCGAGCATACACGCACGTGCTCGAAGTCGTACACAGGGCATGCACATGCATGAGCATGCCTTGTGCACGACGGAAAGCAGTGAGCACGTTCTGGAGGCTGTGCATCAGAAAGAGACGCCTTGCCGTTCTCATCTTCTCTGTGATTATAGATTACAGCTGTTGTTGCGTCCTGGATGAGAGTCTTGTCGACCGTTACTATGCAGCACTGGTTACGACCTCTACTTTATGTTCGTCTTCTGCAACTGCTTTGTTGCGAGAGCACCGGAATTGTTTGCGGATGTTCGGTGTGCCAGATTTGGATGTCCTCGAAGCAAAGTGCATGACAAAAAGGTTTACGAGGTAGCTTTACTGATTTCGTAAAATAAAGTTGTGCGGTGAATAGAGAGAGAGAGGGAGAGAGAGCGAGCGAGCGAGTGAGTGAGCGTTCAAAACCAAACTTCTTTTACCATCACAAAGACTCGGATAAAAATAAAAGTCTAGAGTCTGCAATGTTGTGTACCGACTTGTACGCAATTATTGGAAGGGGACTTGTTTGTTTAATAAAATGGGGGATCTCAAACTAAAAATGAGCAGCACACTTTTCTTATTTGCATCTTTTTTTGTCAAGACACACGGGAGTGTTGATTTGTGTTGTTACAGCAGACCCTTCGACGCAATCTGACGAACAGAACACACGTCGCCAGGCAAATGGTGTTCTTCCAATTCATAACCTTTGCACAAGAAAGAGAAGCCTTTCGGCTCAAGTGTATGGGACACTGCCATTACAAGATTTTTTAGAGTGTCGCTGCTTCCGCTTCAATTACGAGGCACCATTCTTCACACGTCACCTGAAAAGAACTTTCCTGGAGTTATGATGCCAAAACTTCAAGGGAGCAAGAGAGAAGGTCTTGTGGTAGTAAGAAGAGGGAAAGGAAAATGGGAATACATGTATTCCTAGTCACCATTATGAAGGCAAGAAACCCTCGCTGATGTGCTGAGCTGCTTATACTGTGGTAATAGAAAAGAAACACAAATTTTTGCAGTTTCATTTTATTTTGAAGTGTTCCTTGCCTGGTCAAGAGAGAAGAGGAGAACATGTGAAGGAACGCTTCCAGCTTCATTGAGTATTTTTTTTTTTCGTGGAATACTGCTGAAGTATGAAGTATGGCACATGCCTGGGGCGAAACATTTCAAGCAAGCATCGACATGTTGATGGGCTGAGTTGCATGGACCTCTTCTTTTATTGATGTGTCTGGCGTGAAGTTTGCCAAATCCATGTTATAATTTTAGCATGTAGTGGTTCCTACGTGATCGGCAGTTACGTTGCAACCGGCTGGAAGCTGTTCGGCAACCAGTCAGGGAGCTGATGAGCATGGGTTGCCAGCTGGCCTGTGGAGTCCGTTTTCTGATTCGGGTGCCTAGTGGCCCACGTTTGGCGTCAGTTGCTCGGCAACTAGCCGGGATGCCTTGCAAGCAATCAGCAACTAGCCGGCAGTAGCCTAGCGACCGGTTGAGAGCTGATTGGTGCAGGTCGTCAATGGATTTGTGAAGCCTGTGTTTGGATACAGGTCTGTAGCGATTCGAGACTGGTGCCAGCTGCCTAGCTTGTGGTCAAGAGCCGGCCGGTAGCTGTTTGGCACGGATTGCCTCCAGCCGGCCTGCGGAGCTTCTTTTCGGATGCGGTTGTCAGCAGCCCAGGACTGGCATCAATTGTTCGGCAACTGGTCAGCAGGTGTCTGGCGTGTGGTTGGCTGGCAGCCAGTTGGGAACTGATTGGTGCATGTTGGCAACGGATTTGTGAAGCCCAAGTTCCGATACGGGTCCCTGGCGGCCGTTAGTCGGCGCGAATTGCTTGGCAACAAGTCGGGAGCTGCCTGGCACCGGGTCAACTGGCTGGCAGTTATCTCGTAACCAGCTGGGAACCGATTGGTGCACGTCACCGACGGCTTTGCAAAGCACACATTCAGATACGGGTCCCCGGTGGCCCAAAGCTGGCACCAATTTCTCGGCAGCAAATCGGCAGCTACCCGGCGCGGGGTCGGCAGGAAGTCGAGGAACGGACCGAGCCCAGACCGGCCGTTGCGTGTGCTCCTCTCTCCCAGGGAGGAGCCCCGCGGCAACCAAACGACGCCGGGTGGCAATCACGGCGGGGGATAAGCGAGACATTTGCAAGTGGAGGCGGGAGCACCCTCGAGCGAGCCCGAGCAGCTTGCTGGCATGGATCCGGAACTCCCTGGGCATGGACGTGCCCAAGTCAACGCTGTCGGACATCCTCCGCGAGGCCCCCAAGTGGCTGGAGGTGACCGTAGAGAGAGAGCACCTGACGAGAGCACGCTGCGGGGAGCAGGCACAGCTGGAGGCCGCACTGGTGGCGTGGCTGAGCGAAGTCGGAGCCAAGGGCGGCACGGTCGGCGACCTCGCGCTCATCAAGAAAGCGCGCACACTTGGCGATAGCCTCGGTGAGGACCCTTCTTCGTTCGGCTCGGTCTCTGTCTGGGTCTTCTTTGGTGCGCCAGTCGAATCTGGAGTGTCGTTCGGGAGGAGGTGCGCTCCAATAAAACCGCTAAGCTCGCAGCGTTGTGGAAGCTATCTGGTCAGACTTGCATCCATACTCTTGTGCAAAGAGCGGGGTTGTGCGAAGAAAGAAGCAGTTCATCGATCCGGCAGGCGCGTAGCTCCCGCTGTGCCATCAGCTTGGGAGTGAACGGTATCATAATTGGTCATATTAAACTGATTGCTGCCACTTGTAGAGCAGTTGCTGGGTTCGACTCTCGGAGCGTGGTTCGACGTTTGTAAAATGGTTCTAGTTGAAGAGCGAAAAGAAGTTCTTTTTGGGTCTGCATTAACCCCGAGACATCGGCATTTATGATGCAACGTAGCACGGCCGCTGAAGTGGTAATTGCAGTGCCATCTGCTTAGACGTCTGTTGATACCTCAGTGGCTCAGTCGAACCGTTTCTAAGCATCGGGTTAACTTGCTTCTATAAGGCTTTTCCACAATAACTCCCGATTAACTTGACTGATAGATTCGCATCTCCTCGCCGAACGGCATCTCTCGGCGATCCCTGGCGAAGCATGCATGAAGCAAGGAATCGCCGCGTGACCGACTTCAGGAAGGGTTTTTCTTGTGTCCCAGGTATACCAAACGACTTCGGCTACTCGCGTGGATGGCTTCACCGCTTCAAACTGCGCCACGGATTCGCACGCACGCAGAACCCTTCAGAATTGTTGCCATTCTCTTCGTTCGGCTGCGATCCGACGACGGGGCAAGTCCACTCTGTCAATGGGTGGAACGAGCTATGGAAAATCCTCTCCAAGTACGACCCGGAGGACATCTACAGCCTCGGCGAGATGGGGCTCTTCTACGAGCTTGCGCCGTCAGAAGTCGCATGCCCTACGGACACGCGAGACCACCCACGCCTTACCCTGGTGATCATGTGCAATGCGACGGGAACGGACAAGGCAGAACCGCTCGTGCTCTGCGGCGCGTCGGAGCGAGTGTCCTTCGGGCATCGCTTTGCGCCCTCCCTTTACTGCGACTACCGCCGGACGCCGGGCGGTGCGATGAGCGCTAGCGTGTTCATGGACGTCGCCAAGCAGTTCGACCGATCTCTGCGGCTTCAAGGTCGCCAAGCGGTGCTTCTGGTCGATCGGTCGCCGCCCCACACGGTGGTGGCGGCGTCGGGACTTTCAAACCTATCGGTTCACCACCTCCCTCCGCGCTCGGCGGCAAAGCAGCCGTTCGAAACCGGGATATTTACGTCGGTGAAGGCATACTACCGTTGTGACCTCTTGCGGCACTACATTGCCAGTGCAATGGAAGGGAGGCCTCTCGCTGTCATGCTGCAGAGAGTGTTGCAGATGATCGGGCATGCCTGGAGCTGCGTGAGTCCGCGGAAGATCCGCGAGTGCTGGCGGCACACGGGGATCTTGTCCAAGCTCGCAGCACAACACGACGACGGCGGTGGGGTCGGCAGTCCTGAGGGCGACGTCCCGCTGATTGAGCTTCAGCGACTCGTCGGTAGGCTTGATGACTGCGGAGACGTCTCTGTGGCGGACTACGTTGCGGTGGACGACGAGCTCGAGACTTACGCGTCCTGGGGTGCGAGCGACGAGTGCGAGGAGGAAGAAGACTGCGGCACGGAGGCTGCGGATGCCGACTCGGAGCCGTCGTTGACGTTGAGGGAAGCTGTCGAGGGTGTGAGTGTCGCGATAGCGTTTTTGGAGCAGCTCGGCGAAGCGGAACACCTGGATTCTTTGTGGGCAGTGGTGAGAACGCTTGAAGGAAAGTACCTGAGGAGGCCGAAGAGGCTGGCGGCGTTGTCGGCTGGTGTGACGGAAGTGCAGACGGGCTTTGGAGTTGGCCCGAATTGTAACCGTCGGGGGTCGGGCGGACGAGTTTGACCGCGCCCTTGTTTGTGACTCCACCGGATTGTGTGTGTTCATTTAGCGAAAAATGGTGAATGTATGCTACGGACAAGTGTTTGTTCTTGGGCAGCCATATCGCAAGTGCATGGATGGTGTGGAGACTGGTCGTGTAGGAGCAGAAATTTTTCCTACAGGCACATTCCGGTGTCACTTTTCTGGTCAGCAGGTAATGATCTCAATTGATATAAGTGATTTTTTTTTCTTGGTGTACTATGCTTGGTCTCTGTGAAACATTAAAAGTGGAAGTGCTAACTGCAGTGTGCCACGAAATATGTCGCCAGTGATTAAACCGACGACATGAGAACTGCTGTTTCTTGGCTAGTAAAACTTGTAACTTTTCTGTTTCAATGACAGTTGCATATTGTGCTCTGTTTCGCTCTTTGTCCACTGTCTCGCTTAATAATGGCACCTAACAATTTCAATTAGGAATCTGCAAGCAAATATGTCGAACCATGTTTGCATAGACCGATCGGTTGTTCCAGCACGACGTGCCAAATATTGCTATCGCCGACATTGCAGAGGGATGGGAGACAGGGTACTGGTGTCTTGAGTATTTATCTCTGCAAACAATACTTAAATTTTCTCATGACCTCATACCTGCATATTCAGCAGGTCAATGAATGCGCAGTCTTTTAAAACGGATTGGTTGCTTCAAGCCAACTTATGTTCCCAGGGCAGGGTAAATCATGTTTCTGATTTCATCTACAAAAAGTCTAAAATGGTTTCAATTGAACTTTTTTGCATTCTTTTCATTTAATTATTTGAAACATTTATTGTACATTTTTTTGTGAAGCCTAAAAGACATATTGGCTGTAGTTTTCCTCTTTCGTTTTAGGCTTCCTTTAATGTGTTCTTGAAGGGTTGGTATTTGGTAATCAAGCCAGACTCCCATTACCCATAGTGAAATACAAGCTACCCTGTCCCGTTACCCACATGGCCATTCTAAAGCATGTTTACAAATCCGGATGAAGCCTTAAAGTGACCACATAAATTGGCTTGATAACGTATTGTGCTATGATTTACCACAGAGGTGTCCGAAAGTGGTGAAAGCATCGAATGTAAATTTTAAAGAACAAACTTACCTGAGTAAATGTAAAAGGAATTATAACCGATTCTTTCTGCCTATAGTGCCCATCTGCTATCCACGTACCCTCTGACTGGTACAACAACCAACAGATAGCAGCCCCGTCGCAAGCTTACCGCTTGGTCGTGCCAAAAGCATACGACACATAGCTGACATGACTCTATGAACCGTCGGTTTTGTTTGTTTTGTGGCCAGTTAATGTTGAGCGCATGCCATTTTTAATACAAAAAAGTCTGCTTTTGGTGCAACCGGTTGGTAAGCTTGCACCGGGGCCGCTGCCACCATCTGTCGGCTATTGCACCCGTCGGAGTATGTGTGGACTGCAGGCTGGTACTGTAGGTAGGGAAAATCAGTTAATTTTCTCTTTACATTTTACTCATCTAGGTATGTTCTTTGAAATTTCGACGCAGTGCTTCCACTATCCTTATGCAGCTCTGTGGTAAAGCGTAGCGCGACACGTTGCCAAACCGATTTATGAAGTCACTTAAAGGCTCCACCCGGATTCGGGGGCACGCTGTAGAAACATGGCTTTTGAACGCGAATAAAACCTGGTTTGTTTTAAATTTTGTATAAACGAGCATGACTTCCAAGCCAAAGGAAATTCTGACACCTTATTCACATCATTTGGGCTCTGGCTACAAGGGGGCCGGGTCCTTCAAGATATTACGATGGGACTGCGCAAACCTCGGCTTCAGTATTGGCTGTGTTTGGCTTCAGGGCCAAGCTTCCTAGAGAGGCAGTGCTAGAGCTACCAAGTAAGCTATGCCTAGAGTACCTGCACTCTGTTCCTCGGTTAACTTGTGGGCACCACCATTTTGGCACTCGGTGCACACATAGTTAGCGATAGTCACCGCATGAAAATGCTACTTTCTGATCTTTGGACACGGCGTCGGGGAGCAGTATAGCTTTTCTCTGTCGTGGACAGTTTTGACATTTCTGGAGGATGAAAAAAAGCTTTTCCTGTAATTTCAAATGGAGCCTCCTTACTCTGAAGCGTGGCTTGTCCGGTGGTTCTATGCAGTGAGTGTAGCACAATGTTTCGGTGCGGGAAGCGTGATTCCTTTTTGCTGGGGTCGGCTGCGGGGCGGTGTGCAGGCATCTTCAGGTTTGCGGAAATGCACTCGTGCACCAACCTGAAGCTGGAGGCGAAACGGTTCATAGAGCGGCGCTTCACGGACGTCATCAAGGAGGACGAGTTCTACGAGCTTCCCAAGGAGACCCTTCAGCATTTTCTCAAGAGCGAGGGACTCAGCATCGACAGCGAGTTTCAGGTAAGGATTGCCGCAGGCAGCAAAAGCTGGTCGCTGTTATCCTTCTCTTTGAACAGCACTGATTAGGTTGGATTTCGGGGGTTTGTTTACATCTGGTTATCGAGGGATTTTATTAGAATTTAAGGCAGTTTAGACGTTTGGATTGTCATCCTAGCATCCTTCGTAACCTCTTCAGTGTAGGGCGATGGGCTGCAACATGGAAGCATCTAGTTACTTTAAGAATGAGAAGGTTGGGTGATGAAATGGAACCTTTTGAGGTTTGTGGTTATGGCAGAAAGGGTCCACAAATAGACAAGCACTTGAATTCAGCAAACAGGAGAAACCTTTTGATTTGCTCACCTCAAGGCATTCTAGTGCCAGAGTTCGACAGCGGAATTTTCTCGTTTTGTGACCCCTTTCATGGTGCATTGCAGAATGTGCAATGGATATGGTGCGAGCTGGGATCATCGGACGTGTTTGAATGTCTTCCAAATACTTCGTACGATCCGTCAAATATTTAGTGTTACTTCAGGGCAAGCGGCCTAAATAGCCTGAATAACTTGATAGGCCAAGAGTTTTTGCTGACAAGAGAGACATGAGGTTTGTTCACAAATGGATCTGCCACAATGTGCTGGAAGCGTCCTGTCATCTTTCTTTGTCAGCGATGGTTGGCTCTGGTATAAGCTGGAGACATAGTAGCCACGAAGCTTTACATTCCCAACATGTGGGGGTTCAAAGAAATGCCTATACTCTTTTTTTCTATGCCATTGGCTTGACATCTATATATCAGCTCTCAGGTGTCGGTAGTGCAGGCACAGACACGTGAACTGAACTCGGCAGAGTGCTTTGTTTGCATTTGAACTCGCACATAGGATGAACTTTCAAAAAGACATGTGCTCGCACCCTCGCCTTTGTCAGCACTGCGGACGTTTGCGAGATTGAGTGCAAAGTAACTTTTCTCCAGTCACTTTCTTTTTTCGATCGGAACACAATGCTGTCGATGCAATCAACTGCCCCGCTTAGACACGCAAGTGCTCGCTCTTTCCCTAGCGTTGAAATTTCTCAGTGTGCAGCGTCGGAACACTGACACCATGTTCTCTGGGCTGCTGTGCGCACCCAGTGTATTTCGGCTAAAAAATAAAAAAGTTTTTTCTTAAGCAGTTAGCATCCGGTTCATAATTCGCACCTGGCACATAGTCCGTACGTAAAATATTCCCATATGCAGCACACTTTGAAAAATGCCTTCTATGGGTGCGCAAAAAAGCCTCTATCATCGGAAATCTTCATTGTTATAATTTGTCGCTCAAAAAATTGTCTCGTCGTAACGTATACTCTGCGCCCCCAGATAACCTGTGCAGCATAAAATTTCAACTTTAAACAGATACCTTAACAGCCCAAGAGATGGCCCACCCCCAAAAGATAGCCCGCCCTAGAAATCATAGTGTTTGAATCAATGATGACCTCGGCTTAAATTCGGCTAGTTAGCTATGGCGGGATATAAGCGAACATTGCCGACAGTGGAATACAGTCATCTTTGTTTTATTGTCCCTCGCTGCAATAACAAGTTTGGCAGGGAAACATGATCTAAAAATAGCGGTTACTGTACCCGTGTTTTGTTCCAAGCAAACAAAGTTTGGATGTGCGTCGTTGCTGGCAGCAGAGCGATTGAGGTCGTTGGCATCGCCGTTGTCTCCCGGGATCAGTCAGTATCCCGTGGAACCATGCAATGCCGCCTAGCTCGCGTCGGCATCGCCGCCAGCACGTTCCGCAGCGTCTCGCGAGTGCGACGCTAGCATGTGCCGCCGCCTAGGGTCGCTGAATGTTTCCAGAGTGTCGCATTCGATAGCGTCCCCCGCAACTGCTCTGTTTTAACTTCAATTGACAATTTTGGCACCCAAGCGTGTACGGTGGAAGGGGTTTCGGGCATGCCAACCCTCGTCTCACAAGCGGACGCACCGCAAATTGCCACCCTAGTTGGGGCGTTCCCAGGCCGGTATGTGCCACCTGAAATCACCGGTGAGACATGGTTGTATACAAACAATTTTCTTTTGTGCCGCGAAACCTTGTAAACTAAAATTTAATGTAACATCACGCTCCTGTCATTTTGTCCTAATCTTTAATAAAACTACCTATGAAAGGAGGTTTTTCTGTTTGTTTTTACGCAAAAAACATGCTTCTTAAACTCTTGTTTGCCGCTTGAGGCGTTTCGAAGATCCGCTAACGACGGCGTCGTTTGCGAACCCTTGTCTTCTAGGTGCTGTTGGATTAATAGGCCCTCGACTACCGTGTTTTTGTCTCTTGGTAAATAACATTTGTTTCTTCTTTGCCGGGACGTGCAGGTGTTCGAGGCGACGATGAGGTGGATCCTGCACGACGTGCGGGAGCGTCGTCCGCTCGTGTTCGACGTGCTGGACGCGGTGCGGTTCCCGGTGATCTCCCAAAAGCAGCTGGACCGCTATGTGTCGGACTGCCCCGACATGAGCCTGCGGGTGGCGCTGCTCAAGCTCATGCAGGACCTCAAGCACGACTCGAGGGCCAACCAGGTCGGAGCTGGGGTCCGGTCATCTTTTAAAGCAGCGGCTTTACGGGCGACGCCTTGCAGGCATTTCGGCGTTGTCGTTTGTTGTCTGTCGTCGCGGCGGAGATGAGAAAACCGTTTTTCTCTCTCCCTTCGTGGCGCGAGGAGGGAGAACTTGGGCGTTTCCATTGGCTGCGCCGAGAGAAGAAAGGAGAGTCCCAATGACTCGTCGATAACGCCGTGACGACAGGGAAGCGTCGTCTGATAACGTTGACTTCATAACGGGTGTTTCCATACATTACTTCCGTTATATGAAATCCTACTTTGGCAGTATCCAGTTGCTACGTGTAATGTTGGGGGTTTTAGAATACTACCACCATGTTAGATTTCACTATAACACAAATAAAAACCTTGGCGAGCATAAATACCCGGTTGGTGACCCTTTAAGTTTACATAATATAAAAATCTTGCACGAGCGACACACAAAGTGTGGTTTGTGTGGGACATATTCTGTGCTTTCTTACCTTCGCCGGCATGATCGAGCCTGCATAGTTCTTTTTTCAATGTCTCGCAGCTCAGCCACATCTCCAGAAAGGGTTTTCTGCAAGAGTGTTTGTGCCAATATAATTGTCAGCAGAACACATTGCTGCCAGTTTGACTGGCAGCTTGACTGAGAGTAAATGCAACAAGGCACTGTGACTGGCAGTGAACACATAGTTGCTACACTGGCAATCTTCAAGGCCTATTAGTGTTTTTGGGGATCAAAAAGGCTGGAACCCCTTAAATAGAAAAGAGAAATAAATATTTATTGAATTGGGCCCGTCTCTTTTGCCGCAAATGAAAGTTTTTGCTGAGCATCCCCACGCATGAGTCTAAGCGCATGGGATGGCTGCCCCACAGGTGATGGATGTGCGTCAGCAGCCACGCATGTGCGCCCGCAAGAGCGTCTATTTGATCGGGGGCTGCCACCGGCACATTGGCATGCGCTTCGGCGAGGGCTACAGCCTGGCGAGCGCGGACAAGCTAGACCTGTTCCGGGACCAGTGGAGCAGCCTGGCCCCCATGGCCCACATGCGGTCGGGGCCGGGCACGGCGGTCCTCAACAACCTGGTCTACGTGGCGGGCGGGGAGAGCGACTGCCTTATCCTCGACAGCGGGGAGGTCCTCGACCCTGTTACCAACCAGTGGGCCGCCATCGCCCCCATGGTCCAGCCACGCTGCATGCTTGGTAAGAGCCCACCATTGGAAGCGTGCAACCATCGTTTCTAATCAATATCAGCTTACCTGAGCATAGCACTATAGGGAGTATGTACTGGTAGCCATAGCTGTGTGCGCGGTTGCTGAATGCGTGCTGACGGCGAGCTTCCACAGTTTTTTTGAAACGTGCGTTCTGCACTATAGGCAGAAATTTTTCAATATCCTAGGTGAGAGCTAGAGCACCTCTGTTCTGCACCATCAAGATTGTCGGTATTTGCAGGCTAATAATGCGAGCTCGTTCTGAGCGTGCATTCTAAACATCACACTCAAATATGGCATCCCAGTGAGTACCCTATATACAAAATGTTCAGCGCCACAGTCGGCACTAACATTTTTTTATAATGGTATCTTGAAGTTGAAAACACAGATGTTATCCATGCGCTAGCGAAAACAGCCGTAATCATCTTGCATCTACTGAGTCTGCCAGCAAGCGCGGAGAAACCTGATAATAAGAAAAGCAAAAAGCACTTGTTACGTGGATTTTACCATTTACTGGCACCGTTGAGTGTCGTCTTGTGATTTTCGGACTGTCGAACACACGAGCGCTTTTTAGAGGCATATTCCGGCGCAGACAAACAAAAAGGGTATTCACAACTGCGGGGGGGCACGATCGAACCCGAGCTCAGATCAACCTCTGCCAATCGAACGACGTGAGAGCACACACAGAGCAGCGCTGGACTCGAGTGCGTTGTTGAACGTCGAGGTGCCAAATCCGGAGCGAGATCGAAAAGCACTGCCATGGGAAGGCGCGGACGCGGCCAAGATGCTGCAGTTGCTCGGGAAGACTAGCAGGTAGTGATTCACTATGCGACGTAACGCAGAAGCTGTCGTGCGCCCTCCTTGGGTGTTGCACGCTCTCAACTTTACAGTGTCCGGCACGCGTCCCCGGCTGGTGTCGTGCCTCGGTGCGTCGTCGAAGGTAGAAAGATTGTGCCGGAGACGGGATGACTGAAGCTCCCCCCTGCCGTCTTCGTCCTGTTTGTGTTTGTAGAATCGTGTTCGACGCTACACCACGCAATTCGTGCAGCGGCAGCAATTGTTTAATTGAACCCAGCGTTTATGTGCTTGGTTTTGAAGAAAGGCAACGTAGCCAAGGTGACCTTGTTCCTTGTAGGCATGTGTGCCTTGGATGGCTTCCTGTACGCTGTCGGGGGCTGGGTCGGGGCAGAGCTCGGTGACACGGTCGAGAAGTATGATCCGGTGGCAGACTGCTGGCGACTCACCAGCCGGATGACCGTCGGGCGCTATGCCATGGGAGTGCTCGCTCACGAAGGTAAGCGGTTCCTTCAAACGTTTCCACGCATTGCACAGCTGTCTGCTTGTAGTGTAGCACTGCCCCTGTCCCCTGAGTAAGTGTTCTCCCAGTTTAGGTGCTTTTTTAGCAGATCTGGGCCACTCATTAACACCTAACTATAACCCAAACACTCCCCGTATGCTTGTTATTCTTTATAAGGTCTGTAGTCTGCCGCGACGCTTTTTTACAGTAATGCCGACACCGGAATGGCAGCCCTCTACTTCCGTTCGGGGCAAGCTTGGATCCCTTGAGATTACAGAGAGTTTGAGAATCCCTGTACACTAGGGTGGTTCCATGAAACAAATCACTTCCAGTAGGCCTTCTCTGCCATTTCCTCTGTTCGTTTGCTTGCAAGTGCACACTACTCCAGCCGATACAGTTGATTGTAATGCAAAAGAACTCCGATATTCGCTGCCTCTGCACACAGAAAAGCATTGGTCAAAGACTGTGTCAAGTATCAAGCATATTGGACACATTACAACAATTTGTGTCTGGTACGGTTCTCCGGTACAAGAATTTGTGTCCAGTCGCTTACTACTTCAGCTAATAAAGTTTGTCACAGTGCAGAAAGAACTCTGAAATCCACTGCCGACGCACATAGAAAAACGCAGTGGCAAAGGCTGCGCTGCGTCCAGTACTGATAGCAAAGTGTCGCGTGGCATTCACAGGCCTGATCTACGTGATTGGGGGCTACAACGACCTCAACGCGGAGCTCGACCTGGTCGAATGCTTCAACCCGGTGACTGGCGAGTGGAAGACGCTGGCGCCGCTGCGGATAAGGCGGGCCTACGTCGGGCTGGCCGTGCTGCACGACCACATCTATGCAGTGGGCGGCAGCAATGACAGAGTCCCAGCGCTGGCCTCCGTCGAGCGGTACTCCATCGAAGAGGTGTGTGGTCCTTTTTTGCAAAGCGGGCAGAGTCCCAGGTTTCGGGAAAACAAAAACTGTATTGCAGTTTCGTATCATATTTTTCGGACTATAGTCTGGTGCATAGTCCGCACCCGGTGTTTAGCCCATGCATAGAAAATTCTGATACCCGGCACAGCTTGAGAAATGTTCGCCTTATTAACTTGCAAAGAAGCTTGCATCGCACGTAAAGCGTCAAAAACATACTCTGTCATTTACACGATTTGTCACGTCTTGTTGTGGTAATCGATCTAGAAAAAAATAATAAAAAATTCACGTGCAGTTTGCGCTTGTAGATGGTCCACACCGCATGAAATTTCAGCTTTTAAACACGTATAGTCGTATGGTAACTGTCAGGTGTCGCATTCGAGAAAGTATGGTTTCTGCGCGTCCGCAAGGGGAATCGCGTGTTCGACGTAGTAGGGGAATTGTTTAGAGGCAGTTGTCTGCTAATCTGTAGCATACTTTAGTTAAAAGGCAACACTGCTTCTAGGGCTTCTAATGCGAAAGCATTAAAAACCCTAGAAGCAGTGTTGTCCCTTAACTGAATTAAGCACCAAAAGCCCTGGAGCAAAGCGGCGGCATCAGTAACCAAAAAAGATGGCACCTAAATTCCCATTTTCCCATTGGCTGAGCAAAAGGGCACCTAAAGTCCCATTGGCTGCAACGCATCATATCAGATGCTTCGTTACGGAAGCAGGCGAAGCCTCTTAAGGCTAAAGTGGACGCGCCTCAGAAATTAATAAAATGCAAAGGAAAGCACAGCAACGCATATGCTTCGTCACGGAAGACGTCGTGAAGCCGGCGGATATCGCTGCGCCTGCGCAGTGGGGGAGCATATTGTCACCGCTGGAGTGCCGTGTGCAATAGGAAGATGTGGCGCACTGCTTGTAGGAATGTGCTGCGTGTAGGCGAATTCTGCCATCATTGTGCAGTCTTGGAATACACGGCGGGGCGGTCTGCGCGGCGCACCACTACACTCCCTGCCAACACTGCGGTCGCTTCTGCTCCTTTTGGCGCCGAGAATGCTTTCCCATTCATAACTCGTAAGAAGTGCGTACCGTAGAATACTGGGCATCCGCCCATTCCACACTAAGGGCCCATACCCAAATTTGTAAGATCTGGGAAAATATGCACAGTAGATTGAAGCGTAAAATTTATGACTGGACAAGCGCCCATCTCCCATTTTTTCGCGATTATCTCTAAATTTGAGTGGGCGCTTGCCCGGTATTTTACGGTAGGTGTCCTCAATATTTTTTTTTTATAACTTATGATTCAATTCAAATGAAATTTACATAGGTTATTTGCCGTTACAATCCAGCTACAAATATGTACTTGGTTTTGATATAACCTAACTAGTTTTGTTAATATTGAAAATTTCATTTGCAAAGATTATTAAAAGGATTAAGACAAAATGAAATACTGAAATCAGAAAATAAACATAATATGAATAAACTTAAAGGTATGTGGAATCCGATAAGGCATAAATGAAAGCTCTAGGATTATTTACTAGCTTTTTAGGACACTTGAATTTTCCAGTTTCCAAATGATTTATTGCAGGACGCTTAAAAGGCGCCTAAAAAAAGTGCGATACCATATTTAATATATTTATACTCCTTATTGGATATGTCACACATAGACCTACCAGAGAAAACAAAATTGTGAAGATTGGATATGTGCAAGTTGAGATATGGCTTCCATGAAATAGTAGTGTCTGTAAATGGTTGACTCACAAATAATAACAAAAAACATCCACAGACCCATTTTACTTTGTTTCCAAGACAATATTTCAAAATAAGAGAGACTTGTTTAAGGAAAATCCTTCAGGACATGATAAGTGCCTGCCAATCTTCAAAAGACACAATTTCAAGAATGTGTTTTCTTAGTATATTTTTGCCTCAAAGAGCAGTGTCTCCCGTTAAATTTGTACCCGACTCAGTTGGCAGACGGTAAAGCTTTGCAACTCCACCTTTTCCCGCTAGCAGGTTGGCTCGTAAAAACGAAACAGACTTGTTTACCTTGAAACCGCAATTAGCGCCTTGCAAGATTGGTTCCCACTATACACCTTTCCAAAAAACGCTCCTAGGCTGCCGCCATGTTGCTGATGCTGATGCAGTGATGGAAGTGCTGCGCCAATTGCGCCAAATTGCGCCAAGGACGCAATCCTGCTACATGTAGCGCCAAATTGTCATTTTACCGAAGAATTGCGCCATGTCTGCGCCGAGATGAGATGTAGCAATCAAAAAATAAAAATTGAAGTCTTATCAGAGCGCGTGGCGGTACCGCGGTATTTTCTGCGCCACAACTGTTACGCAAACCGAAACTGCGAGGGCGCATTATCATCATCATCGCTGAAAGGAACAACGTTAGCGACATTTGATACCAAAGCCGCAGAGGCTAAGCGAAGAATCATCCCACTAAGCAGCCTTTTAAAAAAAGAAAAAAAAAAAAAAGGCCGAGCTTGTGGACGTTTTTAATGTTGGCCCTCCCTGTTCCCGTGCGCTAGCTATCAACGAAGTCAAAGCTAGCGCGAGCCCAATTCTCTGTGCATTCCCGACTCGCGCGTGGGCTCGTGCAGTGTGGGCACCGTTACCGGCTCAATGCGCACGCTTGTACTACAGTGTTCTAGAGACGGTTGTAGTGGCAAGAGCGGCGGCCGCTTTGTGAAGATTTTGCGCGTAGACGACACCATGGCGCTGCTGTTCTGTGCCCTAGGAGCGCGCCCCCGTCAGCCCCATCATCAGCGCTGTTCGGCGCTTACTACTGTGGTTTGACTGGAGCTTTTCGCGGTGCGAAACAACTGCTAATGTTGTTCTGTATACTCTGTTTCACCATATGATGTACCGCAGGAAAGGCTACAAGCGCGAGCTCTTTGCTCTGGGGCACATCTCGGCGGCACACGCTCTCGTGAATTAAGAGCAGCTGCCAACGCTATGAGCTCGCGCTTCTAGCCTTCGCTGCGGTACAACATAAGGTGAAAGTATAGTAAATTGTAGTTCTGCCTTTGGACTAATGCCTCTAGAGTGTGTGCTATCCTCTACTTGAAATATTCCCGTGTTTTGAGGGAGATTATTTAATTACTATCGACTCCCCCCCCCCCCAGTACTGACACATCGTTCAGCAACGCTATCACTTGGGCTGCAGGCTTAACAGCTGCGAAAGAAGTTCTACGGTGCTACATTTCGGAGAAGCGTACCGCGTCACCCTTGTCGTCTTCTTCATTCATCGCACACGTGCCATTAATTCTCCTAGGGCACAGAACTCCAGCGCCACTCGCGGTATCTACATCGACCGTCCTCACGCGCTTCATTGTAAGCGGGCGCCGCTCTTGCCATTACACCCTCTAGAACACTGTACTTGTACCTTCGGCTGCGCTCGCACCGAAGCTGGAACGAAGTATAGTTGAGTTGCACCAAACTCTGGATGTAGTGCTGGTAAAGCCGCATCGTCCTTTTCGGAGCACAAAGCACTGCGCGACTTGCGCGACTGCGGTGTCTGCTCCGCGGGTGTCGCTTCTCTGCAGCGCGTCGGTGCATGCCAAGGAGCGCACTCAACGGGTTAACTCGCCGTGATCCGATCGTGACTTCGCCAGCACATCGAAAATGAATCGGAATTTTTGAGGCGAATATCAGATACCGCAATATTTGAAGCTGCTGCCCTAAAGACAACTCTAATCTGAACTAAAACATTCCACAACAGTGAGGGCCGTTAGATACTGCTGCAGATACCTTAAAAGAAGTGCAGGCTGATAAAACTAAACATCCTGTACCATCAGAACTCAGTGTGACATATTTAATTGCATTTTTTATCTGACGAGTAGATAAACTTTATTTTTAAAAAAATTTTTTTTTGTGTTTACTTTGCTGAATTTGATATATCCTGTCTTAAAAAGGCGACAGGCGCTGTGTTCTAATAATAGAGATGGTCTTTATATAGCAATGCAGCATTATTTCATTTTCAAGTAATATGCCGGACCCTGCTCCAAAAGGGCCACTACCTGCTCCAGAACAACATTTTGCCTGCTAGGCCTGCTCCAAAAGGTCAAATGGCACTTCCATCACTGCTGAAGCGGCTGGTGCGACTCTCGCGCCCTCTATTAGCTAGAAATTTTCTGCCACTCTCTGGGACTGTGAAGACCCGCTCAGCGCGGTTCTCTACCTACGTTTTTGCGGTTTCGCATTCAACGTTTTCTCGCCCCTCTTGAAAGTTTCCACTTCATTTTTTTTTATGCGTGCTGCATACCCTTCTTGTGTTATCTTCCATTGTGAGTAATAAGGCTGGTAAGTGCCTGCCGTTCAAGCTTTTCTGCTCAACTTTCACGGGAAACGAAGGACGTGAAGGACGTCGAACGACCCTCGACGCGATTTTGCGAACATTGTTCTTCCCCCTGCCAAAAATTATCCGCATAGAATCCTCAGTCATCTCCAAAAATAGTTGTCCGGGTTGGTGTGAGAAACGGGTCAGTCGCGTCTGTTTCTTTACCTTGGTGTGGTTGTGAAAAAAGGAAGCTCTCCCCAAAACGAAGTCATCTCGGATTCCGTCCGATCGTCAAGATGTGACTGTCGTCGACTGTGACTGTGTTATTTGAGATCTTTCTCAAATAAATTCTTTTCGGATAATGTTCCATCGTGTGGTACGTACGATGTATTGTTTGAATGTTAACACTTCCTCAATTGTATGTCCGTGTCCTGTCCATCAGTAAACACATTATTTGTGAGCGTGAAAAATGCATGACTTTCGGCCCTCTTCTGTTGGAATTTATTTTTGACAGCAAAGCGCTTTGTCGTTCCACATGCGGCGAATCCCACGGCGCCGTCAAAACTTATCGTAAGAAAAAAACAAATAACCAGAACTATACATTCCAGTCGCATTCGTTCTGTCGCGCGCGTACCTAGCAAAACTAATTTACAATTTTATTTTGCTTTTTTTTTTTTTTTTTCAAATGTGGCACAATGCTTTTTTAATGTCCTCGGGAACATACATGTACCATGAAACACAAAATATAGCGGGAAAAGACGAGAATTTAGCCGCCAGCATTTGAAACTGCGCCTATTGAAATCACAGTCCACTCGGTAAGGGTTAAGAGGGACGCCAGTGAGAGTCTAGCCTCAAACTCAGTGACTGGGCTCGAAAACGGTTTGTTGCCCCTGGGGTCGAGTGTTTTTTGGAAAGGTGTATATGAACTCTAGAAACCCTTTCAACGCTAGGAACAGCTCTAATAGAGTGCAGACTCGAACGTAACTTTCTACTGACGAAGTACTGTGTCGGCACTGAATCACTAATTTAGCACCAAGTCAGTGCCTCACCAGCTAGGTCAGCAATATTTCCAGCTCTAACTAATATCACCGAGGTAATGCTGCGGTGTACGTGTGAACGGTCCTCGATGCTTTAACAGCATTCGTAACTTGCCGGTACCACCGAGACAAACCCACTGGACGTTTGTGTTTAGACAGCGTAAGGTCAGTCTGCCTTTCAGGTAAGGCGATAGAGGCTCACGCCGTAGATGAGAAATTTAGCCAGTGCAGTACGACTGCAAGCCTGGGGTCTGTAAAGTGCCTAACGCAGTAGCGATCCACCTGCCGGTACGGGGCTCATCCGGATCGAAACGGGCACGGGTGTGCAACTGAAGTTGAGATCCCTGGGTTTTGGAGTGCAAGTGTTAGCCCCGTGTGCTCCAAGCCTCGGTGCAATAACGAATTTTCTAAATGCGACTGTCAGTGCACCCGATAACACGCTTGAGCGGCATCTTTGACGTCCCGTCTTTCTTGCCCACCCTCAGAACAAGTGGACTGAGATCCCGGCGCTGTGCACCGCAAGAGTCGGAGCGTCCGTCGTGGGGGTCAAGGGCCGCCTGCACGTGCTCGGCGGCCGCACGTCGTCCAGCGGGGACAGGGGACACTTCCCGCCGCTCACGCTGGAGTCGGTCGAAACGTACGACCCGGAGACAAACAAGTGGTCCAAGGGTTCGCCCATGCCGCTCAGCCGCTGCTACGCCGGCATCGCTGTCATCTAGGCCCGTTGCCGCGCTCTCTCGGTTTGCTTCCTGCCGTAGATGAAGTGTCTGTTGCCGCTGCACGTTGTGCGACTGTCTTTGTGTTTTTCTAACTTGCGTGCTCTCGGCACGGAGGTGGGGTTTGAGGGAAAGTTGCGAATGGTTTGACGTGTTTCAAAGTTTGAGGCTGTGTGGTAGCGACACTGTGTCAACAGTAGTGTCATCGCCGTACGTAGGCTGCTCGCCTGTTTAGGCAATTCACGTGTTGTTTACGCGGCTTCGGCCAACTTCTCTTTATGGTTTTGACTTGTCTCCGCCCCTGTCGTTGCGTCACCCGCGTCTTGGTATCATCTGTGGACATAGCTTTAAACTCGGTTTTTGAAAACTTCAAGAGCACGAGAGAAGGGTGCTGGCTTTCAACCTCTTCCTTGCTGTATGGCGGAGATTGGATTAGAGGTCCTACCAAAATTGCACGTGCGACATCTTCGAAGGGATGCAGCTTCAGCCGTGTGAACATATCTATTGGCCTCGGCATGCTACTAGTCTATACTGGTATGTCACCCAAGATTGCAATGCTGTAAGAGAGGTAATACGAATGCGGTTATGTGCAATGGTGTTGCAGCTAAAGCGTGAAAAAGAATATGTCGACATGCATTTGTCATATCATGCAACACCCCACTTCAAAGTTAGTTGGGAGACGAGCAGTTCATCAGTTTCATGCGGTCTGACCGTCGTAATATTTCCTCATTTTTGTGTTTCAAACATTTTCTTTCCCACTTCTCAAACGCTAGTATTGCCGTCGTCATGAAGGGGAATCGAGCTTATAACCGCATTGTTTGCAAATTTGCCTCCCAATTCGATAGATTCCCTTCAGAGCGAAACACAGTCCAAGTCAAACTCTCCGTAATCCCTTGCCTCTTTGTGTGTTCACCAGCTTCCATGATTTTGCTGCCACCAAGGACAATTTTGCTTCGCACTGACACCTCTCAGTCTGGGCGTCTTTCTTTGGCGTCCCCATTTCCTTTCACGATGCCTTCCGTAGCGTTTTACAAGCTTTAAAGGGAGTTCGGCTTCGCGAGATTAGACTAAGATAAGATTCTGCTTACCTACCGTTAACGAACTCGTCGAATTCACGGAAGTTTTGAACGGGAGGGGAGGCACAATTGTCCCAATTGACAGTGTCGAGAATCGCCCAAAAAATATCCTAAAGAAATTGTAGCACCGCAAGTCACGAAAGCATTTTCATGCGAGAGCAATATTTTTGGCGCGCTTCTTATCCCGCCTTTATCTTGGACACAAACCGCCGGCAAAGCGGCCCTCATCCCTAGAGGATGTTGACCGACGGCATTTCGGGGTCGGCGCGAGCGAGCAGGCGATTGATGAACAAAGTGCAGGAACCATGTGTAGTGCAAAGTGCCACGGAGTGAAGTTGTTGCTGTGATGAGTAGAGGAGTTGCGCGCATCGGCCTTGAGCCGAAGAGCCCCGTAGTACTTTAAAGTAGATCTAGCCCACTGCCTTGCGTGTTTCCCGGAGAGGGTACTATTTTCTTCCAGTGTCCGTCGTCTTTGTTGTTCTTTCTGTTTTTATTTGTTTGTGTCACTGAGCGAGTTGCTTCCAGTAGCACCCAGCAACTTGCAAAAGGGCAGCGTAGAGCCGGAAAAAGTGGCTTTGATAATCGAATTGCCCCGGCGAGGAAAAAGGCGCAGCGAGCCGAAACGTCTCCGGTTCAATCCAAGGAGGTTGCACATACTCGAGCGTTGCAATGTCGATTCTCCGGAATCTCATAACCCGGTCATTTTACTATGTTCTTTTTACGGGCAGTTTGGGGTCGCAAGCTTGCTTCCTAGCATCAGTTTTAGTAGAAGTAGCCAGCGTCGTACAACTTCGCTTTCCAAAATGACGAAGAGTCCTCGTGGGGTTTTAGCCGGGGATGCAAACACGACACATACTCTTGGTGCTTTGGCAAGTTAGTTGGCTTCCCGTCAATGTTACTGTATCAAGGTTTTGCTTTCGTGTTTTGCAGCGTTCATTGGTCGAAAATAATAGCCGGTGCTGCCACGTCGTCACGGTTTCCATGTCTCGGTTGGTCATCGCTACTGGGGCCGCGGCAAGTCTGGCATTGCCTGCCTTCTGTAATTACTGAATGACCCGTGCTTGGGGGCAGTTTTTCTCGTCGTGATGTGCCGTCGTCTCGTATTTCGACGCACTATAGCCACCGATAAATCTCTAGTCTTTGGGCATCAAAAAAAGGAACTTGAGAATCTTTGGTTTTATGCGGCCAAGAATGGGAGAGGGGAACGTTTGTTTTTAACAAAAGCACAAACAAATATGAAATGGTGTCGGTTTTCATTTTTGCTTTTTTCGAGCATTTAGTTTTTTCTTTGCAGCAACATTTTTTTTTTGCACGCCGTCTACCGTGTCACATAGAGCCGACGCTTTGATCACTCTACGTGCCTGTGTAACATGGAGGAAAAAAAAAAGTACAAAACTGTTGTGTAAAAAGTATGTATAGTCTAATAAAAGCTTTTGTAAAGCTGCATGCTTGGGAGGTGTCGAAACATCTTGCTTCGGTCGACGGAGCGTGCGCACACTTCGATGGCAGGTAAGGCGAGTCCCCCATGTTTGTGTTCAAGTCTGTTTGACCGCGTTACAGGTGCTTGTGATGAGAGCTTGCTGGCGCCACCTATCTGGTAACCTTGTAACCCTTCTGATCAGCATGTATTTTATGCATTATTCCTCGACTGTGCACTTGAAATAATTTTGACAGTGTTATAAGCGACCATTTCTTTTAGATAGTGTGTAGAATTCATCTCGCAGATTCTGTAAAACGTTCAGTTTAGTTAAAGGCAGATCAAAATTGTTCCAAGACTACCTGATAGGCTGGCTGGTTCCAGTAAGAGATACGTCAACTCTGGTCAGCTTGAAGGTAGACAATTTCTTTTCTCTTTTATTGACTCTGTTGTTGTACAGTCGCAACTTGCAAACCTCGTGTCAAACAATCCCTCGTAGAGAGTAAAAAGGGGGAACATCAGAACCATAAAACAACTAGCTGACGGTGCGACCGTAAGAAAAACAAGTTCTTGTCCTCTGAAATGTTTTCTCGCTTCTTTATAGTCGCATAATCGTCCGGATCGGGGAAGTGAGGTCACGGTAACAATGGTGGCGTCTCTCTAACCTCCTCGTGCTAAAATAGGAACAGTCTGCGATCGCTCGTACTGACTAGGTGAAGCGCTCGACTTTCGTCTAGCCGGTCGGACCGCAGCTGCTGTCAACTGCTTCACAACACCCGACCTCTGACAGATCGGCCTAAATTCGGGGGGCTGACAAGATGACCATGCCCATGCAAAATGACGTTTAGAAAGATGCCCGGAAAGATTAGGAAACATAAAAATGGTGCCGCTTATTCCGTTCTCCAAGCCCCCGCTTAAGGCGGCATTTGAGCAACGACTGTTGCAGTTTCGCTCTGCTTGTACGTTGGCAGCCGAGGTATCGTGTTGGAAAGGACTTAAAAATGGATAAAAATCGATGGAGCATAGGTACAAGTCTGAGCTGTGCTTTGCAGCGTCGTCTTCAAAACGAGCGGACATGAATGAGCAGGTTACTATAATTCTACTTAGCTTGTCAACCCTTGCACAAGAAAGATCTTGTTACAAGGACTTCAGATCTCGCGTCCCAACTAGGATGACATTATTGGACGCCTAAGGAAATCCGTGTCTTAGTCATAGAAAATCTGTGAAATGCTATGTTACTATATGGTTTTTAAAATGTAAAAACAATTGTGTATACTTTCGTTTCGAGACTGTGTAAAAAGGTCTGCAGTTAAGGCACTTCTGGCAGGGGTATTGAAACCGCTTCTCAAATGTAAGAATATGATAAGACGGGGCAGGGGGCGAGGGGAGGAGACGACAAAAGAAGCGATTCGGAACTCTTCGTTGGCCATTCTGTAGCCACCCATGATGCAGTGGTAGACGGCTTCGTCCGTCGCTGTTGCAAGCACACACGCCCTGGAAGTACAGTTTTAAGATGGCGTGTCAATCCTTCAGCACCAAGCCGGCTCAAACCTAGTGCCTAGATACCAGTGAGATTCTAGGAATAATGTGAGGTATCCATTGAACAAATTCTCTTCGCCCACGCCAAAAACCTAGGGTTTTTTTTTTTTTTTTTTTTACAGTCTCGAAGCAAGACTGTGCACAACTGATTTGTGCTTCCAAAGGGGACATCACGCTTCAGCTCCATACACTATGTTTCACTTTGCGGTGATCGTAGATTGAAGGCTCTGGCATAAGACCTTTTTCGTTTATCCTGATCCCCAAACACGTTCACATATCCGGTGTGCGAGACAAAACAAAAGCAAGACATTAAAATCCGGAATAGGTAAGTAAAAAAAAAATATAGAGACAAAACAAGAATGAGTGACAGTCACAATTAAAACTTCAAAACTTCCCAGTGGAATGGCAAGAGCAAAATGTTTAAGTCCATACTGGAAGTTCTGAGAGTCAAGATGGTGATGCCCGTGTGGAGAAGGTCTATGGGCGATCTCGCCGCACAAGCGTACGAAGGGCGTAATCTCCTTCCCCGTTGCATTAAAGCTCGTCGCAGACGTTGAATGGAGTGCAATGCGGAGAGCAAGTTGTTTGCCTCTTGCACCGGAGTCGCGGCGATGTCGGAGCGATGCTGAGCTCTGATTGGCTTTGTTTGCCAGGACAGTGGGTAGACCTCAATGCTAGATGGCTTGAGGCCTACCCACTATTTCTTTCAATCAGCCAATGTTCTGACATCATCGCAACCTCTGTGCAAGAAACAGACAATCTTGTGCTCCACACTGAGCTGGCCCTGCTATGGAGCGAAGAAAGAAGTTTGGAAAACGGGCTCGGGCAAACTATCGGCACAGAATTGGGGCGTGGTTGCACCCGTTCCACTGTAGAAACTCACCGGTCCCGCCGTCGGAGCGCAACTGTCGACGGCGGTGTTGGTCCCGCATCGACCTCAGTCCTTCTTCTTGGTGGCGTCTGACTTGCCGTTCTTGGATGAGTCTGACTTGCCATCGCCGCCCCGTCCGGACATGAGCGCGCGTCCCAATGCGTCCCAGATCCCGCCAAGGAAGATGGCGCAGAAGAGGTTCTCGAAGGGCAGGAACGGGTCGTGGATGCCAAGCAGCATGGCGGACAGCTTGAAATAGAGCAGGAACACCACGATGCCCAGGTAGACGAGCGCGTGCGGTGCCGAGATGAACTCCGTCTTCTTGTCGAGGACAAAGATTACCGCAGCCACGATGCATGCTTTGGTAGGGCTGCGTACCGAAAGGGCGTGCGAGATTGAAAATGTCTTAAAAGGAGCATGAAACGATTTATTTTTTTTACTTTTGTTAAATACTACTTACAGTCACTTCCTAACGTTAATAACAGAATAAACTTGCCTTAGTTTTTCTTTCTACGCCAGTGGCAGTCGGCAAAAAAATTTGAGAAATATGAGCATCGTTGTCATGATTTGGAAAAAGAAAAGGAAGAAAGAGAAGGGAAGAAAAAGAAGAGCGGTATCGCGGGTGCGAAGGGATTCGAAGCTGGACCAAGAGCCACGACGGTTGGCTGCTCGAACGGTGCGCTGCCCGGCTCCGTCCCGGCGTCAGTGTGCTGCGCTACCCGGCTCCGTCCCGGCCCCAACGCGCTGAGAATCAACGAGCCTGGCTCTGTCCAGGCTGCAGGGAAGCTCAATTTCAACGTAACCGGCTTCAGCACAGTGACCAGCAGCGCAACCGGCTCCGTCCCGGGATCAAGGCACCCGTACCCGAGATAACCAGCCCCCTCCCGACATCGCCGCCCACTCTACTTCACCAACGATCAAGGGGGCGAACCATCAAGGCACCAGCGGCCCGGGCTACGACCCCAGGGGTGACTATACTGCCTACCGAACGTGCTTGGACGGTCGAATGGTTTCTTTTCTTTTGCCTTTCTAACGTTGCCTTTTTCTTTTTAATTTTACTTCCTGACTTGAATATATATATATTTGTTTTTCCTCACGCATTTGTCTCAGTCTCCCGATCCTTCCTCTCACCACCCCGGACGAACCTGACTCGCCAAATTGTCAGGTTCGTCTCGACGCTCATTAAATTGCGGGATGAGCTTATGTGGGCTCCCAAAGCTCCAGGAGCCTGGTGGTTCCTCACGCGCGCCTTCCACATCTTCTGAACTGTTACGTGTATTATCGCGCGCTGCTATTCGCAGTTGAAGCACCTCCCGCTCCTTGTCCAGTTTCGCGCACTCCGCCGCTAAAGTTCTGTCAGCAGCCTCCCGTTCTAACCTCGAGTGCTCGCGCTCCTCAGCCCTTTCTGCTCTTATCCGGACTTTCTCCTCATCCACCCACTTCCTCAAATCTGCCCCGGAATAGCCTAATTCTTTCGCTACCGCGATTAACTTGTCAGTTTCCATCGTTGAAATACCACCCAAATCTCCCTCACCCTTCTCACCCTCCGGAAAAAGATGTGACTATGATGTAATGGGCCAGCTATCCTGGCAGGCTCGCCAAATTGTCAGGTTCGTCCGGGGTGGTGAGAGGAAGGATCGGGAGACTGAGACAAATGCGTGAGGAAAAACAAATATATATATATTCAAGTCAGGAAGTAAAATTAAAAAGAAAAAGGCAACGTTAGAAAGGCAAAAGAAAAGAAACCATTCGACCGTCCAAGCACGTTCGGTAGGCAGTATAGTCACCCCTGGGGTCGTAGCCCGGGCCGCTGGTGCCTTGATGGTTCGCCCCCTTGATCGTTGGTGAAGTAGAGCGGGCGGCGATGTCGGGAGGGGGCTGGTTATCTCGGGTACGGGTGCCTTGATCCCGGGACGGAGCCGGTTGCGCTGCTGGTCACCGTGCTGAAGCCGGTTACGTTGAAATTGAGCTTCCCTGCAGCCTGGACAGAGCCAGGCTCGTTGATTCTCAGCGCGTTGGGGCCGGGACGGAGCCGGGTAGCGCAGCACACTGACGCCGGGACGGAGCCGGGCAGCGCACCGTTCGAGCAGCCAACCGTCGCGGCTCTTGGTCCAGCTTCGAATCCCTTCGCACCCGCGATACCGCTCTTCTTTTTCTTCCCTTCTCTTTCTTCCTTTTCTTTTTCCAAATCATGACAATCGTTCATCTCCTTAACTCTGAGCCAGAACAAGCGGCCATGTGGCTCGGTGCCTCCTATGCCGGCAACGTTAATCATAGCCACGCGCTGGGGTCGGCAAAGAAGAAAACACGTGCTGAGCTCCAGGCTTTGTTAGAGTACGACTATTCTCATCACTGCAGTGGCTGGACACTAGCCACTACCCGAGTGTCTGCCGTTTTCTAGGAGAAAATCATGAACGAGCGTCACTGGGCGTTGCACGACGTTAAGGTTATATATAAAGTATATAAAGTTCCAGCCCCAGTGGGGCTCGAACCTGGGTCAATGGGGAGGCAGTCGGATACTGTAGCCACCGAGCTGCGAAGCACAGCTGGTCTAGAAGGATCGCGCTCCTGGCAAAACGTGCCGGCGAGAGCAGTGCGATGTCGTACCATGTGACCGCTCGCCTCATTTACATCGTGGATGGTACAAAAGCTACATAAGACAGCGCCTCTGCGGCGCGCTCGTTCGCTGAATCTTGCCCCGGCTAACGTCTGTAGTGCACAATGAAAAAAAATGAAAGCCGTTTACAAATCCCTGTAACGCCGAATTGGAGCGCAGCTCTTGAGGAGGAGTAGGGAAGGGTACTGAGGGGGGTCACGTGATCTCGGGGGAGGGGGGGTCACGTGACCCCCCCCCCCCCCCCCCCGGTTACGCCGACGCCGCTCAGGCTGGAAACGGGCCCCTAAGAGCTGCGCTCTAAAACTAGCACAAACCACATGCAGTGTGTGGTTTATGCAAGCTGTACGCATTCCGTGCTCACTGGTCTTTGTCAACATATCCAAGCAAAAGGGGAATTTTAAATATTTTTATTCATTGTTCTCTTACTGTAGGCTCGAAATAATTCTGAAGGATGTTACAAGCAACCAGTGCTCGCACATCGCTCCAACGTTTACAGATCCATGGCCCAGCATGCGCGCGTTCGTCGCTTTGGAAAACGAGCGAGTCTGAGGGTCTAAGATCGCGCATAGATTCTGCCTCAAATACTGCAAGCCCGGTCTAGCTCGCGGCCAGATTGGATTTGCCAGTACCTACGGTTGCAGTGCAGACCCCCCCCCCCCCCCCCCTACCTCCTCACCCCAACCTGCTCAGAATGTCATATTCACCGTCGCTCGTGGCTTGCTCTTCAGTGAATCGTCTTGAAAACATGTGGTTTATTAATTAGGCTGGAGAGCCCAGTCCTCAAGGCCAAAACCTGTCCTTTTGCGTTTAGCTATGCGGCACTCGGCGCGGCTTTTACAAAAGCAAGCCGAACCCCCACGTTTTCAGCACATGGGGAGATGTCTTGCCTTGCATTCCGTGGAAGAATCAGTTGGGGAAAATGCAGAAAAAATTGCCGTTAAAATATCACTTGGAGCTAGGCTAGCGAAGTTGAAAAAATCAGGTGCGTTTGGTATTTGCCCCGGGAAGATAGTTATTGTTATTTTCCTTTTCCCTTGTCACGACTTTTCCCAACCACCCTATGATGTCCGCACGGCCCCTGGCACACGCTGCACACCATGGCATTGAGGGAATATTTACACGGACAAATGGACGCGAATGTAATAGTGCGCAAAAATGAAAGGGCCCAAAGGGAAGTTAAGAACTTGTTTTTCGGGCAGTTTCACAAACACTCTACTCAGGGCTGGAGTCTGGGCTTCATCACCACCGAGTGTTCATTGCGGGTGCGCCCCCAGCAAGGTTCGGAGGTAAGGGGTCGCAGAGGCAAAAGTAAGGCTTGCTGCCCTTTTCTTTCCAACTGATTCTTCCACGGAATGCAAGGCAAGACATCTCCCTTTTATATGTTTCGGTAGTTACTCTCAATTTTATTGTTAAATTGTTCTTGGTTGTTTTTTCACTTGTCAACAAACCAACAATCACACCGCTTGTTCAGAGAGGGAGGGGGGGGGAACGGTCTGGTTTGGGGGTAGCAACCCGTTTTGCACCTTCCTGCTGACACCCATGGCCTTGTACCAATGAGGGGACATGTTTGAGGGTCATGCAGAGCTACACCGGCCTAAAGAGCAAGGAAGATGAACTTACAAACTGGGCTGCATGATTTCCATCGCATTCGGTGTCCAGTAACCTCTGAGGAGTCTTTCGCATATCTTGAGGAATGCAGATCCATTGCCTTTGTGAAGACAGGAGGAGAAACCTTTTCAAACACCAGAACCTTGAATGTGCAAATTCTGGCCTTGCAGATGTTTAAAGCTCAATGACTTTGCAAGAACATGATTTCTGCAGCGTTATTAAGTGACATACAGGGTGTTCCTTTAAAGCTTTACAGATGTGTTTAAAAAAAAAGCCGTTTGTGCATGTGAGTTATGCAGCCAGGGGGTTATAGTATAAAGGGGCTAATCGTAATGATTGATCGACTAATGAAGTAAAATTTGTTAATTAACTTTTTAATTTGTGAAAATAGACATATGGTCCCAATTAGAAACTTGCTGAGCGTCATCGAAAACCACTAAATCAACTTGTTTTAGAAGGATATAACGCAGAGGCAACATTGCACGGCATTCCGTAAAAGCAGTTGTTTTATTTTTATTTGGACACATTTCTAGGGTTTTGTGTTTTATTGGAGCGCTTCTCTGCGCCCGTGGTTTTGCTCCCCCAGTGGCTGAGATGCGCAACACACGCACACCCTACCTCCCCCCATCCTACGAGGGAGGCGAGAGGGTGGCTTTGCGCCGCGATCACCGGGCAAAAGGATCGCAGGTACAAGGTTGTGCTCCGTTAAGAAACCAAACTAAGAAACGCGTCCAAAATTAGCGTTTTTTTCAGAACGTTGTAAAATGCTGCCTTCGTCTTATATCTTCCTAAAAAGAGTTGATTTGGTGGGTTTTGATGATGCTTAGCAAGTTTTTAATTGAAACCAAGTCTATTTTCACTAATTGGAAAGTTAATTAACAAATTATACCTAATTACCTAGCCGACTGATTGTCACGATTAGCCCCCTATACTCTATTCCCCTGGCCGTATAACTCACCAGCACAAACCGCGTAAGTGTAGCATTCATGGATTTGTTTAAACAAATCTGTAAAGCTTTAAAAAAACCTATAGTGGCATCATTTTAAGATTTTCAGCTTGAGCTGACTGACAGTCCGCCCAGCATAGTTCTTCCTTAAATAATCTTCGCAGCTAGTTGTGTCCTCCAAATCTTGTTGGACAACATTTCAGCAGAAGGATGTTAGTGCCTTAAAAATTGATGTCCGAATATAACTGGGTATTTACCGATTCATCTTGCCATCATATGAAACCGATTACATCTCCTGCACAAAAGATACAGTTCAGATGATAACTGCTGATATAATGCTTGATCACGTCTTATTGTTAGATACAAAACTTATTATTTTGTATTACACTGGTATCATAAAAACATTCTCCTTTTAGCTATCCCTAAGCCGTTTTATGACTTCTTGTCTTGGAAAGAGAGAGCCTGCAGTAATATGGTCTCGGCATAAAACTGCATATTTTGCTGGAGGTAGGATAGCTGCACAACAGAACCTCACCTTTGACGACTCCAATTACAACCATGATGAGGTACCCATTGGGATAGATCTTGGCAGCGTGAGTGACACCGTCGTGCACTTTTTTACACCGCGTGACTTCTTTCATGAGGGCAATGATCAGCTTGCAGGGGAAGAACTTGCAAATCTTGTACACCAGGTCAAATGGAGAGTAAAAGATGGCATACCTGCCGAAAGAAAGAAATGCACCGTTTAAAGAGATACATAGCAGGGCGAGCTTTTCCCAGAAAGTGCAACAATCCTTTCAGTTAGCAGAGCAAATTCTGGAGAGGAGGCAACAACCAATCATGGCAAGCAGAGAGCTTTGTGAGAAGAGCTTGTGCTATTGTTCTTAACCTGCTACGGACTATAGTTTTGGGTAGCACTGGCACTAATAGGTATTCAAATGTTTGTCTAGCTTCTATGGTACATATTGTGTATAGGCTCGTGATAATTCAAATTCGGATATTTTATATTTCTGGTTAATTCAAACAAATTTCAAAATCTTGGTTGCCCTGCTACGTTTTTAATGTAGTCATAAGCGGAAGCCGCTTAATTCGAACAACGTTTTCGTGCAGTTCATGCTTTTTTTTCTTGTGGCCCCGTTGAATGTGCTTCTTTCCGAGCACCGGTGCACTGCAGAAAGGCAACGTCCGCGAAGCTTGTTTCTGCGGGTGTTGCTGCTCTGCAGTGCATCGGTGCTCGGTGAGAAGTGCACTCAACGGGACCCACACAGGACACCATGACCTATGAAAACGGGCACTACACAGAAATTTTCAAAGCAACTTGCGCGGACACTGTGACGTGGCAGCATGGCATAGGTCCACATCACAGCGTCAGCGCAAGTTGCTATGAAAACTGCTGCGCGGTGCCCGTTTTCATCACTCATCTGTCCCCTGATTAATAGTTCAGATTAGACAACTTGGCCTGTTGAACAAACTTAATTTGGTTTTGAGTTGTCATGTGCTGTCTGCACAGTCCACGATAGACAACATTTTTGAGAGAAATAAATTTGTTATACACTTCACAAATGTTTCTTGTGTGGCACACCTGGTTATGATCAGTAGGGCTACCTAGAAAAAATCATCAAATATCTGCTTTGTAGTATGTGCAGCCATTCATATGGCAAATCATAATTTTATCTTGCATCACCCTTAGATGAATTTCTGATAATTCAAACAAATTTTGTGGCTTCCTGGAGTTTGAATTAATGAGAGTTATTTCTACTTCTCTGCAGAAGCAAGCAATTAATCTTAAGGTATTTTTGTGTTTTAACTATGTATGTATCCACAGCTTTTAATCTTTAAATGACTGTTCACCGAAGCATTCAGATTAGTGTAAACTATCATGTTACTTTAGGAAATGCACTTCACATACAACAATTCTATGCTGCTTTTTCTTAGTTATACAGAGTAAATAAGCTAAGCGTTTCTGGAAGCTCAGTCTCTACCTCAACATAGCATTAGTGGTCTGGACCAGGATGCCAAAGTATCAAAACTAACTGTTTTCACATTCAAAAATGACAAGCGATTTTCTGAAACTTGCAAAAGTGGGGCCTATTCTTGGTTGCTAATGCCATTCATCTCCATGCACTTGTGAGCTTCGTTGGCCACCATTTTTCCATCAAAAATTTCCGAAAATCGCTTATAACATTTTAATTGTGTAACGGCAAGCTCCAAGACTTTGGCACCTGGTTGGGAATGCTAGTGTTACATGTGGACGGAGACTGAACGCTCAGCAATGCATAGTCTACTTTTACAGTGAAAAAAAAAATACTATGCATTTTTTTTGGGGGGGGGGACACTTCGTGCATATTGGGCTTTGTTTCGCGTGTTTCTTCCTGTCGCGGTGTTTGGGGAGTTGCGTTTTGTGGGAGTGGGTCGTACCAGACTGCGGTAGCCAGCAGCAACTGCTGATTGTTTTTGAAGATCCCAAGTACCGGTTCCCCAAGCAAGAAAGAGGAGAGCATGCCGCCAGCGAAGATGGAGAACATGCTTGTGATCCAACATGACAGAGGATGCTTCCTTGAGAACAGTTGAGACCCTGGAAAAGAGTGCCACTTTAGTGTGATATAGGAGGTTGGAATCCACCAGACTAACAGTTGGTAGTTTGCAGAAACAACCAACTGTTAGTCTGAAGACTGTTTGCGATCATTGTAAGGTATCAATTTCAATTAACAGTAAAATTGTGTTTGGGCGCAATTTTCTATAGTTGGTGACAAGTGAAGAACCCAGTGCGTTCTTAAAAATTTCACATCTTTAGACGTGTTTATGCTTCTGATTGGCCGGAGCCGCACCAATAGCCGCCTGGGGAGAGCACGGTGTTAGCCAAGTAACTTTCCCAAGTCATCCTCCCGTGTTGCTTGCCTCTTTCCTATCCTCCTCACCGATTTCCCTTTCAAAAATGAACCACACGGGACCACTGAATGGTGCATGGTTGCATCTACGATCTGAGTGGCACCCAGTGGCACTAGGTTCTACCGTGCCCTGCCAGGTTCTACCGTGTTCATGATTGCAATGGAAATTATGTTTCTTTTAGACTCCGTTACCATTGTGCAAATGGATACCAGCGTTCTAACGACGTGCGTAAGTTCATTCAACTTGAGAAATGTGTTTTGCATCGAAATAAATTTAAATACTTACGAATTTTCACAGCAATTATTTTGTGGAGCGTTCACAGTCCCACAAGTTCACAATACAGTTCGGGGGGTTCTTGGTGTGAATCACAACCAACATTGAATTATGTAATTGAGTTTGACTAGGGTGTTTTATAAATACGTATTGTGATGAACTCAATTTTACTTGGCAGGGGCACACCCGGCACGACTGTTGAAGGCATCAGATTTGAAGCAAACGAAACTCCACTTCGATGAAGTGCACTCACTGTTGCAACAAAGGGCTGAAATCTATCGTCTGAGTAGTTCGATGGCTCTCGAAAATCTAAGAAAAGCGCCTTATAAGTTCATATTACTGCGAAGTTCGGGACGTAATCCAACAGGGTTGTGCCGGTGAACAAAACTCGCCGCGGAAGGTTTCTGCAACTGTTCACACCGCAAAGCCCCATCTTGGTCTCGGCAACACCACACACTCTCGTTAACTAAAACTGCTCGGCGGCCTGGCTTGTCATGGTCTATTGTCCGCCCATCAGGGTCTTGCACATCTCGCCGGTCTTGCCCTCACGCTGCTCTCGTTAAAGCTACCAGACGAAGCGAGCACAGTACTCTGGCGCGTACAGGTGACACATTACGCACCGCGCCCGCTCCTTGAGTTTTCTTCGTAAAACCTCTGGACGCACGACGGACCGCGGCTGTTGAGATGATTGCGGTCTGTCGTCTGCTCCACTTTGCCCTAGCATCGCCTGCCTCGACTTCGTTTTGCTCATGTAGAACCTACTGGATGGAAGTGAGCGCAACGCTACGGCCACGTCCCATACAACCAACCACCCCACTCGGATGTGACAGGGTCATGTGCACTCCACGTGGGTCCAAGTACAGTTTAAATTTTTTTATGGCTGAGCATCAAAAAAGTCACATAATGCCCTCCCCGTGAATATCCGCACGGACATCGGAGTGTCGCTGGCGCCATACTGTGGAAGCTTTTAGAAACTTTTGGGAGGATACCGTTTAAGCGAAATTCAAATATTAGCGGCGGAGACACGTAAGGAGAGACTCCCCGCCCTGACAATGTGATCGGAGCCCGACCAGCTCGACTTAGACCGCTGATTCCGGCGTCCTGGCACGAAAATGAGAAAGGAAGAAGATACCGAGGAATACAAGCAGGAAGCGAACGAGGCGAAAAGGAGACAGATTCAGCTATAATCAAATTATTTCTCAAAGTTTTCATTAAACCAATTGACAGTCCACAAAACCGGTCATTCCATATTGTAAGAACCGGTGCCGAGTGTGCTGGACATTAATCTCATGCATATTCCATTGTGTCCACACAAGTACGAGGGGTGTTTGCTTACTTGTTCATGCATTGCTACGACACGAGTCATATCTTCGTATGTCAAGTTGAATGCATTTTCCAATTATAACTGGCGCCACTTAGAAGGCTCAATCTAGGTCACTGCTGCTCAATATAGAACCAAAAAGATGTAGCGTCCAGCGAGTGCCCGCGTTCATTTCAGCACGTGTTTCCCCATTTTCATACCACAACCTCCTGAATGTGAAAATGGTATGTTGGTTGCCACGGCCGGCCCACGAAGCACAGATGCCTCGGTGATTCGCGGTCGTAACCCGGAACACTATGCAACGTAAGCAGATGAGAATCGCAAGCACACGGACGCATAGTTTACGAAGTATATGTGCAATGCATGCACGTACTGCATCAACAACCGCTAGAACAATAGCGTCACGCATGCATCTCTCGCGGCCGTTCATGCCTGACGGCTGTAAATATACGTCAACACTCTTTGCAAACTTGGAACGGTTACAGAGATCGAAGCATAACAAAAAAGGCAAAACTTTTTTTTTTTTTTTTTTAAACGAAGAGGACTTTAATCACAGAAAGCAAAAACGCGGCAGACACAGCTCGACCTTGCGGGGGAAATCCCACCCTGATCGTTTCTGTCGTTACCCGGTAAACAGGACAATAAACGACGGAATTACAATGAATAAACGCAGTAAAACAAAAAGACAAAAAAAAGAGGGGGGGGGGGGGGGGGGGGGGCCGAGCTACGCACTAAGTACACTGTACACCGGGTACCAGGCAAGTTATTCGATTGGGATTTGGAGCACAGAAAAAGAAGAAAAGAAAATCACCTAGAGAAGCTACGAAAGCGAAACGTTTTGTTCTTTTCTTTGCACGTCGTGTCGTTGTTTTTAGCTTGCGGCTCAAGGGTACGATCCGGAAGCGAGGCGCTCGGGCGCTCACACTTACCGGGCCCCAGGTCTTCGCGCAGGTACAGACACGTAATCACGCAGTGTGCGATGTCGAAGTATGGATACATCTTGAGCTTCGTCACTTGGTTCGCGACGTCGAGGAACATTTCGGGATCCATTTTTAAGTCCTTTCGTGCGCGGTGCTAGAGCCGCCGCCTGCTCCGTTCGGGAATCGTCCGGTAAAACGTAAATAGAACACGTTTCGTGGGGTCCCGAGCGCGGGTACTGCGCCTGCGCAGAAGATGGGGGAAAGATGATCAAGAAAAGCGGAGAACGAAGAGCAAGAAAGACGAGCCGCCGTGGCGTTTGGCGTGTTTCGAAAGTTTGGATCGTTTTGATGATGATGATGATGATGGTAATGATGATAATGAACGGCTTTTATCTTCACTTTATTATGAACTTCAGCGAACCTTACGACTGTGTTACGAGCTAACAAAGCTAATTAATGCTAATTCTATGTGGTATTCCTGTCACATGACCCCATGACGTGGCTGCCAGCTGTTAAAATTAAAGACTCTGACTAGATGGCGCAACTAGCCTTCCTATTACCCCAATTCAACTTCGTTTATTTATCCATCCATTGATAGGTTTCAATCGTTTCAACGTGGTGCTGTTGTGGTGTTGTGGTAGTCTGCTGTTGGGTCCGTTTATGGTCCGAATTCGTTTGTAAATATTAGTTTTGTTGTGTGGAAAGTTTGAAAATGGGACGTTCGTCGAAAGACAAAAGAGACGTATATTATCGCTTAGCGAAGGAAGAAGGCTGGAGAGCTCGTAGCGCGTTCAAGTTGCTGCAAATCAACGAGGAGTTTGACATATTTTCGGGTAGGTTTTCGAGAGGTTTCATTTCATTTATTTGGCACAGGAGAGTCGGGAGAAGAGCAGAGCAGATGTAGCCCTCGCTGTTTCCCAGGTTAAAACGGGAGTTTTAAGAGAGATACGACGTTCGAACTCTGCCCAGGCGTCAAGAAAGCCGTGGACCTGTGCGCCGCTCCAGGAAGCTGGAGCCAAGTGTTGTCGAGAAAGCTGAGGTACGATTGTTCATTCATTTCATTTATTGCATTTATTGAAACTTAAGGGCCCGTGAGGGCATTACATAAGGGGCATATTCGGGCGTATCCCCTGATTTCCCTTTTTTTTTTTCTGATTTTGATTCCGTGATTTCAGAAGTAACGCCGAAAATCCAGATGACGTGAAAATCGTGGCGGTTGATCTGCAGGCCATGGCCCCACTGCCGGGTGTGATACAACTGCAGGGAGACATTACAGAGGTACATAGGCAGTTGTGGTGTTTTCTTTACTGCCAGATGACGCCACAGCCCTGTTCTTTGCCACCGTCGCAGCTTTGCGCACTAGGTTGTCACTAAGCTTTCTGTTGTGGCTAGCTTCAGCCACTAGTCATCATCACGGTTTTGTTTGCTTTTTGTTTATTTGGGGGGTGAAGGGAAAGGAAGAAGTCAGGGGAGGTTTTGTGCTTTGCCCACTGTACCCCGGCTCATCCTACAATGAGCTAAAGCCCAGTGCTACAGGCCGCCAGGTCAAATCAAGAGCCTGTTAGAAACCATGTGGTATATTGCACCGTTGTACATAGCAGTGTGCCAAAACGCGTCATGTGGAGGCAAATTTTTCGTCTGCTTATAGAGCCCTCGCGGCAGCTCCGTCTGCTTGCCACTACTGAAGACTACTGAAGGGATTAAATTCCGTTTGGAAGCGATGTGGCAAAGGAAACCCGGGATCAGAGTCAGTGGCCATTAAGAAATTAAGATGAGTCGGATCGAGCGTTCGACACGGGAGTGTGTGTATGAACTACGTGCGAAAGGGAGATACGGGTCCGGGTATGTTTTACATACACAAAAAAAGATTGGATTGGATTAGATTGTTATGGCTATCCACGCTATCACAACAGAGAACCGTGTGCGTAAGATTAGTGCTTTTCATACTTCGCATACTGGAATTTCTCCCACGCACTCTTTTGCAATGCGGATGTAAGCTTTTCTTAAAGGAGGACCAGCAGAAATATTCTTCCGCCTGGCGGAAAGTCTTCCTCGCCCTCTTTCTTCTTGTATTGTAGCACGGCGAGGCGAGGGGAAAGGTCTCCTTTTGCGCCGGCTTCTTCTAAGAGGATAAGCCGAGAAAATCCCCATTCTGAGCGACGGGCGATCGGTGCGGCAGCAGCGACCTCGTGACTTAGAGGTAGCTTCAGCTCCTATCGCGTAATCTGCCCCATTTTTTGGCGCTCACCAAGCCTAGCCCCTCGGGTGTCGGTTTTACGGAGCTGCAAGGCTGCGCCCGCGCAGTCACCGAATTTTCGCTGTCGAAGGTCTTTAGCCCGTGGCAAAGTAAACGCATACTTGAGAGCTGCGATGCATCCCCGCACCCATTGAAGGAACGTTTCATAGATATTTTCGGTTGATCAAGGAGCTCAAAACACATGCGCGAGAAGTGGTGACTTGAATATGTAAGGATGACTCACATCTTCACAAAACGTTCCATCTTGAAAAAAACGGCTTATCACGCTCAAACCTGCCTCAAATTGGGATCGATGGAGAAGAGAACGATGTACCAGGCGCGGGCATCTTCTAGAAGGTCTCTGTTTTCTAGCAGCGAGCACAAACATTGCGTGCGTAACTCACACTATATGATGGCCAACGAATGTATGTTACATTTATATTTACGCATCCCAGCAACCACATGAGGTGAGAAGGCAGCTATGGTGTGTGTCGATACTAAAAAGTTCTAGTGGATCATCTTTAGCTCTTGGATAACCGCACCCTACAACAATTTATAAGCTATAACCTTTCTGTGAGCATTCTTGATTGAGTGCGGCTATCGAAGCGTCTGATGTTATAGTTCAACGTTGCTTAAATCGGCGCTATAGCACGTGCTGCCACTTTAAAGTATTTCTGAGGCATTAAAAATAAAAAATAAAAAAATCAACTGTAGCCTTTTTTTAACATAATACGCGTTTGTAATTTGTCTGTGCAAACACATTTTAGTTAGCACGGACAAACTATTGCCGGTCTTTCTGATTTTCTTTTTTAGAAATAAATGATATTTAGAAAACTGTCAATGCAACTATCCAACCTAAGTGGCAGAGCTCAGTGCTAGACAATACATGTTGCTGGGCAGAAATAGTAAAAAGCGCCGATGTCGCGTTCGGGCTAAAAGTGCCACGTAATGCACGCGTACTGCTACAAGTGCGTCCGGACATTTCACCGAACGCCGTTTCATCAAACGCCATTTCATCAAACGCCGTTTCATCGAATGTCGTTTCATCGAAGCCGTTTCATCGAACGCCGTTTCATCGAACGCCGTTTCATCGAACGCCGTTTCATAGAAGCCGTTTCATCGAACGCCTTTTCATCGAACAATGTTACAGTCTGTAATACTTTGGAATTTACTTTAATTTTTATACACAACTTCATCTCATTCTCTCTTTTTTTTTCTTTTGTTTCTGCTTTTATATCACTGGGTGCAGTGGCGAGATAAGTTCCATCGTGAACATATCCTGCTTCGAGAAGAAAGCCTCCATGAAACAATGACCCCTCTCCATGTCACATGAAACAATTAAAAATGAGGCAAAAACAGAAAGCACAGACGCTTAAAAGTGTTTAAGTGTCTGTCCTTTATTTGCAGCGTCGTGGTTTCAGCCATGTATGTACATGAGTAAGGCTTTTCAGTAAGTCGCATACCCAATTGTTTTTATTTCTTTTTATGCCAATTGCTTTTATTTTTAGTAATTTGACACCACCTTCAAAACAATTTCTCAAGTGACTACCTTAGTCTTAACAAATGCAAGGTGAAACATCTATAAAGCACTGTTATGCCCCAAAACTAGGTACAGAGCCATAACTGAAAAATTCGATGAAGCGGCCCTTGGCGATTCGATAAAACGGCGTTCGATGAAACGGCGTTCGATGAAGTGTCCGTTCATTCGGTGAAACTGCTTTCGATGAAATGGCGAAAAAGTGAGGTTCAGGCTTGGTCGGAGATTGCTACGGTTACACACGTACGCTTTTTCAGTTCTATCTCGCATAAATAAGCTTCATCTGACTTTTCGCTCATCTTGGCCTTTTGCGCGACTGTTAACAAGTTCTAAAACAGACAAAGCAAAAGTGATTTAATTAGCTCAGGATTATAGGTTTAGCGAAATATTTACAAAGTTCAAGGTTCCCTGAGTCGTCTTTTGTATTCAATTCCCCCTCCCCTCACCACCACTTCCTTCCTCTAAATAAACCACGTAGATTATTTTATGAACCACCAGTAATAGAGCATACTCACAAAACGTCTATTTGGCGTAAGAAAGGCCTTGTTTAAATGTTCGAGCAAGGATCTTGTTTTCTTACTGTGCGTGACACAGCTAGCACGAAACACAATATTGACATTTTTACGCAAGGGCCATGCAGAATTTTGTGTATAAGAACAAATTGATGCCTCGTAAGTTGGTGCCCAACGGAAGCACCCTTTACCAAATTGCTTGTTTAAAAATAACAACTTTTCAAACATAAAAATAAAACAAAATAACACCACTTTTTTGGGGGCCACTAAATTTACTGATTTACTATGTTAGCGTTGATTGTGCAGCGGTATGCGTACATTACGCGACACTGTTAGCACAAACACGACATCGCGCTTTTTGCTATTTTCCCCAGCAATATATCGACTCGCACTAAAATCTACCGCTTAGGTTGGATACTCGCATTAACAGTTTCCTAAACATTGTTCTCTTCTAACAAAAAAAAAAGTGGGAAACACCGGTGATAGTTTGTGCTAACTGCGTAGCGTAGGATACCTAAAAGTTTTTTTACAATGTTAAATACAATTCTGTGTCACGTTAAAAAAAATTGTCTGCTTTTGCCTTAGTTTCTTTGAGACACCGCAAATACTTCGAAGTGGCGGTCCGTGCTATGGTACCGATACAAGCAACGTTGAACCACAACACGACACACTAGACTCGTCAAAAAGGGTTTTAATATTGTCTTTTTGCTCCATAGCTGCACTCGATGAAGAATGTAAACAGCGAGTCGAGCTTACATTTCGTTGTGGGGTACGGACCGTATACGGTTATCTAAGTGGCTAAAAGCGACCCACTAAAACTTTCTAAAATTGACATCCACCCTTGATGCCCTCTCACCTCAGGTGCTTGTTGGGAATGTGTAAATATGAATTTCATACATTTTGCTGGCCATCATGTTCTGCGAGTTAGGCACACAACAGGGCATTTTAGTAAATCGTTTTCAAAGGCCCGCTGCCACTTCAGGCGCGCGCTTCAGAGAATGCATCGAAGTGGCAGCGCGAGCTCCCGCTAAATATAGCGTGGCCTGAAAACATAGTCTGCTAAAGTTCTTCAATAATTTGTACTCGCTCCTAGAAAACAGAGACCTTCTAGAAGATGCCCGCGCCTGGTACATCGTTTTCTTTTCCATCGATCCCAATTTGAGGCAGGTTTGAGCGTGATAAGCCGTTTTTTCTTGAAGATGGAATGTTTTGTGAAGATGTGAGTCATCCTTACATATTCAAGTCACCACTTCTCGCGCATGTGTTTTGAGCTCCTTGATCAGCCAAAAATATCTATGAAACGTTCCTTCAATGGGTGCGGGGATGCATCGCAGCTCTCAAGTATGCGTTTACTTTGCCACGGGCTAAACTAAAGACCTTCGAAAGCGGCAATTCGGTGACTGCACGGGTGCAGCCTTGCAGCTCCATAAAACCGACACCCGAGGAGCTAGGCTTGGTGAGCGCCAAAAAATGGGACAGATTACGCGATAGGTGCTGAAGCTACCTCTTACTCACGAGGTCGCTGCTGCCGCACCCATCGCCCGTCGCTCAGAATGGGGATTTTCTCGGCTTATCCTCTCAGAAGAAGCCGGCGCAAAAGGGGACCTTTCCCCTCTCCTTGCGTGCTACAATACAAGAAAGAAAGAGGGCGAGGAGGACTTTCCGCCAGGCGGAAGAATATTTCTGCTGGTCCTCCTTTAAGTAGTGCTCCACCCACCAGCCTTCGGGCCCTAGGCCATCGTAGGGTGATACAAAGTATAGGTATTGTCGCAACTTCACCCTGAAGTCCTCTTTATACATGCACCACAGTGCTACCTCAGGACTTTTAGTGAGCATGCCTTGCTAATGCAGCTCTGACTCAACATTGTATTAGTGATGCAGTGCTGCATCTGCGCTGTTGCATCGATTCAGTGCTACAGCGTATATAGGAACTTCTTAGTGAGTGCATTGGTAGTGATGTAGGTTTAGAAAGAGTTATATACGCCCGCCTGCGCGAACATGAGAGAGAAATAGAAAAAAACGACGAAGACTCCCAACACCCCACGGTCCATCACCTCAAGGTTTGCGCTCCATGTGCCCCCGAGTTCCCGTCCGCGCGTGTTCTGGGGGCCAACAAGAACCGCTACGGGCGCGAGATCGTGGAGGCGTTCGCCATAAAAGAGGCACCGAAGAACATTTCCTCGGCCTCGTTGTCGCTGTCCGAGAGAGAGGTGACATTCCTGAGACCTGAGTGGACGGCCTTGGCGGGCCAAGCGAGCGCTCCTTGCTCCCGAGAGGGAAATCGGGATGCTTTCTTCCTTCCTCTCCTTCCCGCTGTCTCTGCGCTTTACTTTCCCCCAGTTTTTCTCCCAGGGCTGTGTCTTGCCCCCCCCCCCCCTCCCCCCCCGCCCCCCTCTTTCCCCTTCCCCCTCCTTTTAACTTTCCCTCTCCTATAGTGGAGCTCCGAAGGCGAAGCGTCCGGCAATAAATTCATTTGTTTGTTGAAAGTTGAAAGATGTGTTGTCCCGTCCCCTGTTTTTACGTATATAACTCTTTCTAAATTTACAGTGTATATAGACGCTTTGCACACGCGCCAAATTACAGCCGCCATTGGTGACCTTCTCTTGTCTTACCGAGATGCCGAGCAACTGAAACGGTAGTTGACGATCCTCTACAAAGGCCGATGCTTTAGAAAAGGACACAGTTGAATCTAATGTGGCAATAACCTGGCCTTCTATGGTAATGATGAAATGAAATAAACAAAATAGGAGGAAACAAAAACTGAAGGTCAGTTATGGCGGCGTCCATGCACAGCTGCTGCAAAGCGTCTATAGGAACTGGCCTCAAGGGAAAGCTACCAGACACCATGTGGTTCATCATAACAGCAAAAAAATTTATATCGCTATGTGCAGGTGCTGATTTACCTGGACAATTTTAGTGCCAGCCTGCCTCAAGGTTTCTTACACTGTAGAAATAAACTTATCACCAAGGGTGTAAGCTTTCAATAAATGCAACTGATTTCTTCCTTTTTTTTTGTCTCCAGATTTCAACGGCACGAAAGATCATCAATCATTTCGAAGGGGAGAAAGCTGATCTCGTTGTTTGCGACGGTGCTCCCGATGGTACGCCACATTTCTTTCTGATTCCTTACAGCTATAGTAAACCGAGAACTCAAACTTGAGCTAGGTGTTGCGACAGGGATGTTGCATGCCATGATTGACATTTGCTTAAAGGTACACCGGCAGAGTATTTATGTTTGTTGAGGTTTTTATTTGAACGTGACCTATAAGAGCCCATCTATCCAAAAGACAACCTGCGGCTCGAAAGTTTTTTCTCCGCCCAAAAACAGCCGGTCGAGAATTGGCCGGTTTCAGTCGCGCTCACTTTTGTTTCCATGGTCTTGTTGCGTTCAAACTACTATTTGTACCAAATATATTCAGAGTTGTGGGTTATCTAAAACACATTCAATGTTAAAAATAGAAAAAGAATGGAAACCCCATTTTTTTTGTGCCCAAGAAGAAGCTGCAAATACGTAAAAATATGTTGCACAGATCACAGAAAGTACATGTACATGCAGTGATGTGATTGCTGCACCACTTGTGCCAAACTGCGCCAAGGGGCTAACGCTGCTACATCCTGCTACATTTTGCCAAAATATGGGTAATCTGCGCCAAGCCTGTGCCAAAGGACCAATTTCAGTCTCCTTTCAAAACCGAAACTAAACTGAGATCCGTAATTGAGCATGCGTGAGCTAGGTGGCGCAAGCGGCCGCCCGACACAAAGTACCCTGCATCAAACGTCCATCCGGTCTTGCAAGGTTTTTCCCGCCGTCTCGCGTTTCGCGCCCTTGTCATCTCGAAAATCTCGTCTCGCGCCTTTTTTGAAATTTTTCAACGATAGACGCGGGCGTGTGCGGATGCTCCGACGCTAGTGTGCTGAGTGCCAGCCATGCTGTCATGCTGTGAAACAAAACCACATTTTTGTGCGGTGAGAGTTACTTTGTGAGCTGAAACGCTTGCGTGACCACAGTCACCGTGGTCCCGCGACGTCGGGTGTTGCCGTCCACACGTCGCAGCAGATACAGCGCTTTCTAAACTTGTTCATCGTCATTCCTGTCCTTGTTTACATCATACTCTACTACAAAAATCCCTCTTTAACTTAGAGACTACTTGTCAAAATATTGATTGCCTAGGTTTCTCTCGGTGGGCTTTCTTTTGAGAGGGACCCTGGTACGTGAAAAATCTGCCCGCAAAAGAAAGTTGGTGAAGGGAAGTAAGCTAAAGCAAAGAAGGCAATGGCTGCGCACTGAGCCCGCACATTGCGCTTGTTTGTCTCGAGTTCAGTCATTGCACAAAGCGCTCCAAGAACTTTTTGACCCTGGCTCGCAATGTCGTGCATCGATGCTCTAAGGTTCTTTTTTTTTGTGTGTTTAGCTTATACCTCGCCTGCCGGCCTGGCAAGCACGCGCCGCTGTACTGTTTTTTTGTCGCATGTTGGACAGTTACATTTTGCATGCTATTTTGGGAACTAGTTGGCGACTGAGCGGAGTGACATGGTTTCGGTTTCGATTGAACAGCCGTTGTCTCCGCTCGCGCGGCGAAGCACGTGCCACTGCAAGCTTGCTGAAGTTGCCCTCATGTGCATGCGAACATGACTGCATGACAGAGGACCAGCCGGTATGCTTGCAATCTATTGTTTTACGTTTGCTTACTTTTGACGAAAATCTGGCACGTCGGGAACCAGTAAAACGGTGGCAAGCGTTATTTTCGGAATTGCTCGGCAACGCCTACAACACTGTACACTTGTGGGATATCTCAGCAGTAAAAACACAAACAGCGAGTTCCGTCACAACACAACATAAAGTGCCCTTCGTTTGTCCAGCACTTAAAACAAATATTTTTATTTTTCTAAGCATATCTTCTCCAAAAGCCACTTTTGCTGCTCCGAAACCCTGTTTTGACTGCTCCAAATGCCACTTTTGCTGCTCCAAAGGCCACTTTTGCTGCTCCAAAACACTGTTTTCGCTGTTCTAAAAGGTGCTCCAAAATGGCTTAGGCCAATCACATCACTGTACATGTCATTCTCCATATGGCAATGTACCGCGGGCTGGACGACGCAATGGCGGTGTACGACAGATCAACATTGCGACCGACTTGGGGCCACTGCTTAGGAACTGTCGTTCGCGGTACCGGCCAGTCGATCTTCAAGCGTAGAACATTGAGCGGAAGGGATATAAGTGCGAAACATTTGCATGACAAACGGTTTATGCAAGCTCATCGTCGTCGTCATAGTCTGCTTCAAAAACCAGAGAAGCAAAGGGGAAAAAAAATGTGGTCGGGTGTTGTTACATGACATTCGGCAATGTGCTTCAATACTCATGTTTCGGTTTCGAGCAGTTGAGTATTTTTACTTTATTAAAAATATATGTGATTCTGCAGCAAGATATTGTTTGGGTAGTCTCCTGATGCCATATTAAATTTGCTGGCAAAAAACAAAAAATATATTTTTGGGGTGTGTCAGCGCCTCTTAAAGCAAGAGCGTTTTGTAAAATATACTAAAATTCCAAGTAGAAGTCGTTGGAAACACTTGCCGAAGAGTTCCGTAAGTCCACACTCGAGATATGAACTTGTTTATTGAGGAGGTTAGAGAAGAGGGACGAATGAGGGAAGGAGGAAGGGGCAAAGGGCTGAGGCAAGAAGAGACTGGTGCCTGGAGCCCGTCCTTGGTGCGTTTGCTGCCCTATCCCATTCATACACCACAAGTGGTCCCGAAGCGACGACCGATTACGTTAATGGGAGCCTGCGTGTCACGCTGTGGGATCTCGCAATCCTGGCGTTTGTAGAACTGCTGGCAAAAAGGGCAAGCAGGCGCAAGGGTCGTTGCGATATTCCCTGTTGTGTCTGCCTTGGCCTCCAACGACCGTCTGGCCACAGAGTGACCCACAACAGTGCAGGCGTCTGTTGCATCCAACTCTACTGCTGTGCCACCGCTATGACACTCCTGTGACAACATGACACTTCTGTGACAGCATGACACTTCTGGGCAACATGACATTTGTGTGACAACTCTACTGCTGTGCCACCACTATGACACTCCAGTGACAGCATGGCATTTCTGTGACACTTCTGTGGCAATATGACACTTCTGTGACAGCATGGCACTTCTGTGACAATGTGACTCTCCTGTGACACTTTTGTGACATTGTAATACTTTTGTGACAACATTATACTTTTGTGACAACACGACACTCCGTGCTGCCACCGGGATTGCGGCACGCAGCAGCGTGACACTTCTGTGGCGTCGTTGGGTGGAAATTGAGAAACCAGACTGAGGACACGTTAAACACGCCAGTCATGGACGCGCTCCTGGCACCATAATTAACGTCGGGGTACGGTACCCTACCTACACCGGCCACTCTGCGACCCCCAACCGACAAGGCTGGCAAAAAGGTGTCCTCATCTTTTTTTGGGAAAATGTGATTATCTGTTTGGTACGTGCTTTAAAGGGATACTGAACCGAAATTTCGAGCTCGCTAAACAAGGCCGGGTGGATCGGCGGGAAGCTGCAAAACCAAAAAAATATCACTGATACGGCGATATATCTAACGGATTGCCATATTTTTTTGGAAAAGAAGTGCGCGATTGAACCCGACCGACGAGGCCGACGAGACAAGGCACGTCACGATTCTCATTCCCTCTCCTCCTCGCTACGTCCCGTCAAGCTGGTGAACCGAAGCAAGGAGGAGAGAAGCAAGGCCGCTTCTTCTCATTCTCAAATTCTCCCGGAGGACAGTTACATCAAAGAACTCGCTTGATTGCGCCCCTGTTTTCCAAAACTACGGCCATCCGTTTGAGATATCGATGTTTGAGTGATGTTTTGGAGTCCGTAGTGTCCCGTTCAACACTTCTGCAGCCTTACTTTGCAAAATCCGAATTGCGGTTCAGTATCCCTTTAAGCTAGACTTCAGAGATACATTCTGCAAAAAAAGGTGTCACCTCAGTCTTCTTTATTTTTATGAACTTTGAATATTTGTTTTTGAGTTTGAATGTATCTTGTGCACCTTTCGTGCTCTTCTTTATTTGTCGTCTCATATTTTTTACCTTTGGCAGTGACTGGACTTCACGACATCGACGAATACATCCAGGCAGAACTGCTGCTGTCGGTAGGTTTGTCTTTCCGTTTCATCAAAGTTTTCTTCTTTTTCTTTTTTTTTTCTTGTTACTCAGTTGTTGCTCTCTGCAGGCCCTGAATATCACAACGCACATACTAAAAAACGGAGGCACATACGTCGCAAAGGTGAGCTACATTTTCCCCACAGCATCTTAACAGCTTTAGCCTTGGTCGCTGTATTTGACGGACAGTATTGTATCTTCTTCCCTGATCATGATGCCATCAAGGTCCATGCACATTACAAACTATGTGAAACGGGAACTGATACCATAGATTGCGGATACTGCAAATCCAAGTCTCACGATGCAATAAATATGCGGGAATTCGCTACAAACTCCCCATCACGAGAATGGATACCGTAGAACGCAGACATGGCACATTCACACTTCACAGTGCGATAAACGCGCGAGATCTCCCTATAAACTCGGGTTTCGCAGGAACCGATATCGTGCGCAAAAATTCCATACGAAAGCGTGGGTTTCCGCTATAAACACGCACGTCACGGGAACAGATACCGCAGATTGCGGACGCAACAGATTCACATGTTGTATTGCGATAAACACGAAAGAACCCACGACAAACACGCTTGTCACATGTACCGATGCCGCAGGTCACGTGGTTGATTCGATTCTCTTTGGACATCGCTGGTCAGCGGGAATCTTGGGGTGGGCTATTTTTCAGAATTTTTATGTTACGGATATACAGCTCCAAAAATGGGATGGGCGATCTCTCGGGGCCGGGCGTTATCTCGGGACTTTACGGTATAACCAGAAAAAAGACTCTTAAGCTTTTTTTCATACTGCGTCAATTGTGTTCCCTTAGGAGCTGTTAGAAATTATAGGTACCTTGGTGTTGTCATTGCATCATATCTCACGTGGAACGCACACATTAACAACATAGTTGCTAGAGCATTGCACTAACTTTGGTTTTTAAGAAGAAAATTAACCTACTGTACACCCGAAACAAAGTTACTGGCATATGCAACTATATTTAGGCCAATATTACGATATGCGGACTTGGTATAGGACCGCTACACAGCAAAAAACATAGAGCAACTAGAATGAATCCAGAAAAAAGCGATGCGTTTTGTTGATAACTGTTACGACTGGCTGATTTCTCCTCTTCACTGTATAAGCTGTCAAACATACCTGAACTCTAAATCATGCAGGAAAATTAGTCGCCTTAAGTTTTTTTACAACATAGTCAATGGCAGTTTTAAAGTTACATTTGAAAAATACATGCAATACAAAACATCCAGGCAGACATGCAACAAGCATGAGAAAACCATTATAGTGCTACGATCTAAAAAAAACTCTTCGGTATTCCTTCATACTGCTCACTGTTCATGAATGGAATAATTTACCTCTAAGCATTATCAGTCAGCTCACAACTCTTTGCCTTGTCACGTCAGGTACAAATCATGTAATGCCATAGAATAATGTTGCATCTGTGTGTCTTGAGTGTCTTCATGTGTTGCTTTAGTTTTTCTTCAATATTAGTGGTATGCGCTTGTCACTTTGCGTTGTCATGCCACCTTAGCTCATTGATGTTACGTTATTCATTGTCTGTCTACATTGTAGAGTGCGCATGCTGTACCGTGCTCTCCCTTGCCTTGGACGCCATATTCGCGTATCCAGCTCATTGCTCGCCTTCCCGCGGCTGAAACAGGAAGTGCTTTAGCGAGGCCAATGACGAAAATAATCCCTGGAGAAGGGGAACAAGAGGTACAAAGGACAAACGCAAATCTCCAAACACAGCTAGGTGACTGGTGCGCAACCGAAAAAATCCGCCTGCTCCCGGACCAGGCGGATTTTTTCCGATTGAGAGGTGTGGAATGGAAATCTGGAGGGCATAAAGTTGCTTCCTTATTTTTTTTCAGTTTCATTTTGGTTTACGGGGGCACTTTGTGGAGCCTCCTTGTCGGATGATGAGCTCTCTTCCTTTGAATGAAGTTTCGAAGGGAAAAATGGTTTCCAGTACTTTCAGAGCAGCCGACATGCTCTTTGAGGCTACATGCACGAAGGAGCTTCTAATTTCGGAACAAACAAAGTAGCTGTAGCACCTGCCAGCAGGCGCGCCGTTTCACGGGTGGAAAGTTTCCAATGTGTAATTGCGGTTGTAGTCGTACGACTGTGACCTTGAAAGACGGGTGCTGGTGCCACGGTTTAAGATGCATATAAAAGCGTGGACACTGCGCGCATCACAGCTGCCAGATAAAGTCCTCGCCTCGGTTGCAAGCGGCACAATTGGACGACTCTTCGGACAACCGCCTAGTGCTAGCCCGTTGCTGGCTCAGTTTCTTGTGCTTCTCTACGGGAGACATGCTTGTTTTTAAAGTTGTTTTTTGATTGTGCTATATCCTGTAGAACCTGGCACTTATGCCACGTGTGTTGCAGACACAACTTCGTCATTGAGCCGAGTTTCGTGTCTCAACGGCAAAAAGAACAGCCTTACGAAGTTGTTGAGGCGGAAAGATCTCTGGCGCAGTGTTCGAGCCAGCGTCCATGAAGGTCAGAGCAGACGTGCCGAGCAGGAAGCGCGTGCACCGGGGTGCCATAAGAACGCGGCGCTTATCTATTTATTTTTTTAGTTGCATCGTTTAGATGGCTGAGATGCTGTTGTAAGACTTTATCGGGACGATTGTGTCGCAGCGTTTGCCGTGCTGTGCGTCCTCACCTAAAAAAGTATCTTTCGTCGTAGCCGGCATACACGTTCGGCAGTGACCCTCAAAAGGTTGGCCCCTCGGTTACTAACCACGGGTGTCATTCGTGCTGTCCACGAAGAATGAGGAAGTCCGACCATGATTTTGGCTCGTGTTTCGGTTTTGGAGCCTGTTTTGTGCCTTCTCCGGCAGATGGAAATGCTGCCACTATTGCTGCACCCACTTAAGTTAATTTTCTTGTTTGTTTTGGATTTTCATCAAGAGAGTTGCTCTATTGTCACAGAAAAAAATAACATTTGACGCCTGCACGCACGGGAAAAGGCAACATGGCCACCTGTCTTTGATGCAAAGGCCCGCCTTAAGTAACAAAACAATACAATGCAAAAAAAAAAAAATCTACAGGTTTTTTTTTTTTTTTCTGCTACCGCAAAAATAAACAGCGCATTGCCAAGTGCTCATTCTCTGCCAAAAGTTAGCGCCAGCGGTCAGAACCGGATGTCGAGGTTTATTAGCATATCTTTATCTCATCAAAACATTATAAGTGATTTTTTGAAATTTTCAATGGGAAAATGGCGGCCGAGCCCTCGAAAACTTGGACCTGAATGGTTACGAAAATACGGGCCCCATTTTTTTCATTAAAAGTTTCGGAAAGTCACTTATAACTTTTGGAAAAGATAATGGTTCATCTTTAAACTTTGGCAACTGGTTTGGACATACATTTAAGTAGAGCTTGAGCATTCAGGAATGCATAGTTCATTTTACAATTAAAAAAAATCTTTAAATGTTTTTTTTTTTTTCTTTTTTATCCTCTGTATGGCACCTTTCTTTTAATGTGAGTTTTTCACCATTTTCGATAACGAGTCGTGTCTCATCTCTCCGAGGACTCGCATACGTAATTCAAGGTCGGCAATTTGCGCGAAAATTGAAGGAAAGATTTATTCAAGATGTTCGTAGCTCTCCACCTCCTTGACTGTCTTCAGCTGTACCATGCAATGAAGAGCTTCTGAATGGACGCATCAGATGACCAAGGACTAATAGGGAGAGCAACAAACAACATTTGGAAGCCAAGTGAATGTTTCCTTTTATGTTTTGTGCAAGTTACCAATTTTAAATGAAATTTTTGTGGTGTGCAAAAGCAAAATTAAGCAAAATATTAGCATAGAGTGGTTTCAACTGTTAATGTGACCGATGTCGTCGAGATAACCATATGCATGTGGCCCTTTGTGTACGGTCGTCGCTCAATCTAATCAGCTTTGCCTTTTGTCTCTTTTCTTTTTCGTCCCATTTTGCCATTTTAGATTTTTAGGGGAAAAGACACGACGCTGCTTTACGCCCAGCTGAAGCTGTTTTTCAAACATGTGGTCGTCGCGAAGCCTCGCAGCAGCCGCAACTCCAGCATTGGTGCGTGTCGAGGACATTTTCACATTTTTGTTTCGTTTGATCGGTAAGTCAGCTGTCTTTTTGTCGCCGACGCAGGATGTACCAATCTTTTTTTATCACTTCTTTTTTTTTTTACATAAAATGTGTTTCAGAGTTTGTTTCTAAATCTGGAGTGCCACAAAACATTTTAACAAAAACTTTGATAACATGGCCAGTTGTCTTAGCAAAAGAGTGGGTCCCTTGGCGTGAATCAAACTGCTGACCTCTCACTGAGTAGCTCGACATCCCGTCCCCCGAACTGGCAAAGCGGCTTTGGTTAACATGGTTATTGTTTTACATATGTGCCGATGTTACCGCTAAAACTTCGTTGGTCCAATGGTGGGAGAAGCTCAAAACACTTAGCATAGTCTGTGTCACCCTACCTTTTAGTAGGACGAAGATATATTTTAGTTTCCGTCTAACATCTTAGTAATTACATATAAACATGATTCAATTCCGTTCTTGGCGTCGTCCTTATCCTGTTTGTTTGTTATTTTTTGGTTGGAGGCACAAGCCCTCCTGGTGAAATATTTATTTTCCGTTTTGCATTTGTCTATCCTTTTTGTTTTATTTGCAGCAATGTTGCCAGCCCAGTTAAGGGCATGTGGACTTGCAGTACAAAGAAACAAGTCCACAAATTTTGTTTCTGTAGCAAAGTGGATTAATAAAAACATTAAGGGGGGACACTGGCTAGAGGTTGAACTTCTGAGCTACTCAAGTGATTGGGATAAAATTTGCAGGGGAGATATAACTTCAGATGTAGGTGTACTGTGCAAACTTTCAGCTCTCTAGGACAATTTTTTGTACCTGCATAAGATGATGTGTCACTCTTTGTTAAGAAATCTATGATATGAAAATGAAGCTACTAAGCACCATTTTGACTGCTTGAATATAAAGTGGGGGGTATGGAACTTTGGGCTATCTAGTTTTAATAACTCAAATGTAAATATTTCAGGAAGAGTTATTACCTCAAATAATATGCATATCTGTCCTATGTTCATTTTTGAAGACAAAGTATTTTATCATTGAGGACTTTAATTTAAGACAAAATAAAGTAGATAGCTCGATTCCCCAGTAAATATCAGTTCAGAAACATGTTGGTTGTGGTATTAGAATACTTTCACCTTTAAACAAAAGATTCCTTTGTATGAAATTTGTAGCAAACAGTGGAACCGAGAAAAATGCATTCAAACATTGAACTCCTTTAATTTGTTACTGCCTCACAATGTGTCGAAAATATTTTATATCAACATAACTATTTGGCATATGGTTATCATATTTAGTGTGAGGGTGTATAATTAGTTTCTAAAACCAAAACCTTAAAATTGAAAAATTAATTTTATCAAAAAAGTTTGCAATTTAGGCCCATGACCCCCCTTTAAGAAAACTATCTGAAAGGATTCGGTAACTTATTAACAGAAACTATGCACCTGATGTAAAAAATTCTCTACATTTCAAAATCTTATGGATAGCACTTACAAACCTGTCAAATCACTTTTATATCTGGAGTAAAATAGATTTTTAATGCTTCCTCGACTTTGGACAAAGATTTGAGACAAATCATGGCATTGGGAAGCTACAAATACCATACTTATAGTGGGTATGATATTTCTGGGAAGATACTAAATGCTAAACATAGTCACTTTGTAGTATTTACTATAAATACTAAGTACTACTAATACTTACTGTATAGTACTCGTGTCTGTACCAATTGCGGTTACCACTCCCGAGTGATTAAGGCTCTCTGAACATACCAGTTCCTTGACAAAAGATAGTTTGAATTGTCAATCTTCAATGGGTTATTGTAAATCTGAAAAAAAGTAGAAGGGCTTCATTCATTGGCATGCCATTTTATTTGTTCAGGGACACCGTCTTTGCTAATCGGATTGGGCTGTGCTTGGAAGCTAAACTTGAATGTCTTGTTCTTCTACTTTCAGAGTCTTTCGTTGTCTGCCAAGTCTACAGCCCGCCAGAGGGCTACAAGCCATTCATGTACACCGGATCGCTAGACAGACGTAGGTATCCTTTATTTAAATTTGCGCCTATCATATTTCTTCTAAAAAATAATTTTCTAAGTTTTCTGGAGAAATAAAAAGGAAAATGAAAGAAACCACTTTGGATAGGCACGGGGAGATGGGAAGTTTTGCTGCAGGAAGTGGGGCATTTCTTTTTTGGGTCTTTTCTTTACGGTGCTGACTCAATCTAGATGTGCCCCAGAGATCCTAGAAAACCCGTAAGTACAACCATTTGCAGCCTTTTTCCACAATAAAATTACGTCCAAACACGGCAAGGTACCCGTTTTTCTGAAATATATCTTGGAAAAGGAGCGTAAAGGCACGCTCACACTCTTGCAACCTCTTAGAACTGGGCGCCTTGAAACCTGTTAAAACAAGAGGACACACTGGTGCCATCTATTGGGTAGCAGTGTAAACCTGGTGGTTTGGCATATTTTCTATATCTCTTGTGCATTATCCTTTCTTTCTTGGCTTGAAAAACTTTTGTCAACGTTGTAAACGAGGCTTTCTTATAGGTATTACGCACATTTGACCTCGGAAATCCCCTCAAAACCTTCGTTCTTGTGAAATGCAGTTTCAGGGTCACCGCATAGATGGCACCAGAATGCCTGTGTGTTCCCTCGTCCTAAGAAATTTTAAGAGGTTTCAACAGGCCTCTTCTCTCTTGGTCGTACTAGTTTGCAAGAGTGTGAACGGGCCTTAATGCAATGTTTCGTCGCATTTATAGTGGGGAAATCGCTACGCACGATTCTTGTTCTGGGTTTTTTTTAATGCTTAGGCCGTGTAGAACGAGTTTATGCCATAAAAAAACGACCTCAGAATCCACCTTAAATCTCCGAGGACTAGGGGATTTTTCTTTTAATTTCTATACTGCAAGGCATACTGCAAGGCTTTTAAACAAGATTGCCCCTCCAGGTTTGATAAAAGTAAAAAAACAAGCTTTTGTGTGAAAACATTTTTCATTCCCAAATATGAAATTTGTAATTTTAAGCAATAATTTAGCAGTAGCCAAAAAGAAAAAAAAAAAGGAACTTTAAATAAACCTACAACTTTTATTTTGTATAAAAAAAAAAAAAGAAACTTGCTTTCTTGCTATTTCTTTGTTTCAACTAAAAATTTTAATTAAACTTCAAAAAAAAATTATTTTTCTTAGGTTGCACGTTTTGAGGATATATCTGCGGAAAATGCATTGGAAGCAGGCAAACGTGGTGTATTAAGTCTCTGACATTAAAACAAATATAAAATAAACCTGAATAACGAAAATTTAGGTGCCCGTTTCAAGTTTTAGTTAATTTTCAGTAACAAAGAAAGCACCCCCCCCCCTCCTTCCAATTTTAATGGCACCCGTGCCATTAAAATTGGAAGGAGGGGGAGGGGGTGGTTTTCAACTTTATCTTGTCCCGTTTTCAATCATGGTGCAGCTGTCGTATCCCACGTGCCAGCAGCTATAGTTACATGTGGCAGTGGATGGAGGGAGAGAGCAGATAAATCACGACTACGGACAGCTTGTCAGCGTTGCAGCTGAATTGGGGAACGCTTGTTTTTCGCTGTTCGGCTCTGGAAATAGCCTGCAGAGACTGGCGGATGCTGCTTTTTCGTTGCTCGAGCACATGGATTCATTTTAAGAGTAATGACTGATGACCCGGAAAAAACAGTGCGGTTTCGCTACAACTTCCTTTGCTAGTAAAACGTGTAATGTCTCTGCTGGAGCTTGTTTTCTTTTGGGGAGGAGGGGGGGGATTGCACACACAATGGCAGTTGGGCTGCGAGCTTAATCGTTCTGTGTGGACCCATGCTCTGCAGATATCTAAGCTCTGGATATTACTCGTGAAACGTCACTTTTCATGAAACATGCGAGTGGTAAAGGTGGAATTCCGAAATGCTGACCCATGGCTCATTCTCGTGGGAGCTGATTCACCATTTGTCGTTGTCGTCGTCTACGTTTCTATTGGCCGTGGGTCGTATAGTTGCTTGGACAGGCACGCCGCACACGTGCGCTCATAAACCTGTGTAAAAAGATCCCACAATCCCTGTACATTATTTTAAAATAAAAATTGTATGTGACTGACTTTCATTCGAAGACAGTTCTAACCGTGATAATTGTAAAACTACTCATCAAAATTGAAAACTTTTATTTCTCATGGGATGCCCATCCTTATGCGGAGCGCTAGTTCGTCTGCTTCTTGCGCAGGGGTTGCGGTGACGTCGGAACACTGAGCTCTGATTGGCTCTGGGAAAAGGACAGTGGGTAGACCTCTGGGCAGCTAGCGTTGATGTCTATACCCACTATTCTTCCAATAGGAACCAATCGAAGCTCGGCGTTCTGACGTCACTGCAGCCCCTGCGCAAGGAGCAGACGAACTTGCGCTCCGCATTGGCTGATAGCCGACGAACCCCTCGCGGTCTCGGCGTTAATGTGATTAAGCCTACAGACCTTGTAAGTGACATTGCTTGTAGCAGGGGAGTGTTTGGAGCGTAACTGCGGTTCTGGCGACGGAATCGGAGACATCAAGAACATTGTCTCACGCCGCAATCGTACTTCATTACTGCACATTCTATTGCAGCAGGTGGCAACTCGCTCGTGCACGACTCGCTTCTCATTTCACGAAAACAACTTGTCGAGGTGCAACAAATTTTGCCGCTCAAGTTGGCGCCTGAAACACGCTTTTCACCGTATACGTGACACTTGCATGACATCTGCATGTCATGCATGTGACACACGCATAAAATCCTTCACTTTCGGGTGTTATATTTTAAAAAAATTGGGGGGATAAAATTAGGCTTTTGTTCTGACATTGTAATCGGGGAGAAATTGGGTTGTTTCAAGCAATTTTTCTGCAATTCAGGTTTTTTTAGTTTACGTTTTGAAGTAAATGTGTATAATTAATATTAGAGTATTAATTAAGTTACGTAATATCAATTTTTTTTTTGTAACCAAGTTTTTGAAGTGCACGAGACAGCATTCTAACATGATATAAAAACTCACTTAATCTTTTAATTCTTTTTTTTTTTAAATCCTAGTTAGTTACACAATCATCTGCATGCATGGCATCTCCGTCTCCATGCTAGACCTGTCCGGTTTTCGGCAATATCTGAATTGACAAAAAACATTCTCTTAACATCACGGCTTTTACAGTGCACAACAATGTTGCTGGAATCTGCTACTCTTGTCAAATCATAGTTGCTAATTCTTTTATTTCTGCACCATCTGAAATGGAAAGGGAAGAATGGCAAAGGATAATTCATAATGGAAAAAAAAAAAAACATTTTGGGGCTCGTCTTGTTTCCATGGAGTTCAGGGAAAAGTCAAGTTTAACCTGTATTTCCAGAAAACATGTTTGGGGTGCGAATATCGGGAAATATTGGGTATTACCCGAAAACAAAAGACCCCATGCGTACATGACCACATGTGACACGCAACATACAACACATGATTCTCACGTGACACTCACGTGACCGCACTTGACAGCCTTTCAGTTCTAGGGGAGAAAGGGGAAAAATTGGCAGTCGCTTGTTTGTGCTAGCTGTGTTGCGCAGTGTGTAACTTCGTATGCCCGTATTTGTAACTGCACACTGCAAAGAACTTGTTGTTTGGTGTCTCTTCAGTGAGGGACGCCGCGGAGGAACCCAACAGAACGCTCGTTCCGTTTGTCGTCTGCGGAGACCTCGCCGGATTCGACTCCGACCGGACGTACCCCCTTGAGGTGAGCTTTTCTTGTTCCCCTTGTTTGGACGACGTCATTTCTCGGTGTTCCGTGGCTGCTAAATTTGTTGGTCGTCGAGTTCAAACATTTTTTTCTTGTAACAGTACAAATTGGAATGTCATTTTTTTTTTATTAGGCACCTCGTAGATGTGGTGTAGATTGCCGAGAACTGCAATTCCGTTGGAAGGCGACGTGTGCCGAGGGATCGTTTGCGAGCGTTTGAGAATCGCTAGTCGAGTTAGATCAAAGCTGGAAGTGAAAATTCAATATATGTTTATGGGTAAGCTATGCCTAAGAATTGTGATTTGAAGTAGACAATGTCTGTCTTTATAAAATAAAAATAATAAAAGCTTTTGCATGCTTTTTTTGTTTGTTTTTTTACTGGGAAATAATGATCTCGGATATCTATGTTTCTGCTTCAATTTTGAGCAGAGTCTCAGCTTGCTGCAAAGCATAGTTTATTTGTCATTTGCGATGGGCCTGAATAATGCTGAATGTGAGGGTGTTCATCCTTGTTGCCTGATGTATTGTGGTCCCACGAAATGAAGTTTCCCCGCTAAATTTAGCGGTAAAACTGACGTCACATGACATCAACAGCAATTAATTTTCCCCGCTGAACTTAGCAAGGAATTGAATTGGTGTTGAGGTCACGTGACGTCAATTGTTCGTTAAATCTATCAAAGAAACTGAATTCGTTCATAGGTGACGTGACACGAAGTCATGTGACGTCTTTTTCCCCACTAAATTTAGCGGGGAAACTGTGGGAGGAGGGTATGAAGAAGAAGCGGAGGGTCCTCTGTACTCTCCCCTCCTCCCTGTATAAATAATATTATAATAAATAATTACTTTATAATATATATGTAATGTACGCAGGAGTACAAGGTCTATATTGTGCATATAGATATTCCTCAAATGCTTTAGCATGGTATACAGTGCAATCCACTTATAACGATACCACGTATAACGACCAGTTTCTAGAGTTTTTAGACTGGAAATAATCAGTTTCTAGCCCAGATACAACAATAACCGGTTCTAACGATTGAAATTTTGGGTTTTTTCATTATCGTTATAAGTGGGTTGCACTGTATTGCAAAATCAAAAGATCTCAAGAGCTGCGCTCTAATTTTGCATTACAGAGATTTGTAAACCTGTCAAATTTTAAATTAATTTTTTTTTTTATCTTCTTTTTTTTAGCTGGATGACAAAAAGGAGTATGAGTTCTGCGGTCCCGTCCAACCTCCGATCGACCCGCCCTACAAGACAGCCGGTGGCTTGAAGAAGAAGGGAGAACTCGCAAAACCAGGAAGGGAAACCGGCAGCTCTGAGCAAGAAGCAATCGCAGGCTTTTCGGGAATTAGCCTCCAGTGACCCAAAGGAGCCCAGAAGTCGTAGGAAATCATTGGCACCTTTGGAAAAGCGTTTGAGTGTGTGACTCAGTACTATTCCCACTTTGGAATCTTGCTGATGTTTTTTGTCTGTGTATGTTGACCCAAAGTACCTACAAACGAAAGAAGTGCATCCACTCTGACAAAAGAACTAGCCTGTGCACTGTTAGGTTTGAATCGGTTTTGCGTCTCTTCGGTGCTGGTTTGCAGCTGGTGCCCTCAAGGTCGTTTGATGTTCAAAGGAGGGTGGCACCTTCAAAAGGAGTTAGAATAGATGTGACATGCAATGCAAGCGTTGCATATGACGATGGTACAGATATATTGAGAAAAAAATAAAAATACTCTTTTTTACTGCTAGAACTTCTCATCTAACAATTCATTTTCGTTGTCAATAGCAAAGCTGTGCACTCTTTTGACAATTTTTTAAATCAGTTTCCACATTGAGAAAAAAGCAGAACAACCTGCCAGCTGTTTTTAAATAATGACACACCTCTTCTTTTTTTTTTTTTTCTAATGCATTGTGTTTGGGATTTGGTCTTTTGGGATAGATTTTGCTTGCAGTCCAGCAACACTGTCCAAGCTTGTTTATTCCTCACAGCCTTCACAACAAAATGCTGAGCTGGTCCATTACAGGTTTGGTCTCAAATTTTAATCCTGCTTTGCATGGTGCATTTGCTCACTGTAAATATCAGTGCTGTAAAAGCTAGTGCTTACTGTAAATATTCAAAGCATATTAAAATTAGTTTCATTTTAAAACTTCTAACCTGACAAGTGTGATGTAGTCTGTGGCAAATAAAACAATTTTTGCTAGACAGTGAAGGTATGCAACAGAAAAACCTAAATAATAACCTCTAGACAGCATCCCAACAGTGCTTTTCATAATCATTTCACTCTACAATGACAATGCATTCCCCAAGCTCAGACAATCTATACAACAAAAAGACACTTGTAGACCTCTAAAAATTGGTAATGCACCTTTTGAAAGTGATTAATCCTTCTCAAACTAGTCTCAGAACAGCTTACATTATATCACATGACACCCATTGAAAGATAAATAACATTAAGATAAGGCAAAGCTGCATTCTTCATGTCCTCCTTAGAGTATGAGTGAGCCAGCACAACGTACGTCACCCGCAGCTCTCCCTCGAGAGCCCATTGTTGTCTAATCTCTCCCTTTTATCAGGGACGGCCTTGAGTAACCCATAATCATACGGCGTTTGCTCTGATACAAAAAAGAAAGAGCGTCGTTGAAAATGCTGCAGCTGGCAGCGTGGGCGAAGCTTCCCGTGCGGCAGTTGATAGCAGGCGCCGCAAGCGTTCGGACTGCTGCTACACTTCGTCGTCTGCCCCATCCTACCCGTTCGAGTCGCACCATGGCTTCTTCCACCAATGCCGATGGGACATTGGTTGCCAAGGACGAGATGAAGTCTTTTATTGTGCGATGCATGGAGAAGGTCGGAACGGACAGTGTCCATGCGCAGACATTGGCCGACGTCTTGGTGGCCGGAGACTACAGGGGCCACTTTAGCCACGGGCTCAACAGGCTGCGTAAGATTTCACTTTTTCATTTTTATATTTTTGTCTCCTGAAATTGGTCTTTGATTCTTGTTCAGGTAGGGGCCTGGGATCTCAACGTTTTTTTGTTTTTAATCTTGAGAAACTCGTAGCTACCTTGAGCGACAGCTGAATGGCCCCTCCTTTTTCTTTTCTTGGTCCTCCTAGCAATAAAACGACTGTAATGGTATTACAAACACAGAGTTCCTAAGTTTTTCTACCTCAAGAAATCCTTGTCTGTCTTAACGACGGAAAAAGAGATTTTTCTGGCCTCTGCAGTAATTCAATAAAGCATTATGGAATCCCACACACCTTAAAAACTATGATGCACATCGGAGTATTTGACCCATGGCTATGCTTCAGTAGGTGACAGATCCGCCAAAAGAGTGATTAAACTGGAAGGACATTTTGCTTAAGTGCAAGGAAAGGGAAGGAAATTTGGGGACTTTTGGAACTTACAAGGGCACTTTGGGGAACCAGGTTTGAAAACCCATAAACTAGACACAAAGGTGGTAGTCTCTAGTACGTAGCCACACATCGGTGCAGAACTTGCTTATGCTTAAACTGGAAAATAAAACTCTTCATTTCGAGGCGGGGCCCATATCCAGAGAGTTTGGGTGCTCGTGGAACTCCCTAGGAGTCTTTTGGTAAGCCTGTGTTCCTTAAAACTCGGAGAACTCTGACAGGGCTTACAGTTTTCCTTCCTCCCTTCATATCCTCCTGTAACCGCATATCAAGTTCAGTGAATGTTGTAGCTACTTGTAAGTTTGTGTCTGTCTGTCCGTCTCGTTTGCGATTTCTCGATCAGCGTGCCGTTATGTTGGAACGTTTTGCCGCTTCATCGCCGTTGCCTGTTGAAACTGTGGAGGTCATGTGGGAGCCATACTCAAATTAGATAAGGCAGATTGATCTAATAGACACCAATGGAGAAATATGCAACGAAAAAAAGCTTCCTACAGTCGGTGAGGAGGTGAGAGCAGTGGAGAGGAGGTTCAGTTATCCTGCCTCCAGCACGAGCTTTCTGCCTTTGACAATGCTTCAGCGTCTTGTGCACCTCAAGCGCGCGCATGTTGGAGGCCGTGCGTTTGAAAGACAGACCCTGCTGTTCTCACTCTGGCTGTAACTATAGCAGACTTTAGTAAAGTGGCTGCATATGTCTCAAATGAAGCTATGTTTCTTCCAGAGTTTCTAGAAGGTCGGATATTTAATGCGTGTAGAGGTAATTGACGCATTAAAGTTAAAGTGCATTTAAAATTATTCAAACTGCAGTTCAGACAAAAAGTTTTGCTGCAACCCTGCGAGCGCCGACATTGCTCTGTCGTGAGTGCAGAAAGGCACAACCTTTCGTAAGAAACAGACGACGGGGTCAATGCCCAATCGCGAAGAGAAGAGCAGAGTCAAAGACTCGACCACACCCTCGCATTCTACAGCCGCCATAAACCCTGGCTTGAACTCTCTTTCGAAGTTCCTGGATTTCAATGCCGAGCGCAAGTTCGTCTGCTTCTTGCACAGAAGTTGCGATGACAGAACGCCCAGTTCTTATTGCCGATTGAAAAAAATGATGGGTAGCCTTCAAGTCGTTTAACATTGAGGTCTACCCACTATCCTTTCAGTCAAAGCCGATCAGAGCTCGGCATCGTTCTGACGTCACTGCAGAAGAAGCGAATGACTTGCTCTCCGCATTACTTTTTTGATAGCTTGCTTTTGGAGATTTGTTTTAACAACATTATCGTAATCGTAAATGCTCGACTGCAGAAATGTATGTCAACGACGTCGAGAAGGGAGTGTGTGAACCGACGGGAGAACCGAAGATCTTGAACGAGTTGGCAGGCACGGCTTTGGTCGATGGCAACAACGTGCTGGGACCGGTCGTGGGCAAGTTCTGCATGGAGCTGGCCATCAAGAAGGCCAAGGACGCGGGAGTTGCCTGGGTGGTTGCAAGAGGTAACTATCGCTACGGTGCTGCGGCAACACGTCTCTGACTTTCGTGTTTACGGCGTCCGAAATGCCTTCATTTTTCGCCTGCCGACGTCACAGAAGAGTCCTGCTGTCGCCAGCTGCAATCCTGGTGGCGTCGCAGCAGCGGTGGTAGACATGGCAGACGCTCATTCTGCTCCAGGTCGCTCTCCAGCGTTACAGTTCAGGGAAGCTTCGGCGGCCAGGAGTCGGGACGCTGTGACGACAGCGACACTCTCTTTCTGTCACTTTTTTTTTTCCAGTACTTCTAAGCCGAACCGCCCGGGTCACAATTTCTGACAGCATGACGCTCTGGCTTCGTAACTTCATTTGTTGCTGTTTGGGACTGCTTTCGGTGCATGGGCAGAATAGGTCTATCGCTTCATTCCCATAAAGTAGTACTGAGGGATGCCCCACCCCCAAAAGATAACCCATTATTATTTTTGGCACAATTCGCTGTTCTTTCAAAAACAACAAAAGATATGGCTTACTCCGGTAATTGTAGGGCCCTGGCCCATGGTGACCTTGGCAGAATTGGCATATCACTCGGCCACAGCAGGGGATCAGTGAACGTTGCAAACTGGAAAGTAGTTTTCTATGCTGCATTGCCCCTCTACGTGAAAACCCGTTTGGCAGGTCATAGAATATAAAGGTAGCATTCTTAAAGGCCGACGACCAGACTTGAGGTTCTGCAAGGCAGAAGATCTTCCTCACCATGGGGAAGAAGGAAACAGGCAATGGTGGACAGGGTGGAAGGGGGGAGAGGAGGAAGCGAGGGAAGAGTGGGAAAGAATGAACTGGTGGTCGGTTTTTTAAAAAGATTTTGATTTCACACCGAATGTTAGCCCACCACTCGATTTCACTCAATCCGCTCTTGCCTTTAGGTGGGTTATCTCGGGGTATTACGGTGATTAGTGTATTAGTATTTATTTCGGCTTGGGGCAGCCGCAATGCCACAGAAAGGCCAGCATTCCGATCGAGGAAGCTCGCAGCGTTGCGTAACAGTGGAGCAGGGGCTCTCAAACTCCTTAATTTCGAGGAACCCTTGTGTGTCTCGAATGGCAGCCAAAGGAACCCCCTCTGTCCCGGTGTTGACCTTACTGACCATGTAAACACTGACAGTAAGCTTTGGTCCTACTAAAGTCGGTTCTACCAAAATTTAAACCGACAAAACACTTTATTGTGGGGAGGGGATGGTTGGATCAAATCTGGGAGCTCTGGGAATATATGCGGCTGTGCTGGGGAACCCCTAGCTGGGTGTATAATAACGCAGTTTGAGAACCTATTTAGTAGATTGGAGGCGGGTCGAATAAAGACTGACGAGTAAATAGTGGTGACGAGGGTCGGAAACGGAGTTTGTGACTGAAGGTGAAAGGAGGATGTTCCAGATTCGTAAAATACACACTCGTGCACACTCTTTAATGTCGCACTTGCTTGGACACCCGCCGACAAGGTGACCCAACGTCATCGGGGTCGATGCGGGAATGCTCAAAGCGAGCTCAGGTTGCGCAAAAGATATCCGTTAATGTCAAACCAAGTTTCCAGTAGCTTGATAAATCTTGCTGCGTGTGAGAGCTAGGTTCTTTGGCGAGCAAGCTGGGTTATGTTGAGGAAATCTCATGGGCAACTTATGGTATGTTACAACATAACGAGAGGAAAAGAAGTCTCTCCCACGAAGCTCTTTGCTCACTGTGATTGGTGATTTCTTGCTTGGGCATTTTCTCTGCTAGAGTGGAGAGAGTGAAGGAATTAGTGGAAGGAGCTTGTCCTGTTGTTTTTAATCTAGTTGCAACACACTATAGGAAGTATTCACTAGCGGCCATAGCTGTGTGCGTAACTGCTGAGCGCGTGCTGATGGCGAGCTTCGACAGTTCTTGTGCAACACGCATTCCAGATCATCGAGATTGCCGAGCTCGTTCTGAGCATGCATTCTTAACTGCACCCTCGAGTATGGCGTCCAGTGAACCCATTCTATGCAGAGAGCAAGTCGTCTGCTTCTTGCACAGTAGTTGCGGTGACGTCAGAATGATGCCGAGCTCTGATTGGGTTTGATTGAAAGGATTGTGGGTAGAGCTTTATGTTAGATGCCTTCAGGTCTGCCCACTATTGTTTTCAATCAGCCAATAAGAGCTCGGCGTTCTGACGTCATTGCAACCGCTCTGCAAGAAGCAGACAAACTTGCGCTTCGCATTGTAGTATGTCGACGAACTTGTAACCAATTTTTTTGCTTTCCTGTCATCGTTTGTCCCCTAGGCTCCAACCACTATGGCATCGCCGGCTACTACAGCATGATGGCATCTGCACAGGGATTGATTGTAAGTGTTGAGTGGGGGAACATCTTTCTTTGTGGAACAGAAAGCAATTCACACTCTTCTCGGATTTGAGGTTCATTCGTTTCCTTTTAGTTACTAGCGAACTGAAACAGACAGCTGACTGCATGTACTGCCACTTCTTCGCAGGGGATGTCCTTCACCAATGCTTCACCCCTCGTGGCTCCGACAGGAGGCAAGAAGGTGAGATCGGCAGAACATTGTGACGTCATCTTGGGTGAGGCGTTCAGGTTATTGCTTCTACATTGTGTCCCGGCTTGCTCTTTGTCTAGAAATTCTTGGGAACCAATCCGATCAGCGTTGCTGCGCCAGGGAAGAATGGAGACGAATTCGTGCTCGACATGGCAACGTCTGCAGTGGCGCTCGGAAAGGTAAGAAAGTGTTGCGTTGTTAGCTTCTTCATTTTTGTAAATCTCATTCCACCCACAATATGTGCACGTCTGCAACATCTATGGCCGGCTGACAGGCTAAGACTATAGTAGAAGCTTTGCCTTTGTCATGTGGACCTTGTGTTCTGACAAGCTTTGGCTATGCATTTATCATGCCCTGGTACTCCAAAAGAAATGTATGAGTTAACGGTATACTGCAATGAAATTCTAGCGCCTATTTTATTGCCTAAATGTCAACTACGTTCTGGTCCCACCACGGAGACACCAATTTTTCGCTCAAAAAGACACCAAAACATTATTTAAAAGGGATAAACCGAATGTCGTTAGTCATTGTAAACTTAAAACCAGCACCACTCTGCGAAAGCACAGTGGCTGGCTGCGTGCAAGCGAGACCTGTTGAACCTGATTTTTCTTTCCTCCCGGCCTATTTACTGTAACACCTGGCAGGGGAAACTAAAAATGGCCAGGTTGTAAGGCGTTGACAACGCCAAGTGGCAGAGCTCACAAGCAGTACGCCAGCCCTCGAACAGCTTTGGCTGCGCTGGTCCAACTGACGTCATGTCTCCCATAATTGCATCGCGCTCTCCGATAGCTAATCTTCGAGCGCTCGCTGAAATCGGTTCTTTGGAACAAAAAATATAGTCATCAGCTCGAAATACATGCTTACAATTGTCTTTAGCATCATGTTTAACTTATTTCTGAACATGAGAGGCATATCTTAAGTTTCGATTCAGTATACCTTTAAATGGATTCATAAACTATTTCACGTGAACTATTGCAGTGCTGTTTTGTGAGATGGTATGACTATCCATCCAATGCATTTAGTAACAAAATTTTGTCCTCCATGCACCTACTCCAGTTAAAATGGAAATGTTTTAAAAAAATGGCATCTTCGTTACAGGTCGAACTCCAGCACCGCAAAGGCGAACCAATTCCAGAGGGCTGGGCAATCAACTCTGAAGGAAAGGTGTGTAAAAAAAAACTTACCCTCTCCACTTTTTTTTTTTTGTAAGAGCACTTATTAAACAATGTTTTTCTTAAGATTTGAGAACAAATAAAGTCCGCTCATGTTTTTTTGTTTGTATCGATACGGCCTTGGGACAGATTGTTTCTGACGCAACCTTAGCACTTTTTGAAGAGATAACTTCTCTTCAAAAGGCACAGCTAGATGAGAAATCCGAGTTTTGACGACGGTGATAATGACTGCCGTTTTGAGAACTTTAAAGACAGATGAATGAACAGAGTTAGGAATTCCTTTGTCTTCCGAGTTTCATGGCAAGACTTATCTCCCCACACCTCATTTTTTACACAATGGTCTTTGTGCGGGACAGACCACATTTTGGAGTGCCGCAGTGATTTCGGAAACTACTAAGAGTAATTTTTTTAATTTTATCTGTCCGAAATATTGAACCACTACCTCTTTACACGTTTTTAAACAGCCACGCTTCAAAAGATAGTAATAATTGAAAACGAGCGTGTTGGCGAATAGATATGAATACTTGAAAGGACAAAAAATCGAGGACAGAAACGGAAACAAGACTACATGAAAGAAGTCCTGTTTCCGTCTTCGTCCTCAATGTTTTATCCTTTCAAGTATTCATTTCAAAAGATAGTCTGACATTTGTAGAGTGAAAAAAACTTGATTGGGATGCCAGTCTGGCAACCATGAGTATGTCCGAGCAGTGTTTAGTTTCTAGGCTAGGCGGCGCAAGCTACCGCCCGTTGTAAAGGGTGCGCCATCGGCATCCATCCGTCCATTCGTGCTTTGACCATCGGACGATGTACACCAATCGGCAGCAAGATGGCAACACATCAAGGCCGTACTTGCAAACGCTGGTGCTTAAAATCGTCGTTGACAGTTGTCCGAAGCTCTGTCCGAAATCGCAAGAAACACTTCTCCGTCCTCCAGAAACTTTAAAATGGTGGCCGTGATAGATCACAACAATCTCTCCCGAGCTCCCTAAGCTGCATTTTCCAACCTTAACTTGCCAATCACGTCCACTCTTCACCAAGCAGTAAGATGGCGGTGCCCACAAGAAAACTGGGAACGGGGGTGCGAATACTCAAAGCGTAGCTTATTTACTATCTCCAATACGGTGCCTAGAACATGCCTAGAACGTGCCTAGAACGTGTCTTCAACTGGCACATTTACCGTCTCGTCCGTACATCAAAAGTGGTCCCGAAGTGGTGACCAATGACGTCGCAAAAACTGAAGTGTCACGCTGTCAGCTGTCGCAGTCCTGGCGGCTAGCGATCGTCGCGGCGTCTCAGGTCCTGGCTGCCGAAGATTGCGTGGACTTTCAGGCTGGAGAGCGATCTGCGGCAAAACAGGCGTCTTCCACATCCGCCATCACTGCTGTGACGCCACCAGGATTGCGGCAGAAGACAGCAGGATCATGACATCATGAGGCAAAAAACGAGGCACCACTTTTGAGGATGCGGTAAACAGACAAGTCGGAGACACGTTTTGGGTACCATGGTTCTAGCAAACATGCATGCGGAGCGCAAGATTGTCTGCTTCTTGCTCAGGCGTTGCAATGATGTCAGAACGCCAAGCTCTTATTGGCTGATTGAAAAAAATGGTTGGTGGACCTCAATGCTAGATCCTCAAGGAATCTAGCATTGAGGTCTACCCGATGTCCTTTCAGTCAAAGCCAATCGAAGCTCGGCGTCCCTCTGACATCACCGCAACTCCTGCTCAAAAAGCACACGACTTGCTCTCCGCATTGCCGAGCTTCCTTTACTTTTTTTCTTCAAAAAACGAAAGCAATGTCTTCATTGTCTCCAGGTGGTCACGAATACCAAGGAGGCCCTCGATGGCGGCGCCCTTTTGCCACTAGGAGGCACGGCCGAGACCAGTGAGTCTTCCTCCAGCTGTCTCTAGTTCCCCCGACTCAGCTTGGCTCGTCTTGACTCCCGGCTCTTTTTCCAAAGGTGGATACAAGGGCTACGGATTGGCCCTGATGGTGGACCTCTTCTGCGGCGTCCTGAGCGGGGCATGCTACGGAACCAACGTCCGATCCTGGCTCAACGTCACGGACCCCGCAAACCTGGTATAGTACAAAGATGGCGGCTCGCTCTTGGCGTCGCCTGCATTACTGCAAAGCATGCAGGGCACATACTAGAGGAACATTAGGTGACTCTAGCACATACCTGGGTTTGAGACAGTCCACACTTTGTGTAAGAAATCATACACCTGGAACAGCTGCTGGCTCATGCATATTGGCCACCTCATTGTCAGAGAGAGGTTTTGAAAATAAGGCCTCAACAAGAGGAATGTGGCCCTATAAATTATAATGTCAGTGTGTAACGATAGCAAAAAAGATTACTGTAGACTACTTTATTTTGTGGGTTCAATACTTCGCGAATTGTGGGTTAGGAAAATATTGTGCTGGCACGATATTTCGTGACTACGAGTGATGCGCTATGTATTTGTCATAATGAGGTAAAATATCCGCAGGATCTATTTTTCACGCACTCATGAAAATTAGATTCTCGCAAAAAATCGAGTACAGTATTTAGAACTACTATACACTCCGTGCGGGAACTATAGGGGGCGCTTTGAAAAACGCGCGCAGCGCCGCTAGCGGAGGAGCTGGCGTTCGACTGTGAGGCGCGTTCAGCAGCCTGCGGCGCCTTTTCGCATGCAAAACTGTGGCGGCGGAAGCGCGCGCGGACGAAACTTTTGCTTTTTGAGCCGATAAGTTGAGGGTGACGTTGCATGAGTGCTGGGACAGAAGGGCATTTAGCTGTTTTCCACTTATATATTGAGTTTGAGTCGTTATTAGGGGTAATTTCTCTAGTTCCGGCCGAAAAAGGAATTGGAGCAATTTTCCGAAAAACAAGACGGCCGCCACCATAATTGCTCTGAGTGGGAAATTTATTTCGCTCGTCGCTGTAAACCTATGACTGCTGGAACGATGATATTTGGAGGCGAGTGAGATGTTCACTAAGTTTGCGCACGAAGAGTGCCAAGTTGCTTTAAGACAGCAGGTGTGAAAGTTATGTTTCTAACGAATAAAGAAATAAAGTTGTACGGGATATCCAATATTGGACCCAAAATGTTGTGTTATAGCGGGCTGTGCAAAGTGCAGATTTGGGTAGACAGGTGCTTTGACTTGACAGTAACATGGCACATCACTTATTATACAAAAAGAAAAAGGTGGCATAGGGAAACCAGGTGAAAATTTGGTTTGGGCGGCGTAACTCAATGGGAACCGGTTTTGACCATGAAAAGGCTGTCAAGAGAATACCACTGCTTGTGGGAGGTGGAGACTTTACAGGTAGGAAGGGACTGGTGGACTGTACTTCCAATTGAAACAACTTTACGGAAGGTGGTTCCAAAGCCGAGAAAACAAAGCTGTCGGCCAACACACGGTTTGGCCGTCAAGGGCTTTTGCGGTCAGCTGTTGTGTAATAACCTGTTGTGCGAGGTGCTGCTTTTCGGCGCACAGGTACTTTGACATGGCCGTCACTGGCACAACACTTATTATAACAAAAAGAGTTGGCATAGCGAAACCAGGTGGAAATTTAGTTTGGGCGGCGTAACTAAATGGGAACCAGTTTTGACCGTCAAAGGCTGTCAAGATAATATCACTCATCGTGGGAGGTGCACACTTTACAGGTAAAAAGGGACCAGTGGACGATACTTCCAGTTCGAACAACTTTGCGATAAATGGCTCTAAAGCCGAGAAAAAAAATTGTTGTCTACAGAACTCAGGGTGTCAGCGTTTTCACATCCAAAAGGAGGCTGATCCAGAAAGAAAGCACACCACATAAACTTCCATACTCAAACGTCGATTCTCCAGTGATTCCAAGTTTCATTGTTGTTTTCTTTAGGTTTATATTTGTCACTTTTTTACCGTTCGAATCTTTCTTCATGAAGTACAGATTGCGCGCCATACTTGTCCGGAAATATCAATGACACGTACGATGGGGACGAAACTTCTTTGGAGGGCATTCCTCCAACGAAATTGGCACTTCATACCCGCGAGTGTGGGATGGCATTTCAGTTCGTCCCATCGGCACTTACACATGTAGGCGTTACTGGTACGAAAACAAACGCAGAGCGCAAAGCGGCAGTGTAGAATATGTCAGCCGTGATGACACAGTGGCAGACATAATCGGGAGACCAAATTTCTCGCGTCGTACGGCACGGCTCCATCGTTGTCGCTGTCCCAGAAAACATCGGCGAGGTGAAAAACTGTGAAACTTAGTCCCCACGAGATACGACGCATAACTATTGAAGCACTTAATGACACAGCATAGGCAGCACTTCATGCTGTGAACCCAGCGCAACCGCACCACTCCGACTTCAATGCGTACCAACGTACGCAACGTGGTTTCGGTTTCGTTTTCTCCGGGGTTCTCACTGCCTACCTTCGCTACCGGCCGCGCGGCGGCGCGCCAGTCGCGTTGCACGGAGTGGGTGGTAGCAACCGTTTTGAGTGCAAGTGCTTTTCAGCAGCAAAATTAGCACGTTAATCTTTCTGCCCTTACCTTCTACGTCATAGATGAACATGGTTGTACAAACTGGTTGTATGCAAAGAGCAAGTCGTCTGCTTCTTGCACAGGGGTTGCGGTGACGTCGGAACGACGCCGAATTCTGCTTGGCTTTGGCTGGAAGGATAGTGGGTAGACCTCAATGCTAGATGGCTTCAAGTCTAGCCAGTATTTTTTTTTTTTTTTCAATCGGCCAATAAGAGCTTTAGCGTTCTGGCATCATCGCAACCGCTGTGCCAGAAGAAGACGAACTTACTCCGCATAACCAGGAATCTGCTTTGTGTGCGGTAAGAGTGCTCCCAGCGTGCCCTTTGTCATCCTAGCCTGAACACCGCTGGGCCAACTCATATTGCTGCTCCCTGTACTTTATGCAAGAGCACACATTAAGAACTCATCCTTTTGCCATTGGCAGGGTCAGTGCTTCGTGGCCATCAACCCTGCTGCGTTTGCACCGGGCTTTGCCGACCGCATGCAAGGGCTCATGGATCAAGCGCGATCCCAAGTTCCCGTAAGCATAGCGACATTGTGCATCATGTTTCCGGGAATTAAACAGACTGTACTTGTAGGCCCGTTGGACTAGGAATCTTTTTGGTTGATCTAGAAGTGCGATGTAAGTAAAGTAAACACTAGAAAAGCCCCCACCCCAACCCAACAAAATTTGGGAAAATGTTCTTTTTTTTTTTGTGAGTTGAACAATATAAAAGAAAACATTAGTTGTGTCTACTACATACCACTTTTCATTTTGGTGTAGTTCTGGGAAGACAGTAATGTAATTTAATGAAATATCAGCCAACAGTTGCCAACACTGTTTTTAAGACATTAATGTATTTTCCGGGCTTTTGAGAAATGGTTTGTTCGCAGAAGTGGCGCGGGGGGCTGTTGCCTCTGGTGTTGCTGACCTTAGCGATGCCACTGGTTTGCCCAGGTGACTCTTCGGAAACATTTTTGTTGCCTGAATTGTGAACCACAGGCAGAAAGCAAGCCGTTCGCAAGTGTTACTGGGAAGTATTGCACTAGTTTCTTCATGCCATGCTCCCTGGAGGGCATCTACTGCCTTCTGAAAAGTGTCTGCAAGTCGTCTGGGTCGGGGAGGTCTGTGCTTGGCAATGCCATGCTCCGATTCATGCTACGTTGGACCGCACACGGCATAATGAGCCAGCAAAGCCAATTTAATGCTGCGCAAGTGTCGCGCGAGCTTTGGGAGGGGAGTAGCGACATGCGGGAAACATGGTCACGTGATTGGTACAGGCTGTTCCCCTCCCCCCCCCCAAAAATATAATTTGAAGGTTTTTTTTTTTACTGCAAAATAGACTATGCGTTGCCGAACGCCCGCATCTAGCGTCAGCGGTCCCAACCAGACATCCGAGTTTCAGAACTAACTGTTATCTTGTTCAAATGTTAGAAGTAATTTTCTGAAATTTCCAGTGGGAAAACGGCGGCCAACGGAGCTGTCGAATGCGTGGAGCTGAATGGCATTAGTTTCCAAAAATGGACCCCATTTTCCGATCGAAATAGTCAGCGAGCCAGAAAATCGCCATTGAGGCAATCGCCATTGAGGCGATGAGTTCTGAAACTTTGGCATCTGTTTCGTACCCCTAGCACTACATTAGGGCAGAGATTGAGCATTCCACAATGCATGCTTTATTTTGCGTTAAAAAAAAAAGAAGTTTTTTTGGGGGGGACACGTATGTTTGCAGCGGTGGATTGGCTGGGATGAACCGTAGCATCTGCTGCAGTCCATCCCACTGGTTTTCTAGATAACATTTTTAATACATAAATGTGCTCATACTTCTAAAATACCTACCAACCTGCCCTGTGGCTGCCAGGCAAACTGTCAGCCTTGTGGCTGGCGGTGTGAAAACAAATAAAATAAAATAAATAACGAGGCTAAAACGGAGTATCGGAGCTAGTCGCAGGAGTGGAATGGCTTTGCTTTGCAGACGGACCCCGAGTGTCCTGTTCTCGTTCCCGGCGACCCCGAACGCAAGCACATGAAGAAGTGCGATGACCAAGGCGGCATCCGCTACCACGTCAACCAGATGAAGTTTGCGGTGAGTGCTCGTTCTCTGAATTTCGGGGGACGGATGACACAACAAGGTGTTTTGTTGAAAAGCAGTTTTATAATCTCTCTTTCGCATCCTTTCAGGACGACCTTGCGGCAACACTTTCGGTCGCCCCCCTCAAGAGGAAATGATGGAGATGTAACAAACATTAAAAACATTCATCGCTTTCCAAGTTTGATGCCGTGCATGCAGTAACATCACCGCAATACGATTTTAGCTTGTACACGTTTGTGGTCTGTTCGAAACCAAACATTCACAATGTTGTGGAAGCTCTCGACTAAAGGATATTTACAGTCGACACTTATTTCTTCATGAAATGGCTACAAAAATAATAAAGTGCTTTCTAAAAAAAAAAATAGTAGTACATTTGTTGTTGAACCAAAATGCCCTCATATTTAACATTCCACACTTATTTGTTTGTGAAGTGGCAATAGATCTAGAGAAGTGCTTTCAAAAACAATAGTAGTAGTACATCTGTCATTGAACCAGATGCCCACATCTTGTTCAGTACACACAGTTACACGAAAAGGCTTTCAAAATTTTCTCTCGTTCCCGGATCCAACCCAAAGTCACACTTTCATCTTTTTTTTCTAAAATGGTGGCATGACAAAGTTTGCAACGATTGCACCAGTCGTTCAACAAAATCTGCCAAATCTCGGGGAAGCCAGCATGCTTCGAAAATGAGGTAAAACTTGACTTAAGTTTAAACCACATAGACTTGACAAAATTCAAAACAGAGCAGTGCAACATGAACAAAAAGCTGAGGTTGTACGACTTCAAGCTAACAAAATTCAAAAACAAAGATTGGCACCATGCAAATAAAAAGCCGTTGTACACCTTCAAGCACGAGCAATCACGACACCCCACCTCCCCCCCATAGAGATAACAGATCTGTAAGATTCCATGTTTTCTGGATTTTTCTTTTTTTTTTCAAGTTTGGGGCAATTCTTTTTTTATTTTACAATATACCGTAGAATATTGCGCATCCGCCCATTCCACATTAAGCGCCCATAACCGAATTTGTAAGATCTGAGGAAATATGCACAATACATTCATATGTAAATTTGATGACCGGACAAGCGCCCATCCCCCATTTTTTCGCGATTATCCCTAAATTTTGAGTGGGCGCTTGCCCGGTATTTTACGGTAATTCTTTCCAACAGATTTGGTGTTTTTTGTGTAAATTGGTTAAGACTTAAACCAATTTGCACAAAAACACCGAACCTGTGGGAAAGATTAAATCCCCCTCCCCTCCCCCTCCTCCCCCCCCCCCCCCCCAAAAAAAGAATTCGAGAGAAAAAAATAAATAAAAATAAAATAAACACCGAAAACACGGAACCCTGCAGATCCGTTACAAAACTGGACCACTCAAAATTAATCAAGTTCGCACGACAAAATGTTAACCACATGGTTTCTCACTATACAAGGAGTCAATACAGTGCAATCCACTTATAACAATGACGAGTAAACCCGAAAATGCAACTGATTATCGTCGTATCCGGACTAAATACCACACGCAAAAATGCACACTCCTCTAGAAATTGATCGCCATAAGCGGTAGATCTTAATATGTGATATTGTTATAAGTGGATTGCACTGTACAACGAATCTGTTACAGCAAACATTTCGAATGTCAAGTGTGCCTAGTACTTCAATCTACGCGGAACCGACAGGGACATCCTCAGATTGTAGTGCGACGTCACTGCTTTCCGTACCACGGCGGCCTGCGGTGGCGTAGCGGCAGCGGTCAGGGAACACGCACTCTTCCGTCTGCCTTTTGCACGCTTCCGGGAGTCAAACTCTCTTGTAGAGTCTCGCTTCGTCCGTCTGCCACCAGACGACGCCTGTGACACAGACGCCTCGCCAAAGGAAACGTCGGTCATTATCCCGATCTCGCTTGTCTGCGTCTTCTTCGTACCGCTGCAGTAACAACAGCTCTTCTCCAGGGAGCCACCGAGCCTCGGTGTCTGCGACACAATGTTGTCGTTGTCCATTGACAAGGAATCGATTAGTGCATCGACACTAAGCTCCGATTCTGACGACGGACTCTGGAAGCTGGCCGACGACGAGCCTGCTTCCATGGGCTGCGTCGCGTCTTGGGAGACGTTGGTGAGCCGGGTTGAAGACGACGGTGACCTAGATGAACGTCCGGCGTCCTCAGTTTTTTGTTTGCCTGTTGCCCTTGTAGATGAGTCTTTCCACAAGCCTTGGGTTATCGTTTCTGCGAACTTCGGGGTCGCTGCAACCGGCGACGGCTTCTGGCAGACGCTGGTTCTGGACCGCTTCTCCGTTGCTTTCGGGTGACAAGCTTTTACAGACACCGCCATGGTGAAATCGTTTTCAGAATCATTCTTGGCACCTTCCACGTTTGCTTCTGCCATCTTGCGCGTCGGCGTGCTGGATGGCAAGCTTTTCATCGCTTGCCGTTCAGTAGTCAGTGGTGGAGTATGCGTAGCGATATCATCAAACTGTGTCTTCAGCGCTGCAGGAAGCCCCTCAATTTTTATTTCGGGGGTAGTGGTGTCACATAGTGCATCGCTTGTTTCGTTAAGGCATGCCTGAGAACTTTGCTTCTGGCTGAGCGACAACTTGGAGGGCTTTCTCGATCCTTGAGAGGCGTCGGCTTCATCACCACTCCCCACCGTCAACTGCCTCGACTTTTCGACGCAACTCGATCCGAAATTTGGTGTCCGGGGCTTGAAGACGATCAGAGTCTTCTTCTTTCCGAGGCTGAAATCTGGATCAGAGTCTGAATCGTCAGAGGGGGTCATCATCCGCCTGGGCTTGCCTGACTTGCTCTCCGGCAAGCCCTCTTCCTCTTTCTCTGGAGTCCGAATTAACTTCCTTCTGGCCTTGATTGCGCTTTGCCGGGATGACCGGGGTCGAAGCCGTGGAGACTGACTCCTTTGTCGAGCTGGCGTCCTTAACACCGCCGATGCGCTCGTGTTTTTCGGCGGTCTGGCGTGTACGTCTTTGTCTCTGCTGTCGCGCTCAGCAAACGACGGTACCTGAGTCAGCCCGTCCAAACAGTTACTCTCTTGGGAGGGCAGCATGTCTTTGTCTGCAGGGGCACACTGTGGCAGTCCTTGTTTAGCCGCATCTGTTACCTGCGTCGTCTTAATCGATGCCGTGCTGAGCTCCTGGGTTTCGGGAATTACCACATCGGGACTTGAAGTGTCCGTCATCTTCTCGCTGCTCGTAGAACTGTGCTCGGATGAAGCATCTTTGCTCGATGAGGCACACTCCTGGCTATCTGGAACAACGATGTCGTCAACAGACTTCTCCGAGACTTTGTCCATGATGCTCCTCGCAGACGTGACTTTACCGTTGGGTGTGTACGAACACAATGCTTTTTGAGCATCTGAAGACTCCTTTTGAATTCCTGACTTCGATGCACCCGGTGTTGTCAAAGACTCCTTGTTAGACCTGGTCTTTCCAGAAAAAGCATCCGTGAAAGACAGCACTTTTCCACGGTCGTGCGGTTCGTCGCTTTCAGAGTCCGCAGTTTTGTTCTCGGACGAGTCTGAATCACTTGTGCTAACCTGCGAGAGCTGGATCGAACCGACGGGGGCGGCGCTACTGTCGGAATCGTCTGGTTCGGTTCGCTTGGAAGCCATTTCCCGATGTCGAGACTCCCCCAGAGACTTCGCCTGCTCAGTGGCGGAAGAAGCTTGGTTGCTGTGCTGCGACTCCTGGCTCGAAGAGAAACTTTCTGTTTCGTTGTTGACGCCGTCTGCACTGTCTTCGGAGCTCGTGTTAACAGAAATGACCTCGGCATTCCCATTGTCGTCATCTGAAGAGGAACTGTCGGACTTCTGTGGTTCAAAATCTTTTAAAGAAACGTCGAGAGTGGCACAAGATTTCGCAGGCGACTTTTCTTGGGGCAAACTTTCTGCATGTCGCAATGCTTGGGGAGATCTCTTTGTTGCCTGTCGACCTCTGGATGTGTGTGCCTCGTTCGGAGGAGAAACGGCTGTTGTCTCGCTGTCGTCTCTTGTTCCTTTTATGTCTTCTGACACTTCCTCATCTGACGAGGTGTCGCAAATCTTGTTGTACGCAGGCCTTGCCGGTGACTGCGTTTGGCGCAGGTCACGAAAGATGCGTCGCTTCCGCACGGTTGGCTCCTCGCATTCGTCCCCGGGCGTCGCCGGCTTTCTCATTTTCCGTCTCCGGTTTCCAGAGTTCTTTGCTGAAACTTGCCGGTCACCTTCCTCAGAGGAGGAAACTATGCAGGTCGTGCTACAGGAGGACATTGTCGCCGATCTTTTTCGCTCCTTTTGCATCGATAAGTCCTGAACCTCATCGTCGGACGTTGCCAACTCTGCTGGACGGCGCGCTTTCCTTCCAAACGAACCCGCCTGCTTTCCTGTGACTTCACCATCAACGGACGGGCTCGATTCTTCGAGGACGGTGCAAGATTTTGAAGTGCTTGGGACTTGACTGGAATGAAGTTTTGCCGGGGACATACGTTCCGACAAACTTCGAGCAGTTTTCCCTCTCCGCTCAAGTTGCTTCCCAGGTTCGTCGTCGGGCGTAACTGAGGGCGATTTTCTCGACCGAGAAAGGGCTGCTGGGCCTCGGTTGTTAAAGCTATTCAATGAGACTTCTTCGGGCTTGTCTTTTTCCAACGACGAAGCCACGCAGGAACCACCAAACGAAACCTTTGTCGGCGATCTTCTTTGTTGCGAGCCATGAGCAAACCGAGGTGTTGGTATTTGCATTTCGTCCGCTTCCTCTACAGTTGAAGAGCACTTTCGGGTTCTTCGCAATTTCTTCGAAGGTGAAACTACTTCTGCCTCATCTGCATTCGCAGACAAGTTGAAAGGCTTACGGATTTGCCCCGCCAACAAAGCAGCAGAACTTGTAGCCGAAGACGACTTCGATGGCAATCCCCCTTGGTGGTTTGAAGCATGCGTAGCTTGCTGTTGTGCCTTTTGCTCCTGAGGGTCACATCTTTCGGGCGAAGTAAAAACATGCTTCTTTTTAGCGCTTACGTCGTCTTGTTCCAGTGACGACGTCGAAACGGTGCGAGCTTTGCCAGGTGGCAACTCCGTCGGAGATTTTTTCTTTCGCCGCAACCTTGTAGCCGTCTCAGAGTTGTCTGATGACAGAGACGCCCTGCACGTCTTCTCCGGAGAGGTGACGGCTCTTTCGCCGTCAACAGAATGGCACGACGACAACCTCTCTCGCGGACGGCCCTCGCCCGACGCCGCAACTCTGTGGTTTCTACCGGAAGAAAGCTTTGTGGGTGACCTCCTTGGCTGCAGACTTTCGGCAGGCGAAGCCGCCGCATTCTCGGATTCGCTTTTCTCCGATTCAGACGCCATTTTGGAGTCCTGCAACTTCTTTGAAGGAGACAACTCGGACCTAGGCCGCTTTTTCCGTACGTGCTTTTTGTTGGCCCTTGCATCTTCCTCGTCGTCAAAAATGTACTCTGGGTTCAGGAAGGTCTGCAGGAAAGTCTCGGGATCTACAGCCGGGTTGCTGCTGTCCGAGATCAGCTCGGAATCTATCATGCAGTCGGTAGTGTCGGCGTTGCCGCCGGGGCCGACCCTCATCCGTGTCAGCGTCTTCTCGAGCACCAACTCGATCTCTTCGTTTGCATCGACCGTTGGTGGGACGTCCGTCCGCTCTGCAATTGCAAACATTTCGTCATTTTCGTCGATTTCAGCAACATCCTGGTTCTGCCGTCGAGTCGTTGACCCGGGGTCGACCAGGGCCTTGCACATTTCCAGCAGCTCCGCCCCCGTCACCGCACTCGTACAGAGATGGCCAATCAGTTTCTTTCTGGACTTCAGCTTCGAGGCCGGCACGCTGAGGTCGAACCCTTGGGCTGAGAACCACGCCGGGAAGTCGAACTGGAGCTCCACCGCGAGCACGACCCCCTTCAAAGACTCGGAGTCGTCGCCGTCGCCGCACCGCTTCATAACGACTACGACGGCTGCGAGAAACTTGAAAAACTGGGCTGGATCCGCGAAGGTCTTGGGGCACCACGCGACCAGCTTGTCGATGACCGCCGGCATCCGATCGGCGAGCGAGTCTGTGGCTATTGCCGCCGACTGCACGATCACGTCCCAGACTCGATGTTTGCACCGCGTAGTGTGGTAGCACAACTCGAGCGTCGGCGACCAGAGGCGGCCGCCTAGCTTGACGTCGAGCAGGTACGAGAGAAGAGCACTCATGTAGTCCCAATACGGAAAATCGCCCGCGGTCAGCAGCGACGGTGATCGGAGATGTAAGTGCGTCGTGACGTGTCGGAGGACGGACAGAAGTTCCCTTACCATCTCGCGGTGCTTGTCTGGGTCTCTGAGCACCCGCCTGACGTCGCGAGCGGCGTTCTCGAGAACCGAATCCAGCGCCGTGACGACTTGGGCACTGTCGTCGTTGCATGTGGACTCCGAGAGCAATCGGGATGCTTCTTCCGCCCAAGACTGGACCCTTCGCAGTCTTTTGGCGTCGATTTTATCCATGGTAATGTTTAACGTCGAGCCAGAGGTTGATTACGCTTCGTAAAGGACTGTTTTTAAACTAATCAACCGTCGCAACCGCGAGCACATGTGACAAGAAAGCGACCATTTCGTACATTTCGTACGGTGTGCCGTGCTTTCGATGGCGATTAGTTTTTGTGGTAATTCATGCCTTCCGTTTTATCCGTTTTATCTAAAATATAAAAGATTGTGAAATATTTATTACGATTTTAATATAACATTCCTTCAATAAGAATGTTAAAAAAAATCACTTTGGTTCGATTGCGAGTATTTGTAGCGTTATTATTTTTCTGAAAAGAGCGGGGATTTCAAGATGTCTGCATTTGTTGTTTGGGGGAATGGTGGAAGTTTTCCGAGGTTTAATGTTCGACAAAGACCATATCACATACATTGTTACCCTTATCGAAGATGCGGATGTGACGGCGTTTGCATGACATCTCCCCGCGGGTGCCGCGGGTTCAACCACAGTGGGTTCAACTTTCAGTAACCGATCGAATGAGGCAGACCGGTTACAGCTCAACGATCGTTCTCATGGACGATGGACTCAGACATCAGCACATATACCATACTTCGTTGTAGATTCGGAGCCCCGCAAGCAGTGGCGTAGGCAGAGGGGGGGGGGGGGGGAGTTTGGGGGGTCAAAACCCCTCCCGAAATGCCAAAGCTAGATGCCCCCCCCCCCCCCCCCCCCCCCCCCAAACCGGAGCCAGCTCGCTCCCCTGCTCACGCAGTCGGTTTTGCACGAGGCACGGAGCAACGGGGGCAGATTGTTTGTGGAGTAGAAAAAGCTCAATTTAATAAAATATGCGATATTGCTTAATTCTTGTTCATTCGATGGGATGCGGAACTCGAATATTTCGAAAAATTTGTGCGGTGAAATATGGCAATTTCAACGCAAAATATGACAAACTATGCTCACTGAAATACACAGTTCAATCAAACCAATGTGAGCATAATAAAACGAACATACGGTGATAATATAAAACAATGTCAGTGATGTGAGGAATAATAACTGAATTGTAAAAAAAAAAAAAAAAACAATCGCACTGTAAGCAACGGGTGGCGCTGCGCTCACACACACCTTTTGTGATCAGAATTACGTGCTTTCGACTAGAAATTACCGCGAATAAAAAGGTAACTGTGTCTGGTTTATATTAGAAAGCAATGTACAGGTTCTGTCACTATCATCTCATTTATGCCAAGCGCCTACACATTAAAATAAAGCCGCCTGCGTTCACGAAAAAAAAAAAAAAAATATCCCGGACGTCCTCCGCTTGAACATTTAAAAACGCTATACTTCGTTTCAGCTTAGGTCCAGACGTAGCCGATGCTATACGAGCGCGAGCTCCGGGCTTTCAGCGTCCCTGCCAAGCACGCGCACTCGTGCAGCGCAAGCACTGTTCAGGGCCACATGTTCACGCCTGTAGCATCGGCTGCGTCTGGAATTAAGCTGAAACGAAGGACAGCCCGAGCAGTCGCTCACTCGAAGTGGACGCTCTCAGGTATACAGGGTGTCACAAAAGAACATTTACAGGGTATTTTTCACCGCAAAAATACACTAGCCATTGCCGAACGCTCATTCTCCGCCCAAAGGTAGAGCTAGAGGTCACAACCAGATGCCAAAGTTTCATCCCGATCCGATAACTTAATCAAAAGTTATAAGTGATTTTCTAAAAATTTCAATGGGAAAATGGAGCCAATTTTTGCCCGTTTTCGGTTTCTGGTGCCATACAGCGCCATGTGTTCGAAAACTCCTTCGGCCGCCATTTTCCCACTGAAATTTTCAGAACATCGCTTATAACTTTTGATTAAGTTATCGGATCGGGCTGAAACTTTGTTAGAACTGTGAGTTGGGCTAGTTGGTTGTACATGCTTGAAGTGAGGCGCCAAAACAACGGGGACACAAGGAGAGATGCAGACAGGACGAGGTTGGTTGTGACCTCTAGCGCTACCTTTGGGCGGAGAATGAGCGTTCGGCCTAGTTTATTTTTGCGGTAAAAAAGAACGTGTAAATTTTCTTTTGTGACACCCTGTATGTTTTCAACCGTCGTAGTGAAGAGAACGAGCGCTCAGCTTCCGCCGTTGTTAAGGATACTGAACCAAAGAATTCAGTGCCCATAATAAGTGGCGCACGTTCTTTCCACGAGCCAGCAGCCGCCGGTGTGCGCGAGCACACGCAACAAAAATTACGTCACAGACCTCCATTCGCGGTGGAGATGACAGTGAAATGCATGGGCTTCGGACTAAAAGAGAATAACGACAGGCTTTTCATCTTTACAAGTGAAAGCTACGTGCTTGTTAGACCAATTCATCGCTTACCTTTTACACCAGACACCACTGTGTAGATGAAAAACTTGCCTTTATTCTCCTTCGGTCCGAAGCCCATACATTTCACTTTCATCTCAACCGCGAATGGAGGTCTGTGACGTCATTTTTGTTGCGTGTGCTCGCGCACACCGGCGGTCGCTGGCTCGTGGAAAGAACGTGCGCCACTTATTATGGACACTAAATTCCTTGGTTCAGTATCCCTTTAAGGGCAGAGCCACTAGGATCTTGAGGAGACGACGGACGTGACGGGCGCTAACACGTTTCTCCCTCTTCCATTGGACGCCTAAAATTTCCCTATTTTTGGCAAAGTTTCCCTGACTTTGCAAAAATCGTCGCTCACAGATGCGATAACGTCCGTCTTGCTTTCTGCTTTGTATGTCAAAGTGGCATCCAATGCAATTCCTTATTACTATTAGCTTAATCTCTTCGTTGCACGGAACATCATAAACTTGAAGAGACAAGCCTTCATATTCTCACTGCGCATAGGCGCAAGGGTAGTCAAGTTCCTTTCCACGTTCGGCGTGTAGTTTCTTTATGGTGTGTCATGTCATTTCTCCGAGTGACGGAACGACGAGTTCGGACTGATAACTTCTTACCCCGAGGATATGCTGCTGCTGCCTTTGGACCACGCTGCAAGATAAAACGGCCTAGCAAAGATAACACTCTCTTTCCTTCGGCATCTGGTTCTGTAGCACGAATTTGTTAAAACTTTAATAGACAATAGATTTTGGTTTTGTGATTATTCAGAATTACCTTCGCCCTAAATATGGGCCCGCGTGGTGTTTGTGCGTGTTCGGTTGCTCCAATTTTTCCGTATCGAAAAAAAAAAAATATATTTTTCCTGGTTAATTTTTTTTTAGTGAAAGTATAGCTATTCTTGTGTTTTGTCTGGCCTTCACGCGTTGGTATTGCAGTGCTACTTCGAAAAGCGGAGGGAGTTGTGTGTTGTGAGGAAGCTTTTAAAGTTGGTGGGCCGCAACTACGACGACAGTAGAACAGTGAGCCACTCAGCCCGTATTCCTGTAAATGAAGCCTGCTCCGTTTTGAAAAATGACAATGCAGCGTTACCCGTTTTATCTTAAAGGGGCACTGACACATCAAAATCATATTTTTTTTTATTATCCGAAACGATTGAAAACGATGCCGGGACATTACCCTCAAAAATTGAAATTTGGGAATTCAGTATTTGTGAAGTAAAAAAACAATTTCCAAATGCCGAATTCGAAGTTCCCGCGCGATCGGCGCCGGTGCCTTGACGTCAAAAATTGCGGAGACCTGAGAGTCGACTTTCTTTCACCACTCCCTGCTGTTGCCATGGCGACCCAAAGCGAGGAGGAAATGAGCGAGCGGCGGCGTTTCGGCGGACCGGTTTTGAGCGGTGTCGCCTGTTTTCCGTTGGAGGATACAAATCCAGGAGACGGCACCACAACGAACTCCCGATTTTTGGTATTTCAAAAAGAAGGGCCGTAGTGCGTTCGCAATTGCGTTAAAAAACATGTTTTAGGATTGCCGTAATTAAATGTTATAGAGATGTCGCTTTCAAAGCTTCTAAATTTCCTGATTTTTGACGTCACCGATCAAAAGAAGCGAGGAGGCGAGAGGCGGGAAAATCAAACGCCAAAAATAAAAAGGCGCGCGCGCGCGCGGGAAAACTTTTTTTCGCGATGCGTTTTTTTTTTGCGTGTCTATGACTGCAACTTGCATCGTTTTAGACAATAAAAATAAATACGACCTTTGGGGTGTCAGTGCCCCTTTAACAGCGCCTCCCCAATCTTTGCCTGAGCGTCCGTGTCGGCGAGCTCACCCTCCGTCATTGAAGGGGGACGGGGGGGGGGGGGGGGGGGATGCCGTTGAACCCCTCCCGAAATAAAATCCTGGCTACGCCACTGCCCGCAAGATATATTGGCTACGGACGTCGTAAGTTCATCATTGTGGTATTTTCGAGGTGGACGGTGTAAGCGAGGTGGGTAACGGTGGAAGCCAAGATGGCGGTCCTCGAACGCTACCAACGCTACAACTGCTGCTGCAGTCGTGGTCATGGCCGGGGTTGAGGCGCACTCAGGAGGGAGACCGGTAACAGCGGAGCCCGCGTCCTCGCGGATCCCTGCCGAGGGCAAGGAAGGTGACCGGTGACTTTCGACTGATTTAATCAAAACCTCAAGGTCAACTGTCTCACAGCGATCCCAGCACGAGCTGAGAACGCGCCACTGCGAGCGGCGCCGCAGGGTTGCCAGATAGCTGCTAGCTGATAGAGCCAAATGGCTAGTCAGTGCAGCCCAAAAGTAGCCAAAAGCCAAATATTTGCATAGCCCAAAAGTAGCCAAAATTTCGATATTGCGTTTACAAGCTGGAGGCGAAAGCTCTGCTTCTGTATACGTTCAGGTTAGAGATAGTATGCAAAATCAAAGTATTGCAATATCCACAAAACAGTTTTATTTCAAATAATAAAACAAAAAGCTCATGTCATGCTGTGAACAATATTATTAGGAAGCATTTGTCCCACTCGTGCTAGCTCCGTACAGTACCTTAGAGTTGAACCGAGCGAAACATTCGTCGGAAGGCTTAAAATCTTTGCAATACTTTTCCCCCCAACGAAAACAAAAAACAAAAAACAAAAAAAACTTTAAATGAAGGATGCTCTCCAGGGTTTCAGTGAGACGTCCTACAGTATAGACAGGGAAAGGGGACAATTTCGCGGATATCGAGCAAAAATTGGACATAGCCTAAAAATAGCCGCACGTAGCCACATAGCCAACCGCCAAATTTCGACGCCAAACCTACCACTCGGTAACCCTGCCTTCAGGAGGTGTGGATCCTTTTCCCCTTTCGCAGACGACCGACAAAAGGGAAAGGGGAAGATTCTGAGCCCTGCTGAAGATGCTTTCGCGTCTCCAGCCCGTTGCTCGCCCTCTCGCGGCGGAAACGGGAAGCGCTCTAGTGAGGGCATGGCTTCCGAGATCGTGATCTCGGAGGCCATGGTGAGGGTTCTCCGGCTCAGCGGGCACGGCAGAACTGCTCGCGATCATGGCTCATCATCAGTCACTGCTGAATGCAAACAACAGTTTTCACTGTCCCAATTTAGTGCTGGAGGCGGTATGGGATTGTTCCTTACTAGAGACTTTCAGTATTGCGTATCGAAACAAACGCAAGTGCTGTTCGTTTGTGTTAGAGTTGCGTGTTCCACGTTGCACGTGTGCATGCATCGTTGCCATGTGCCAATCCAAAACTGCAATAGGGAGTTTTAGTAGACCGTGTTTCCCCCTCCGCTACGAAGAAACCGCCAGTGCGCCTGCGCGCCCATGGCCTTGGCTGTAGAGCTCCTCCGATCTGGATTGACAAAACGGCGTCGCGTAAAATTAAAGAAAATAGATAATAAAAGTAAACTTGTAAATAAAAGTTAAAAAAAGCTTTTTTTTTTTTTTTTTTTTTTTTTTTTTTTGTATTTTGGGGCGTTTGGTTCGGAAGGATCGGCGGCGAATCTTGAAGTTTTGTTGATTGTCAATAATCGCGACTTTGATAGCAACCCCCAGGTAATAAAATTTTACGTGGATTTTTCAGACTATAGCTAAAGGATGGAACGGTGGAGCTTTTTCTGGATTTTTAACTGGTCACCTTCGACCAGGGGCATCACAAAGGGTGTGTGTGGGGGGGGGGGGGTCGCGGCGTGCCACCGTATTGGGTGCCGCTGGCCCTAGTGACGCCACTGCCTCTGACTACTTCGGACGTTATGTCGCGCGGAGGGGTAGTTTATAGCCGTATTTTAACGTCCGTATTCCGTAGAAAGTTAGACTTGGGTAAGCAGTTATTCTTGAAAATAGAGGAAGTTCTTAGGTAGTATTACTTTATCGGAACTGCTAAAATTGATAATCCTATTTCATACTCTCATAAAATAAGTCCAAAAAAAAAAAGCCAGTTGTCGGACAGCACAATCCTTTATTCTTTATGTAAAAAAAAACATAATGTTGCAGTGGCAAGGGATCAACATGAACTCAAGTTATTTATTGATCGTTCGACTTATTCAAAGCTAGAGGTTCTTCGAGCTTGCTCACACAAGCTCTTCTCGAGGCTTTAGTAACCGAATCCTTTATTATTATTGTTAGTTAGTAACCACACCCCTTGTTAATACTCCCGTCAGTAGTATTGTTCATTTAGTAACATTGTCATACAATAACGTTGCCCCTTGTTATTTGCTAACTTTATCATTACCAAACTTGACCCTCATTACGGTATATCGTTCCATAGTACTCTTATTTTTAGTTATGTCACCATGACCTTAATGCTGACCCTGAGCAACCGCGCCATATAAGCACTGTATCTTGGCCATATCCCGAAACATTCCGTATTTGTTATTAAAATGAAACTCCGCATAATACTGTTTGTATGGTGCGCCCCCTATACCGAGTCGCATGCTTAGTATTCCCTGGCTTTGGCCGAATAAACGTCGACGGGCTCGATCAACTCTCCGGTCCACAGTGGCCAGATCTTGCAGCGCTGCTTTTTCGTCGGACGCATCGGACTTCCGGGCTTGCAGTCGAACACTTTGCCGAAGAGGTCCTCGTTGCGAAGCATCGTGTTCAACCTGCGCGTGCGAAAACACGCGCACTGCCGACGTCACGTGCACTCAAAAGACAGACCGTGAGTTCACACTTAGCACGCGTGACAAAAGGGAGACCGCTCTTTTAAAACAGTCTAGTACGTTATCCATTAGTTTTAACCAAAACCCTACTTATTATTATTTTTTTTTTTTTACAAAAGTGCCTAAATTAAAAATCATATATTTGATTTTTTTTTTTTTTTTCTGAATGTTGTATGCCGGTGAACTCGAATATGACAAGCGCCCGTTCTGCTCTCCGTGCAGACAGGTTTGGATGCTCACCTGATTTTGTTGGGGGGCACCGAGGAGAAGTATGCCGTTCTCCGAAGGGCATCCGCCGGCAAGATTTCGCAGAACGACTGCAGAAACGTAATATATATATATAATATATATATATATATATATATATATATATATATATTTAAAAATATATATAGTGTTCTTTTTCTTTTTGAAGCTTTACAGATTTGTTTCAAAACGCCGTGAATGTTACAGCTATGCTGTGTGTACAGGTCAATTTTACGACCAGGGGCCGGGGACATTATCTAGGTGGTTAATCTTTGCGATAAGTCGGCTAATTAATTAAAATTCGGTAATTAACTTTTTAATTAGTAAAAAGGGACATATGGTTCCAATTATAAACTTGCTGAGCGTTATCAAAAACCACTAAGTCAACTCTTTCTAGAACGACCTGAAGCTCGTGGGAAACTCGGGGGCGCGCCAAAGTTACCACGCTTGAGGCAGGCGCAAAGCTAGAATGGCGGAATGCGAATGATAAGAGTATCATCGCGTTCCGCCACTTCGAGGAAAGGTGAATAACGACGAACGAGTAGAAAACGTGTCTTCAGCGCGCTGCCGCCAGTCTCCGCAACGCTCCAAAAACGCGATTTTTCGACATGCAAGATGGCCGTCCAATGGCCGCACTCACGTTGTGACGATAAGACGGGGATGTGCGAACCAGCCACTGGTGTTACCACCATACTGGTGTGACCTAAAGTTACGGGAGCCAGGGTTGCGCGTCTGTTTTCCACGTGCCGCCGCGCCGCTATTCACCGAGATCCGATCACGTGAGGAGCTGACTCAAATGCTGTGCAGGAAAGTAGACGTTGCGCGCGCCTCGGCGTACGTTCCTCTGCTTTTGAGTGTGCCGCGTGCCTCGAACGCGCGGCGCCGCTATTCGCCGAATTCAGTCACGTGAGGAGCAGACTCCGAATGCCGTGCAGGGAAGCCGGCGCCAAGGGGATCAACGCGCAACGCTGACTCCTGTAAGCGCGATCCAAACCAACGCGTTTTTGTGCGCGCATAGGCCGTGCGCTTCCCGGAAATCGCGTATTTCGTGACGTTTTTGCTGTTTCCGGGGCGCTTTCTGAGTCACAAGCGTGCGCGTTGGTTTAGGACGGTGCGGCTTCGGGCGAGCGAACAGCATCTGTGCCAGGCGGCGAAGAAACGCGGAGCCGGAACCAGTGCCTTCTACCGATTGGCGGGGAGAGGACCGCCCTACTACGTCACAGCGCGTTTTCGTGCGCGTTCGGTAAAAGTTAAAATCAGCCAACTTTCTTAAGCGCGCCCGGAAGGCGCACGAAATCAGCGCGACTTCACGAAGTGCGCAATTTCCGGGAGCCGCAGGGCTATACGCGCGCACAAAAACGCGTTGGTTTGGATTGCGCTGTAGGGAGTGTGACCTGTTAGCCGAGCTTTTGCCGTCTTACGGTGCTGCTGCAAGGTTTGTTTGAAATACGAGTGGAATGGTTGACTCGCCTCTCCGAAGGAATAGAAGAATATCCTGTCCTGGCTGAGTTCCGGAAAAGAAGGAAGCTTGAACCTGGGCTTCGGGTGGGCATCCTCGGCAGCTTTGAGGCGAAAGAACTGCACGGTGGTTTGAGGAGGAGGACAAAGGAACGGAGGCCAGATTCAAAAAGCGATCTTGCGAAAACCCTAAGAACCGCTCCCTCTAACAAAAAAAGAAAACAACATAAAAATTAAAAAAAAAAAAAAAACTATTTACGAAACGAAAGGTGAGTAGTTTTGCAGAGCTTACGATGTGCATAAGGTACAAATGTCTTAGCAGTAGAATTTCATGAATCAGACCCTCGCCACAGGCTCCAGTGCGTATACAGAGAGAAACTGAAGGAGAAGAGGAGATTAGATCTTGCGGGGACCTCAGAGTGACGAGCTTTGATTGGACGCCTTACTGGGTAGACGCAAAGGCTAGCTGACTTTGTCGTTACTCACTGCTCGAACGCATTCAAACGCCGAACGTCGGCGTCCGGCGTTCGGATGGTAGGGACACTGCGCGAGGAGCAGATGACGCTCTTGCTCGTTCTGATTGGAGGGAGGCTGTAGGTAGAGACGAAGGCAGCCAGCCTTTGCGTCGACCCACTAATCCGTCCAATCAGAGCTCGGCGCCCTGACGTCACCGCGCGCTCTCACTTCCTCCTCTCCCTTTGTTTCTCTCCGCATATACACCAACTCAACTCTCCTACGTCACGCCGCGGTGGTGGCGCGCCGGACGCACTTCCGGTCTGGGGCGGTGGGCAGAAGTCGCCGTGCCAGACATGCATTCCTGTGTTCCTTTGGAAGAAACGAGACAAAAAACCTGCCTTCTCGTCAAAATGCTGCGATGGGGGCTTTACCAAGAGAGTCTGGAAAGGTTTGAACATCAGTTTTCATGTCGTTTTGCACCCTCCGTTCGTCCGAGAACGTGGATAGTAGCCGTGAAAAGGCCAAACCAGACGCTGTCGAACTACGATTGCGTGTGCGGGCCACAATTTGTGGTCGCCAGTTGTATTTGCTTTGTTCCAACATGAACGAGAGAAAACCCCCAAGTCGTCCGGACCACCCACGGGTTCAGTGCGTCTTCAAATTCACATGGCCACCTGATCGTTCGAACTTTCGTCTGCTCTTTCAAAGTTGTCTGCTTTTTGTCGTCTGCTCGTTCAAACAAAAGCGGCCCGTTGACCAAACTTTGACCCGGTGATTGCAATAAGAAGTAATTGCAGGCCTCAAAAGGCTTAAGTAGGCTCGGTGTAAACAGTAGATACAAGATGTTAATTATTGGTACCGGTGGCCATCACCTACTTGTTACGCTTGGTCTGTTCCCGCTTCCGATTTTCAGTATCGACGTCGATCATCGCCGCTACCTTTTACACTTTTGCAGCACGAGCGACGTCGCGACCGAAAATAGCTACAAGAATCTCATCATGGTTTTGGCGTCCATTCTGCAGCGTTCATGCGAATGAATCGCCGCACGTCAAATTATTTACGGAAAGTTTAGCGGCGTAACGAGCCTTGATAATTTCGCTCAGGCGATTCAAGTGGTAAGACACTGCGATGAGGACGTAGAATCGACAACTCCAACGCGAAAAAGAGTATGCAGACTCACACAGACGCCGACAACGTGGCATTTGAATGGTTTGTTGACGCGGGACGCGGTGCTTCTTGCCCGCACTCCATTGCGCGTGCGTTCGAACTGTCGTCTGCTCTTCCAAACTTGGCTGCTTTTTGTCGTCAGCTCGTTCAAACGACAACGGCCCGTAAACCAAACGTTGACCATTGACCCGGTAATTGCGATAAGAACTAAGTGCAGGCCTCAAAACACTTTTGAAGGTTAGTTGGGGTAAGTCGGCTAAGTGTAAACAGATACAAGAAGTTGTTGATCATTGTTACCAGTGGCCATCACCGACTTGTAATGCCCGATTCTACTTGCGGTTTTCAGTACCGATGTCCACCATCTCAGCTACGGTCCACGCTTTTGCAGTCCGAGCAACGTCGCGACTGAAAATAGCGAGCAGAATCTCATCGTGGGAGTCAGGCTTTAGCGCCCATTCTGCGGCGTCCGCGTGAAATGAATCGCCGCACGTCACATTATTCACGCGAAGTTTTGCCTCGTTAGTTTTGCTGAAGCCGCTCAAGTAGTCAGACATTGTTAGCAGGACGTAGAATCAACAATTCCAGCGCAAAAAAGAGCACGGAGACTCCCACCGACGCCGACAACAACGCAATTCAATGGTTTGTTTATGGGCGACGGCGGGCTTCTTGCCCACTATCCACCGCGCATGCGCGGCGCCGGTGGTGTCCGCTAGGGGCGCTGCGGTTTGTTTGTAAACATGAGTTGGTGTATACAACCGCCAAGTTTTGATTCTGCCAAGGGCTTGACGGCCGGCGTTGCGCCGGCCGCTTCCGACCGTTTTCCAGCGCCGCCACTAATATTTCCAGTTCCTGCCTATGAAGAGAGACTGTTCGTGGCGTAGGTCATTGAACTCTAGTGTTTTTGACCTGCTTGCTTTGGTATTCAAAGTTTATTTCCCGGAGCACAGTGCTCATTGCATTTGTACATGCCGTAATGGCCTATCGTTTTACGGAGGTGGTCGGTCGAGTCGCCGCGGCGCCGGCGCCGCATTCTCGCGTTTGTCTCCTTGCGCCATCTGCCGGCAGTACACCGAAGTAGGCTATATTCCGTTTCACCTTATGTCTTGACACAGCAGACGCTACGAGCCATCCCAGCCGATCCCGGCCTGTGGAGGTAGGCTTTCCGCGCGTCGCTGTGTCACCTCTTCAAGGTCACGTGACACTCACATGGCCTTGGATTGGCTCCGATGGCTCGTAGCATCCTCTGAGCCCGGACGTGAAGTGGAACGGAGTATAGCACCGTCTGCCAATGCCGTTGTCCTGCGATCACCCAGGCTCGGCGGCGACGGTGGCGTTCTTCGTCTCAAGATAATCGAAATAACTTCACTTGTGACAATTTGTTCGTTCCGTTACGAACTTAAAAGCACGACACTGGGGCATTTAGCGTAGCTCGCACGGAATTGCTCTGTCTAGTATTGTTTCGGAGCGAAACACCGAGTTTTGGTATAGCCTTTCAACACAGTGTGTGTGTGTGTGTGTGTGTGTGTGTGTGTGCGCGCGCGCGCGTATGTGTGTGTGTGTGTGTGCAGTCGCAATTGCGGTACGGTTTTGACTAAATTTGACCACAGATAGTAACGTCAAGCGATACTACGTGAGTGTTGTGTTGGAGAGTTGCATCGAAAACAATATATCGCGAGAAAGCGGCGCTTTATCCCGAAACGGGTGGCGGCAGGGAACACGCACACCGCCTGCGGCCTGTGGGAACGCGTCGCTTATTGCTTTGCTCGTTTTACCCTGAAGGCCGGCATCAGGGCGAGAAGATCTGCCATGTTGTTGGGGAGCGTGCGGGTAGTATTAATCTGAAATCAAAAAGAAAAGAAAAAGAAAAAAAAAACGTAAAGTAAAATTTACATTTTAGGTTCTGCTGCGTGGACACTCTTTACTACTTGTGAAATGGCACAGAAAGTTATCCCCGAGTAAACTACAGTCTTGACCGTAGAAATTCGGACAAAGTAATTCAGACGTATGTCATATAAGTTTCTTTTGTGACATATTTTTGGGAGTTCATGCAGCGGAGCGATTCCGAAACATGTTTCTGTATCGGGGCCAACATCTCGAAATAAAATATGTTTTGTAATCGCTCCCAACTTGAAATGTGTGTTACGACGTAATTACATTACAGTTAATTATCTTCGTAGAATATTCGTTTTATGACGTGCCTGTCCTCTCCTGGCATTCAAAAAAAAAAAAAAAAAAATTAATTGTTTGGGAGTTTCCTTTTTTTTAAATAGCCAAAATTAAATTAAAAAAAAATATACAGACAAGCAATAACGATTCGAAAATGGCTACACCAAAACCGTCGCACGCTCTCCTTGCTGTAAACAAGTGCGTTCGCGCACGTTTACGAGCTGCAAGCAATACGTTGTGAGAACGAATATTAATGTAAAGTCACAGTCACGCTTAACTAGAGCACAAAAGTGAATTTTAACGTAAAATGCGACTGAAACGCAACAGCACTTGGGCATATTCATGCAAACTGAAGATACAGCATCGACGTGACGTTGCGCAACCAAACGTTCAAGCACGCGCAAACACAGAGAAAACGACCAAAAGGCACCAAGCTTAGGCCTTGAATTTGCTCCGGTTAAATGTGACGGTGAATGTGTAATATTTCCGCGTGCGTCGTTCGACAGTCAGCGCCAACCACCTCAGGCGTGATGTCAGATAAGTTAGGCCTAGGCAACGCTATTAGCTTAGCTCAGTTACGGAACTGCTCGTAGACGCTGCTTGCACGAGCAGTAATCCCCCTTCACTCACCATGACTCGCCTCCCGTCGTTTGACGCGCCGGACGGCTGCTAAGAAAACTGCTACTTCCGTCAACTATTGCGCCATAATTGTGACCTTCGCAAGGAAATATTTTCTGCTAGCCACAGAACACTATCACGCAGAAAGGGAGTGCTTGAATATGTTTTTATTCTAGATATACGTCAGGGATATATGTAAGAAAGAGAGAGATGGATATACACCAACTCATGTTTACAAACAAACCGGAGCGCCCGGAGCGCCCCTAGCGGACGCCACCGGCGCCGCGCATGCGCGATGGGGGTGTGGGCAGAAAGCTCGCCGTCGCCCATAAACAAACCATTGAAATGCGATGTTGTCGGCGCCGGTCTGAGTCCCCGCGCTCTTTTTCGCGTTGGAATTGTTGATTCTACGTCCTCCTAACGATGTCTGACTACTTGAGCAGCGTCAGCGAAATTAACGAGGCTCGTTACACCGCAAAACTTCGCGTGAATAATCTGATATGCGGCGATTCATTCCGCGTGGACGCCGCAGAACGTACGCTAAAGCCTGATTCACAAGATGAGATTTCGCTCGCAGTTTTCAGTAGCGGACTGCAAAATCTAGCGTGAACCATAGCTGAGATGGTCGACGTCGATACTGAAAATCGCAAGCAGAATCTAACCAAGTGAATCAGGCATAACAAGTCGGTGATGGCCAGTGGTAACAAGGATCAACATCTTCTTGTATCTACTGTTTACGCCGAGCCTGCTTACCAACCTTCAAACTTAAGTCTTTTGAGGCCTGCACTTAATTCTTATCACAAGTACCGGGCCCACGTTTGGTCTACGGGCCGGTGTCCTCTAAAAGAGCAGACGACAAGCAGAAACGTTTGAAAGAGCAGACGACAGTTCGAACGATCCGGCGACCGTTTGAACTTGAAGACGCACTGAACGTAGTTCCCAGGTGGTCCGTACAACTTGACGGTTTTCCGGCGTTCATTTTGGAACAAAACAAATAAATTTGATGGCCAGTAGTATCGGTGAATTTAACCCAAAATGCTTCCCGCCCAAGCAATCGTGGTCCGACGGCGTCTGGTTTTCCGTTTTCACTGGACATATCCGCGTTCTCGGACGAACCGAGCGCATGAAAACTGACCTTCAAACCTCTCTCGATACTCTTAGTACAGTCCCAGTCGCAGCATTTTGACAAGAAGGCAAATTTTTGTCTGGTTCCTTTCAAAACAACGCAGGAATACACGTCTCAAATGGGCACTTCTGCCCACAGCCCCGGACCGGAAGTGCGACCGACGCGCCACCACCGCGCCGTGACGTAACAGAGATGAGTTCGTGTATAGAGGATTAGAGAAAGGAGCATATAGGTGCTGTAGGAGAATAAAGTAAACAAAGTTCCCAGTGACCGATGGCCTGCAGGATCTTTTCTCGGATCACTAGTTTGTAATATGAGAGCTTTTTGTACACAGTAGCTTCTCCTCAATTTTAGTGTGTGACCAATTGCTGTAGTTGTCAGTGACCTCATATGAGTAAAAATATATGAAAGGTGTGTGTTAGTTTTTTGAAACTGGAACTCAGAGTCCCTTCTCGTATAGGGCACTGCTATGAGTAGGCTTTGGAAAAGGACCCTACTTGAGGGAGCTGTGTCTTCTTTCTCAGTAAAATGATGCAACATGTTTTTAATAGAAATGAATGCCAAAATAGATTATAACAGGGTACTCAAATTAAAAAAAAAATCGAAGGTGGTGTTTTTTTTTTTTATTATTTGCATCGGAATGTTTCGTCGTTTGATTTTTTTCCATGTTTGCCTAAATATATCCCAACTATCGCATCACTCAATAACCTTATTTATTTTTTAAATACTAGACACGTACAAGCAAAATACTACCTGCAAATTATATGATAATGATTATATTATTTCATGAGACACAGGCCTCCAAATTTTGCCATTTGTCGTTCGAGCAGGCATGTTTGGCAATGTTTAGAAAATTAAATCATATTTACACAAATATTATTACTTTATATTACAAGCAAACTGTACCCATAGTTTGTTTTTAAAAAGTATTAGAATTCTTCTAACATTATGCTTTTAGTTATTCACTTTCAAACGTGCCCCCTCCATCAGTGCGCCTTAATGCAACTGCCCACCTCTTCATGCTTTACGATTTTTTCTGTCCCCAAATTTTTTTTCTGGACAAAACTGAGTGTGGATTTGTTTATACCAGACACAAGACAATGCCTGAAATCTAAAAAAAAAAAAAATGCCTAAAATCTTATCTGAAATCGCCCAGCTATGGCCGCCAGTAAATTCTCCCTCTAGGACCAACGCGCGCTTCTGACGTCACTCGCCGGTGCGTCGGCCGACCCGGCGCATGCGCAGTGGACCTACAACACAGATTTGTTTTTGTAAACAGCGCGCGTCGATGTGTTTCAGAGTCGCTCACATGGACTTTGAATGCCTGGTCGCTGACGTTGTAGAGTGACCGAACGCAGGCCCTGACTTTGTCGTAGTTGGTGCGACCGGTTTCGGATAGCCAGCCGATTTCCTCTCTGTCTTGGCTGTAGCACGTACCTGAAAAATAAAGAAATACAAGTCAATAGATTTATTTTAGTTTAAAGAACATGGCTTATGTCACGATGTCCACACTTGCTCTTGTCGACTAATGTGCGTCCATTTTTTTTTTTACTGCGGAGCTACTCGTCACACCGCGAGTTGTGCGTGCCGCCGGTGACTTTATGGACCGTTTTGTGTAACATCCGTCATGTTAAAATATAACGTAGCTAAGTTGTGCGACAAAAAAAAAAATAAGGCAAATAGTTTGAGCTTATAACTACAAAAAGTATAATCAAGAAGAAAAAAAAAATACAAGTCATGGCACGAATTCCTTTACTTCTAGCACCTTCCAACCGGCAAATAAAGTCATTTGCTTTTTTGTTGCGAACTGAGCTACGTCGAAATTCAACATGGCGGCCAATACGAAAAAAAAAAAAAGAGGTAGACGGAGACGTTTTATTTACGCACCAGATCACAGCAGCCATTGCTGACCTTCTTTTGTCTTACCGGGATATCGCGCCACTGAAAGTGGTCGTTGGCGAGCCTCCACGAAGGCCAACGCTAGGGACAAGGTAGAATCTAAAATGACAATAACCCTGTCCTGCTATGATAATGAGGAAGTGAAGTAAACGGCATAAGTGGAAACAAAAACTGAAGGTCGGTTACGGCGTCTCCCATGCACCGCTGCTGCAAAGCGTCTATGCTCCTTCCCAAGAAAAAAAGAATAGAAAAAAAGAGCAAATTTTGACTACAGTAGCGCACTGCAGGAAGTAATTCTTAGGAGATGCGGTAGTCAGAGAGAAAATAATCGTTTCATTTTGTGTGTTTGTGTTTAAACCGTTTACGGGTTGATAGAATAACGAACAAGGGACATTAAATGCACATACATAAACTTTTTTTTTATTTCACCGTGTAAAAAAAATGAAATTTATTAATAAAAGTAATACAATTAGTTCCATTCATTGAATGTTTAATTCTCTAGCTGTGTTATAACTTTGTGTAAAAGTATAGTTTGAGGCGGCCCCCTTCAACCGGTAGGCGAGAGTGTCGGTGTTACAGTTTACAAATTTTGAATGATTGACTTCGAAGTGAGGACTTCATTGCCGCTCTTTTTCTAGCAAACGACTTGTTTTTAGACCCCCAGTGAAATAAAACAAACGGAGATGTAGACTTCCTCCATGATATATTCGCCGTAAGGGAGTTTTTTTTTTTTTTTTTTTTTTAATATACATATGCCGTTATGTTTCACAAATAACCATCGAAGAAAGGGGCCGTCATGGCCTAGTTTGGTCACAGAAACCTTCAATAAAGACTTGTCTCGAGCATGCCAAAATACAGCGTGTGAGCAACATTTCTGATGTTCGAACGTCAGCAACTGGCAAAGGCATCAGGGGTTTATGAAATAATGAAGGGTTCGATAGAGAAAATGAAACTCTTTTTGGTTGGCCTTGTGTTACTTGGCTGTTACGCATCGAGTCCCACTGGAGCGACAAACAGAAACAAGCGACATCGAGAAACATTGATGCACCGTGCACGTGCAGCATATACGCGCAGGCTTGCAATCTTCCGATGCTCGTGAAGTATAAACACGAGTGAATGCGAGCCCACCAAAATTTATCTTCGCGTGCACGCGCACAAGGCTTGTCGGTGCCGGTTGTCTCTGTTTGTTGCTCTGGTGGGACTCGGGCGTTAGAAAACAAATGGTTTTTGTTGTCGGCGCCTGGACCGGGAACTCGGCTCACGCACCTTTCGGGTCGATCACCTTGACGAGCGCCCGGCCGATCTCGTGTCCGATCTTGGCGAGGAACACGGGACTGAAATATGGGGACGCTGCTTAGGGAATATTAGGATTTTTTTTTTTCGGGAACCATGAAGAATACTTGGATGGTATTTAGGACACATAGGGAAATTTCGGGACACTATTTGAGAAATAAACAAAGGAATGGGTTATATTATATAGGTTATATTTCTAGTTCGATTTGTATGCAAGAATATATTGAAACTGGCTCCCGCTCACGTGTATATAACGATTGTAATGCAAATGTGAGTTTATGAATACAGTTTCGCCTCGCAGACTGCGCAAATATATGAGTTCAACTTATACAACTTGTACACTAGAAAATACGGTATTCAGTAAATGTGGGAAAATACTGGGCAGACACCTATAGCGCGTACTTCCTTTGCTTTCCTTTCTGCAATGCTCTCACTCGCTCACTCACGCTTCCCTAGGGCAAGGCTATGTTGGGGAATGGTGCACTCTAGGGTCATTTAGGTGGTCCACGCGAGTTCATTATTTACAAGTCGTCAGCCCAGCGCGCGCGCGTTCATTAACTCGGAATGCGAGCAAATCATACGCACGAACACTGGAAATGGAACCAACCAGGAGCCCCCATTTTTTTTTTTTTTTTTATAAATTCTATGCTTTATTTTGCACACATCGGCAGTGCTCACAAAGGCACGAGCGCGTGACTTGGGATAGTGTAAACAAGGCTTTCTGCTGAGATATGGCCCACGCGCATGTAGTGCTCAGCAAACTTATCTGGAACAGATGCCAAGCCTACTCTTAGCTTGTTCTACTTTATTTTTTTTTTCTATGTGTGCGTGCATAGCTGGCGCTAGCCCTAAGCTATTTCTCTTAGTGTCCCACTATGTCCGTAGCATACCTTCAGTTCACATAAATATGCGTAGTTCTCTCATATTTTATCTTTTTTCTGCATTCAATACTCCACAAGTATTCCGTATAAGTTTGACGAGGACTGTACCTTTGTCTGCACTGTGGACATTTACGATGTGTAGTATAGGCCAACTTTTAGGAAATGGAGTGTGAAACGCCAGCTAGTGTTCCTGCTTTACACAATAAGGCATGCGCAGTCACTTTATATATATAATTAAAAAAACACAACAGATTCCCGCGTTTGCGAGGTGTCCACTGCTTCTGTTGGCAAGCGTATACTTGTTCCTAAACAATGCGGTGTTGTGAGATTTTTTTTTTCTCTAACTTTTAAAGGAGCGATGCAACAATTTTTGTACTGTGCACAAATACCGCTTAAATCGGATCCCTAACGTTAATGACCTATGAAACACGCGTTCGTTTTTCACCCCACGCAATAGAAGTCCCAGAAAAAAATTTAAGAAAAACGAGCGGCGTTCACCCCCTCAACTCGCAGCCAGAACAAGCGGCCACGTGATCTGGAGCCGATTATATGCCGCCAGTGTTGATCATAGCCACGCGCAGGGGTTGGCAAAGCGCAGGACACGCGCTGAGTTCCAGACATTGTTATGGCTCGGCTGTTGTCGTCGTTGCAGCGATTGGACACGGGTCACAACCCGAATGCTTCTCGAGCTAGCAATTGTCACGAGCCAAAGTCGAGTGCCCACGCAATGCTCGGGTCCAATCTGTGAACCGCGTTCAAATATCGTCACTTGGGTGTACTGCGATCCCCGAGTTACGTCATCAAATTTTGCAAAGGAGAGATTGAATGAAAATGATCGCTTTTGTCCTTGAAATTACACCACAACAAAGGAGTTTCTTGGCCAATGGTGTTGCGTGTGAGTATCCTTGAGTCCGAGGTGTGCCAGTAAGCTAGTGTAGAGAGAAAAACATTCCAATTGAATATCGTTGCACAGCTCCTTTAAGTATTGTGAGTTTTTTTTTTTTTTGTTTTGTTGCCGTTGCTCTGCTGTTTTCTGCACTTTTTGAAGCATAGCCTCGAACCTCGCTTCAGAAACAGGGTATGTCCTTCAACCAGCATGCCCGTTTAGTTTGGTGGATTTAATTTCAGTTCCTGGATAATGAACGGAAGAAGGTATACGTATATACATCGCTTTCAAATCGAGTTGCGGCTTGCACCGATAATAACTGTTTCTTATTATTTGTTTCGTTAATTTCGACTTGGAAATTTCAATGCCGCCCACATGCCCTTGACCCGCCCGGAACAAAGGTGGTATACTGTCCGAAAAAAGGCGCAATCATGTGTAGGTTTGTCAAATCGGGATTCATTCTCACTTGCGTTCGCCTTCGTCGAAGTAGTCCCCGTGGAACACGGCGTGCGGGATATCTGCAATTCATTGCTCGAGTTTATTATTAGCGTGCTTCGAACGTGTCTCAGAACACCGTTTCTTTGAGTACCAGGATAGGCGATACCCGAATGAAGATTGGAAGTTGATTGAACGGACTCTTCAAAAGTGAAAAGTTCGTAGCTTTGAGATGTTAATCTAATCTGCGTCACGTATAGTTATCCCTTCCTTTATAAGCTTACAGGGTCTGTTCAGACAGAATACAATTAAAATACATTAACGCTTCGCAGCAAAACAAACAAACAAACGAATTATTTTATTCTGAGAAGCTAAATATTTTTAGGGCATATTTTGGAGAAAAAAAAAAAAAACAGACAAAAAAACTGCTATCTTTTTGCAGACTAATATTGTTTCTCTATTACTTAAGTCGCGTCCGAGATGATAAATTTTAAGCCGATTCTAATTAAAATCTAACTAAAATCTTCAATTGGCGCACCTATTTCGTCGGTTGCTTTACAACCTGAAGTGAACTGAATAAACGATCGGAAGTATCAGGCAATTTTTTTTTATATATCACAAAAGTATCATTTCTAAAAAAAAAAAAAAATTAAATTTGTGTTACGCGTTTAAACGTTAAAAAACGTCTATGAAAGCGGCTAAAATGTCGTTTCTTGCCACCCAATTTCCCATTGGAGTTCGATATTCAGCTTCTTTATATCGACAGCTGCTAAAACATTGCCTGACATTAAAACGTTCCAATAGTTTTTGCTTTGCTGTTGTTTTTAATAAACATTCATTTTATGCCTCGCACTAATTTGCGTATGTAATGCACAAGAAAAGTGTCCCAAATTTTAATATTTTGTTCAGAGTGTTCCTTCAAATTCACGCATCAAAAAAGCGTACGCCTGTGGGTACACACAACACAATACGCGAACACCTAGATGCCCACCACATGTCCCAACTCACCCGCCTCGCATCCTCACCCACAGGGCACTACATTCTTAACACTATAAACATACTCCCCCCCACCATCCCAATCCCCCCACCCCCCATTCCACCGCACATACGTAACCGCATTCGAGTCCACCCAATCCTTCGCCACATGCACCCAACTTTCCATAAAGCCCGGCGACTAGCACGAGCCAACATCCACGCCAAATTATACCCACCATCACCATGCACACTATATACTGATGCCACACCCTACCCTCACAAACCTGCACACTGTGTAACTGTTCTCGGCCAACATCCACCACCAAACGTCACGGCTGCCACCATCCTCACTACGAACACAACCACGGCGGAGGAAGCGGCCATTGCCCTTGCGCTCGCCCAGAGCCCCACCCCCCAATTCGTCCTATGTGATTCTCAGCAGGCCATCCACAATTTTATTCGCGGCAATATCTCCCCCATGGCCTTCCGAGTTCTCACCAACAACCCTCCATCCGACACCGTGACCCTGCTGTGGACACCAGCCCACACAGGCGCTAACGAGATGGAGCACGATCGTGCTCGCGAACTTATCGACCGAGCCGCCGTTTCAACTGCGCCTACACGCGATGCCCCTGCAGGCAAGCCTACCTCCCTCCTGCAGTACAGGGATATTACTCTACACTACCGCCTCCTCCGCCGCCAATACCCACCTCCGCACCCCCACCTCTCCCAAGAGGCAGCACACATGCTGCGCCTCTTACAAACACACACTTTCCCCCACCGAACACAACTAATACACACTCACCCACACCTCTTTACCACCCCCGCCTGTCCTGCCCTGCGGGGCACTCGACATCATTCCCTTTGCGAATGCCCCGCCAGAACCTCTTCCCTCCCCTCACCTCTGGGAGCAGATGTTGCGCGACCCGGAGGAGTCAGCCCAAGTCCTGACCACCTCCCGGGCCCTGGCGATCGCGGCGGCCCTCTGGGCCTCCACCACCCCCAATACCTGATCCCGGAAGAATAATAAAGTTTCCTCCTTCTCCTCCTATGGTTTTTTTTTTTTTTTTTTTCACCGGTGACCATAGTTGTGTGCGCGACTGCTGAGCGCGTGCTGATGGCGAGCTTCCACAGTTAGTTTGCAACGTGCATTCCACACCACCAAGATTGCCGGTCTTGACAGCCTATTAATATGACCTCGTTCTGAGCATGCGCTCTAAGCAGCGCCCTCAAATATGACGCCCAGTGAATACCCCTTATACTCCGTTCACCTTTAAGCAGAGACTGCAGTCAAATCTACAAGCGCGAGATAGCCTGCGCTCCTGGCTTTGAGACATGCCATTCTAGGGCGAGCGCTCGTTCTGTGGAGGAACGCCTCAAAGCAGCGACCTCGATCGAGAGCTCGTTTGTTTGTAACATTGGCTGCAGTATGCCAAAAAAAATGTTTTTTTCTTTTTTATGCTAGGCGTTAAAATGGTGTATCAGGACATCACACACACAAAAAAAGTTTCACTTTAGAGTTGCGCAGTTTTTTTTTTTTTTTAATAGAATTACAAAGCTTAGTTCAAAGCAACGTTATTAGATTACCTCAGTTGTGGAACTCCCGCGGAGGGGGGTACCCCCCTTCACTCGCCCCAATCCGCCAAGCGTCGATCGAAGCGCCATCTATATTTTTGTTTCATAACTATGCCTTCCCAAGAGCCCAGCTGACTGAAGCACCAAATGGCGATCACAACGCCGCCATTTCTCCTGCAGCGGTCACTCAAGGAACTGCACGTAAAATCTACTTTGGCTTTAATCGGCCATTTCGGAGCCGAAACAGATACAGTGGAGGGATGCCACCCCCGTGTCCCCAGCGGGCGCGTCGCGAATTCGACCCCGAAGTTAAGATGAGCCTAGGTCGGGACACGCTACCTGAAATCTCCGATGAGGCATGGTTGTATGAAAACAATATTAATTGTATTGCCAACCTTGCAAACTAAAGATTTTAGAAAAAATCACGCGCCTCCCTTTTGTACGAAACTCCAGTAAAAGTTACTGCAAAAGGAGTTTTTTTTTAGTTGGTTTTTACGGTTTTTACGTTTCTATAATGTTGAAACGTACGTATCCTGATTCAGTTACCAAAGCAGCCGTCTGGCGGTGCGTCGAGCGACGCTTGGAGAGTCGTGGTGAGTGAGTGAGGGGGGGGGGGGGGGGGGGGTACTGCTCGTGTATGCGGCGCCTATGAGCAGTCCCGTAACTGAGCTAATCTAATAACGTTGGTTCAAAGTGCCCACCAGTGCCTTGTGACGTAACAGTGTACCGCAAGATGTCGGGGTGGTCAGAAGGGAGGCATCACCGGAAGTCATGTGAGTTGTATCACTCCTCGTGCTTACCGCGACCGCGTGTAATATCTTTTTTTTTTTTATATTTTTTGGTATTCTCTGCATCTCCACGAGCAATCCAAGCAGACAAGGTTTCTTTCACTTGCTTTTCATCACCTTATGTTGCTGTAAACGTAGAAGAAGAGGAGTCAGTGAACCTAGTAAACAAAATCTACTACATTAAATAAAGTTTTTCTCTTCTATGTCTTAGACAAAACACCTACTTAATGCTCGACTTTTACTTGTACTTGGTAAACTCACCAGTTCGTATTCTCTAGGCGGCAGGCGTCTTCAGCCTGGAGAGTATCCGATGATTTGACGGCCTCGGTGTCTGAACCTTCGGCAATGCGATCGGGCGTGTCGTATGCGAGCAATCCTAATTTCTGCGAGTGTTCTAAAATATTTTTTTTTTTCAAAACTCAATAGCTTGTTTTGTGTCCAGTATGGTTCTGTACCATCGGACTGACGGCATGCACTCGTACACCGGCTTGTACTCGCCACGCTTTCATCACTGACCTCCATCACGTCGATCCACTGACTCTTCGTCCTCAACTTTTGCAGCACGGAAACTAACCACAGGTGCAGCGATAAAGAGCTAGTGGAACTGAAACTTCGTTTTCTACGATGGCTCTTGAAGAAGACAAAAAAAAAAAAAAAGTCTTAGGCACGGTTGTGGAGAGCACGAGGAGTGAAACTCACGTGACTTCCGGCGAACCCACTTTTATACTTCATTTCAGCTTAGGTCCAAGCGCGGCCTATGTTATGAGCCGAAGGGCCCATCATATAGCGCAAAAAGCGCAGCGTCATGGCGTGCTCTCTGCGCTTTACAGAACTAGCTGGCAGAGGAGCACGCACAGAGAAGCGGCGAATACCGGCTCGTTCTATCAACTGCAGAAAGCACGCCATGGTACGTCGTGCCTCTTTCGCGGTTTGATTGGCCCTTCGGCTCATAACATCGGCCGCGCTCGGACCTAAGCTGAAACGAAGTATAGTGGCGTAGGTCGAAACCTCCCTTCTGACCGCCCCGACACCTTGCGGTACATTGTTACGTCGCAGGGCACTGGAGGGCACTTTGAATTTTTTGGCGTGTCAGAGGCCCATTAAAAAGAAACTGAAGCGGTTCTGTGTTTGAGGAAAAACCCTTAAATCGTCTTCATTTGGCCTCCAGGATCACGAATGTCGAGACTATTTTTCAATTGGGTGCACGGAGGCTGCAGAAATTAATTTTCAATGTACAGCCGAAGCCTTTCCCTCCGGGGGTGTGACGCCATATTAGGAGTTTTCGGAATCTCCGCTGTCGCGCATCTATTAGCGGCGAGATGTTTTGGTGGCGCCCTCCTATGGTTCCCCCTTGTGACGTCATTAACTTGCAAATAACAAGTTCGATGGTGTTTGTAAATAGCATGGTGGAAGCTTGAAATCATTGAGCTCTTAAAGGAACACGGCCAACACCGTCAAAATTAAAGTTCTTTCATTCCTCTTATTTCCGTCGATGATAAATCCCCTTTCCTATGTCATAGTCAGCGTTCGGCCAATCGTGGAAGGCCGACCACAGCGACGCTTTCGGTTGCGCACGGGGCTAATACAGCGCCTGTCAAAGCTATGCACCCGCACTATCGCTATTTTCAAAAATAAGTCAGAAAGAGACGTCACTACTGGTGTTAGTGCGGAAAAAATATACTTGACAAGCTTGCAATTGCACGCGCTGCCCACACGAGCGACACGCGCTCGGCGCCCCAGAGGTCCTAGTATGACGTCACGACTGGTCAGACGTTTTCTTGCGTTTAGTTGCATATTCGGGGAAAAACAAACGCGCCATTCAAATTCAAAGGTTAAAAATAGGCTAAAATTCCCCTCTATTTTGTTTTTAGATAAGTGTTTTAGTTTTTCTGTAAGGGTGAACAGAGTATAGCAAGAACTGGATGCTTGCATTCAGCTACAGGAAAGCATAAAGAAATCAATGTGTTCCTGCGTGCAAAAGTCTTATACAATAAGTTCCCGCAAACTACAATCCCGATACACGAGGCTTGAAATGCCTAAGCGCTGAGAGAATGCCGGGTTTTGGGCAAAGCACTCACACAGCAGGTTCTCCTGATGAATGTATCGACACTCGGTGAGAAGCGTTTGATCGGGTACCCTGTATCAACAAAAACAACAACAACGAAACATATCAACAATTTTCATCCGGTCCTTTCGTCTTAGCTCGCGTACACACCCAGTCAAGTATTATTTGATGTCATTTTGCCCGTATAGGTAATCCCTACGCCTTCCTTAGAGGGGCGTGTCAAACGAAGTTTGAATTTGAGCACTATGGGCACCGACAGAATGAGGACGTCCGGGCGTCTCTTTCCGATGCCCGAACTTCCGTCGTGCTTTGACCGCGCGTGCGCGCTCGAGCACAACAAGACTCTGAATTCCGAAGCATTGTCGAAGGCGGGCAATAGGTGACCGGCGTTTGAGCCGGAAGTTTCGTCACCCGAAGCGAGGCACCACCTGACTTCACGCTTCCGGTTCGTCCGTTGCCGGTCGCGGTTCGTCCAGCTGCATCAAGAGCCCTTCTAGGCGTGGTGGCCGTGCTGTATTCGCGGTGAAAATGGCTTACAGCTCCGCGGTACGTTGTTCTAACGCAAGCCATAGAGGGCATAAGATGTTCCACTTCCCGTATAACAAAGCATGGAAGCAACGATGGGCCGTCGCTGTTAAGCGAGTGAAAGAGCGAGATGACCTGTGACAGAAAAACGTCGGTGACCGTTTATGCGCGGCCAATATTGTTACAGGCCAGTACAACGTGTTCTCTCTTTCTTCGGGTAGGGCCAGCGGGAAATAACGATCTCTAACAGTCTTTTGGCACCCACCAAAAGCGTCTCGATTATTCCACGAAGGGGTGAGCACTGCTCGTCGTACAAGGCATCTGCGAGAACGCCGGATGCGATCTCGCAGGCAATCAGTTCATGGCACGACGTTTCGTCAACATACAGTGCCATTGCCAGGCCGTTTAATCGTTACATCGACAGCTCGGATTAACATTCTCTGTGATGAGCCGCCGCAGACTGTTCCCGGGAAGCGGCGTGGATGGGTGGCTTGCTATAATATAAATAAACAAAAGGACAGGTCAGCTTTTTGTAATATAAAGAAACAAAAGCAAATGGGCAGCACCTTCATATTGACGGATAATAAAGCAGTAGTACGACCCTGCGTAGCTCATATCAAAATCGGTGCTCGTTTGTGTATGCTTTCTTACTCGACATCATTAAAAAAAAAAAAACGTGCGGGAAGGGGGAAGCGGGGGGGGGGGGGGGGGGGGGGGGGGGGCGGAGGGTTATTGTAGTTCACGGGGGACAACTTAGTTGAAGTACCAAAAACGCGTGAGTACTAAAAAGCAAGGATTGTCACGTAGTCAGATGTCGTCGAAACTAACTTTCGCACGGAAGTGGCGTTTTAGTCGCGCGAGAAAACATAATATCTGAGATTGAAACGCCGTCTGACCGACTTCTTTCCCCGTCTTAAACTTTTGATTGCCTGAAGATTTTCTTACCCAGGCTTAGGTGTTCTAACAAAATGAGAAAAGTATGCCAGACCTCTGGCCAGGCATTTCAGCTGGCCGTGTCTTACGGCTTACATTCGCGCCTATTTCAGTCGGTGATGTGATCTAACGTAACCATAAAAAATAAACAGAACCCAAATAAAAAAAAACGCTGGCTCAAAAAAAAAAAACAAAAAAACATCCAACCTGAGTTTTCATGCGAAGATCCGGAAAGCGCGGTGCGAGTGCAGCTTGCCGCGGGCTGCACTCGCTCTGCGCTTTCGTGGCCGTTCTCGATGCTTCTGCGTACCGATTAGTACTTAACATATCCGTAGAAGTAACTTGAGACGTTCAGAAGTGTGTAAGTCACCCAGCAGCAAAGGAAGGTGGCCCGGATTGATCGGGTTTCAACACCCGCACACGCTTCCGTAGCCGTCATGGGGCTGCGTCGGCTGCTAGCTACGAACCGGAAGTGAATATTACCCAGAGTTCTTTGAGGCTGCTGCCAAACGCCGGTCACCTATTCTAGCTGGAGAAGGGGACAACTGAAGGACCTATAGCTGTCCTCCTCGTCCTGTCCGTGACTACAGTTAGATTTTCAGCGTGTTTAAAGTATATCAACTGGCATACATTGCCACCACGTTTAATTCGTTCTTTTTTTTTAAAAATTACAATGGCATTTTTTTTATAACGTAGAATATATACCTTTGAATACATCATTCCTTATGATCTAATGGACATCGATACTGATGATTACCCCCCTTCCTCAAAAGTACTATACTCGTTTTCACCTAGAGAAAAAAGAAAGTTTTTTTATCGCGTTGTTCTTAAGACCTTTACGTCTTGATAAGTTAACATAATCTAAAACACACCTACTACACATATCCAAATTCTCTACATTGGGAAATTTTTATATTGCTCCACAAAAAAAAAAAACTTTTTTTTTTTTTTTTTTACTACGGTTTTTGAGGGGGAAACGAGTATATAGACGCGCTGCTCCACTTTCAGTCTTTATTTATATTAGGCTTGTTATGGTAAACCGGTTCATGAAAGCTTTCTTTTTTTTTTTTTCGTCTGGTTACCGGTAAGAATTACATCGACAGCGCCGTTAACTGCGTCGTGGTTCGACTCACGGGAACATGGGGTCTCCATCGAGGAAATTTGAGTAGTTGAATCTGGCGGCTGTATCGCAGCGAACCATGTCGACGGCGGTTGCCAGAACATTCGACGTCCTGGTCGGCTGCATCGGCGAGCGAGGCGGCAATATGGGTTACAGAGCGATACAGTCACGATATAGTTACAGGTTTCCATCGTTTACCCAGGAATATAAATAAATGAATGGGCGGAAAGTTTACTTCTGATGAATTGACGAAATAAAAAAAGTATTTACCTACATTTTTACGGATAATCTTCTTTTTAATTTTGATTAAATCATAAATTAGAATATGGGATGGTTTGAGACAGTATTGCCATCTTGAATCGCGGAAGTTCTGGTATCAGAAAAACATCGGTTTTTCCTTACGTACAAAACTTGAAAGTATAAAACAGAGAGGACGAGGACGGGAACAGGACATCTTTTATGGTGTGTTTTTCTTACGGTGTGTTAAAAGAGGGTGAAAGTTAATCCAGGCGTAAAACTATCCAAAAGTTTAGTAAAAAATACAAAAAAAATTGAAGTTGAAGGGAATAGAAACAGAAAATTGAAGGTCTCAGGCTCAGCTATCCTCTTTTCGTATAATTTCCCTTTCACTTTAAAATGTTCTTAATTTACTCCAGCCTCGGGTGGATTGAGGACAGAATGTACAGGTGCGTACCTTATTCAAAATGTCCGTATTTTAGTTTTCTAAGAATAATAATTTTTGGATGATTTATGCGTGTATGAAGGTGCGCGATCTCTTACTTTTGTCGTGTAGATTCGTTCAAGCTCGGATTCCATCTCGTAAGTGGGGAAAAAGAGAACCTTCTTCATGGTCAGCATCTAGAAACATGATTTGATAAGATTTAAGAACCAGAATAAAAAATCGGGCACAATTACCGCGTACTTCAATAGGAATTCATTTGAAAAAAGCGGGTTGGCACTTTACCCATTACACTACAATGTTGTCATCTTGGAGGCTGACTGCACTCATCACGAACGCATATGTTAAAGTGGATTTAAACAGCTCCAATAATTGGCAGCTGCCCGCGTTTCACACTAAGTTTTGCATCAGCTGATTCAAATTGGGTTTCAGCACGCAATAACAGCCTGCACAGATTATGTAGAGACGACGTAGGCTGCGCGCGTTCTATACAGCGTGTAAGACACGCACACTGCGCACACAGTGTGTGTGCATCGTGTGCACTCGCCTTCGTTACGGCTGTGATCCGGTCACGGGTAGGGAGGATCCTGTTGTTGCCAATGTAGACTGCGATAGACTCTATGATACTTGATATGGTCTTTCCGTGCTCAGCGTAACGACCCTGAAAAAAAAAAAGAAAAAAAAGAAGCAAAGTCTCAATGTTAATATTTGTTTTTCCCGCGTTTTAGATGTTGACTGATCTTGAGTTCCGCCTTGTGACGTCACAGAACTGCCACGCTGTCGCCTGCCACGATCCTGGCGGCGTTACAGCAGCGCTGGCGTATGTGGCAGACGCCTGTTTTGCTGCAAGTCGCTCTCCAGTTGGACAGCCTACGTAAGCTTCGGCATCCAGCTAGGAGTCGGGACGCAGAGCCGTATATTGGGAGAGTTTGGTCAATGGGAGGAGCGGGCAGAGCCGGGGCGTGCACCAGAAGCAGAAGGAGGGCTTGACATGCTCTTTTGGCCAACCAGAAGCCGGAAAGAATCCCCTAGCGGCGGTAGCGGGAAACAGTTTTAATAAGCGCGTAAGAGTGAAATGTACTAACTCTTCGTGGTTGAAAATTTGCTGCACGATGATATTTCGATTATGGTCGTGCAAAAAGATGTAAGAGTCCAATGTGCCGCTCGAACTCTGTTTTGCTCGGACGGTGTGTGACCACTCGGGCGGCAGATTCCTGGCCCTCGGCGCCTGGCGTACGGATTATGCCGATCAAGTAGTCACGCTCTTCTAACATGAGTTTGGATGACCGTGATTGAAATATCACGTGCACCATATTTTCAGTCACCAAGAGTTACTCCGACGCAGTTATTAATTTCGTTTCTTGCGACCACCGCCGCATTTCCGACTTCTGGTGGGCCATATTCGAATTCGTGAAGACGCCCTGGAACACACCCAGCCCGCTTTCGGCCAATGGCGCCCCCTCCTCCTTTGCCTCCTATACTTAACAATGAATGGCCAAACTCTCTTTGTAAACGGCTCTGGCTCTTTTGGGACGCCGCGACGACAGCGCCACTCAGCGTCTGCTCGTGCTTTTTTGCCGGAACTTCTGCCAGCAACCGCCAGGATCGCGACATCTGACAGTATGACACTCCGGCTTCTGTGACGTCATTTGTTGGCCATTCGGGACAAAGAGTTATTCTAATGTACGCTGGAGGCTCAACTGGCGCTAGTGTGCTGCGGCAAATTGAAACAGACAGCAACCAGTTGGAAATTGACTTCCGGTAATGCATTTATAAGGGAAAAAGCGAGTGCATTTTCTCCCTGCGCTCGATTATAAGAGCAAATATCACGAATATTTCTTACGTACTAGGTAGATTGGTACATTTCTCAGTCACGCAGACGAAATAATTTGTCATTTACGGCGTTTTTATTTGAAATTCGTGGCATGAAAAACGCTGCCAAAACCGCTTCGTACGCGTATTTATGTGCACTGTCGCACACTGTTAGCGCGAACACGGCGTCAGCGGTTTCCAGCACAGGGGATATTCGTGCCAAACGATCGAAGGACATCTAGAAAACTAAGAGAGACGGCAAGAACTACGCAGTAACACTGGATAAGTAACACCTTGTGCATGCATATATCATCTAAATAAATTGAAAGTTACATAATATAGTGAAATTTGCAATAAATAAGTACTGCTTTTTCCTTTCTGCTCATGAATATGTGCGAAGGTGCTTGTTCTGCGTTGAAAACATCACCCGCAGGCACGAAATCTTCGAGAAATAGGGAGAAGCCAGAGAACTGGTGTCCGATAAGAGCTGCCCGACATAGGAAAAAATAAAAAGATAAAAAGACACATATTTCATAGCCCACGTACTTTATTCTTTACGTTTACGTTTTTAAGCGCTTGTTAAGATGCAGGACGGTGTCATTTTTATATAATGACAGGAAGGGCATATTAGCAATATATTAGCACCACCGGAATGCTGGCGAACCTTGAACACACTCTACATTCCTTTCGATTGTTATTTGTCTTAGTATGGTCCCTCGTTTTTACACACCTGCTGTGGAACAGGGGCTCGGGCCTGAAATATAGCCAAGTTAAACATCGTTCACTGATGAAGAAAAATGCGATAACTAAAGCAATTGCACTTTTGCAATGTCATCAAAGGTACATACTTTTCCATACGGCCCAAATACCAAAAGTGTTCCACGTTGTTTTCCGACAAGGACAAAATCTACGCGCGTTTTCCCATAGAAATGCACAGGAGCACCGCAAAGGTAGACGGGTTGTTGTCTGCTTCAATTTGCCTCCCAGAAGTCGCATAGACACTAGCGCCAGTTGAACCTCTAGCGTAGATTATAATAACTGTATGTTTGTGGCCACTTTCGATGCACGGGCGGAATTGGACGCCACACAACACCAATCAGAGACGCTTTCTAGGCATCGTATAAATGTAACGTCAGCATTGACTTTCGGCCACTTGACCATGCCACTGTGTCACGTGACATGTTGGCGTCACGTGACCGGACGTCACGTGAATGTCTGGATTGTAGGCCTCAAAAGGGGGAATACTGTACAGCAGGCGGACAGCAAAACGCACTTGGGGAGAGAGCCAATCGCTGCAATCTATACGAAGAGAGCTCGCGGCCCATGACGAAGCAGAAAATATAAATAAACCTTAAAAAAAAAAGTCCGTGTGCCGTTGTGGCACCGAGCGTCCTCACGTTTTTTCAGTGTCGCAACGCAGACTGTTTCCTTAGGCCTAAACGTAATATTCGCAGGATTGGCTCTTCACCCAAGTGCTTTGGCGAGTATAAATGTATACACGCTCCTCCGGGTATCTTATACGAGTGTAGAAGTAAACGTGAATATGGCGTCGAATCGTGTCCGATATGGACGTCGTCGGAAAGATTTCAAACGAAACCGTCGCGGTCGTCTCACCGGCGCGTCGGAGAAGATCGGATTGTCGACGTGAGACCGGTGGTAGAACCAGGCCAGGGCCTTGGGCATCAGGCCGTCCACGAGCCGCAGGCATCGGAGCCAGCGCGGCGGTTCGTTCCGGAAGTACATCGAGTAGCGCCACGACACTTCGGACAACTGGAACCCAAGATGGCGGCACTTCCGGTATAGATTCCTTTGGTTTATAGCCGCCGGCATGCGTAGAGACGCGAGGACTGGCATTTATTTGTTTATTTAAAATATCCGCAGGGCCATCGGCATTACAGAGGGGAAAGGGGGGGTGGGAGTAAGTATACACTTTGATAATCAGTAGGAACAGTGTGGATTATTGACAGCAGTTTCTTGAATAGATAATCAATGACGATTGTGGCAATCGGTGAGGGAAGATGGTTCTAGTCCAGGGATGTTTTCGGGATAAACGACTCTTGAAATGTATTAGTGTCAGATTTTGCAATGCCCACCTTATATTATAAATATGATCCATGCATGACGAAAAAAAACAAACAAAAACGGATGATGCAGCAGTCGATTGTGAAGTATGGTATATCTTATGAAAGAGACACAAGCGAGCCATTTTTCGGCCTAAAGCAAGGTTAGGCAATGATAGGATGGCTTTCATGGAGGTTACGCTGGCGGTTCGATGATAGTTGTCAAGACTAAAACGGGCAGAGCGATTTTATTATTATGGAATGTGTGGCATTATTATTTCAATGCCTCTAGCTTCATGAGCTAGAGGCTTTAACATAATGTTAGATTGACATAATTTTAGGCAAACACTGACACACACAAAAAAATTTTTTTTTTTTTTTTGCCATGCTACTTATAATGCTACCCAATCAATGTTTTGACACAGCGTCACGCATATTTTTAGTCAAATCAAAAACGCAACTGCTCGAAACCGAAACTGGACTGGGGAGGAAGAAGAAATATAGAAGAGGAAAGAATTGAGGCAAGTCACGTGGCTTTGATACTTTTTTTCCTCTCAATCAACGCATTTACAGCTTTTTAGAATCCATAAAAAATGGGTATCATATTTATTTTCTATTTTTAATATCGCTTGTGTGCCTTCAATGACCGACGACTTTAATTATCTTTGGTGGCTGTGTCTAAACCTTAGAAAAATGAACGTGACCACGGAAAAGAGATTGAGCGCGACTCAAACCGGCCAGTTCTCGATCGGCGCTTTTCGGGCGGAAAGAAAACGAATTTCTAGGCGCGAATAGTATTCTGGGTACCATATGTATTTTCCGGATTATATCCCGTTGACTATACATGTTTAGAAGTTGAAATTTTTCCCGGTTCGGGCTATCTAAAGGTGCCTACTATACAATGTTTGGTATGTTTCTGGATCGTTCTCTGTGACAAGACGCGAAAGATTTCATGAGTAACAGAGTATATCAGTATTGATACATGTATGATACAAACTTCTTTGTGAGCTAATACAGCAGGCATTTGTCAAGATGTGCTGTGTATGATGATTTGTACGTTCGGACTAGGCACAAAGTGCGGATTATTCACGGCGTGCGGTGTGTGCACCGGTTGCGGACTGTCTAAGCAAAACCTTTTATTTTTGACCCCAAATTCGTCCCTGCAGACTATACACCAGGTGCGGACTATAGTCCGGAAAATACAGTAGTTGGGCTCTCATATGTCACGTGCAAATGAAAGCCTCGGCGAGCACAAATACCCTGGCAGTGTCCCTTTAACGTAATAACAA